CCAATAATAGTTGCCAAACAGAATGCCTTATGCTGATTGGCTTAAACAGGACCCCCCCACCCCACCACTGCCCTTGGATCCGTGTGTAATTATAGTTATCAGCACAAAACTGGAATTCCCTAACAAGGAGGAAGGGGTAGATGGACTTTGAGTAGGCAACCAATTCTCCACTAAACTACCTTGGCCACTAACAACCAAGTCATCCTGAATGGTCAAATTGAGTTTAAAGGAGCATTTCCCCTCATAGTTTACTCAAACTTTTGAGAGAAATGTATTAGTAGAACACAAGAAGTTGTCTGATGTTAAGTTTTCACAGAATAAAACAATCAGCAGATGTTCAGAGAACTGTTTCCTGAAGAGTGGTCCTTCTGGAGATCCTATGGGAGATCTGAATCTGGAAGCATTCGCCGTCAAGTACCGGACCACCTAACTACAGTGCTTAAGCAATAAATGTAGTTTACCTCCTGTCATGAAGTCTGGAAGTTGGAAGTTCCAGATCTGAGACTGTGGCTCAGTAATACTTGGGAGAAGTGTGACTTGTTCTATTTTTCAGCTCTTTATCCTTCTCATCCTTAGGTATGTGATATCTCATGGTAGTTTCAAGCGTTCCATCACTGCACTGCACTGGTCAAGCCAGGATAGAAGGCAGCAGGCCTTCTCACTGTCTGTCAGGAAGGCTTTTTCCCAGAAGCTCTCCCACACACTTCCTCTTATATCCCATTAGTCACATGCCCACTTGTAAGGCAGTTGCCAGAGAGGGGAATAGGATATCATGCCTGGCTTTGACCAGTCTTATTTCAGGCTCTGGCAACTGAGGGAGAAGCCCATCTTCCTTAACATACTGCCCAAGCAAAATCACAGTTCCGTAAACTAGGGAAAAATGGAGAATGGCTGAAGGACAGACAAACAGTAGTGTCTGCCTAAGGTCAACTTCGCAGTATGTGTCCAAAGCCTAGATCATGCCTCTGTTCTATTTTAATAGATATTAGGAAAGGATTAATTTCAAGCTCAGTGCTTTTCAAACTATACGTGGTTTAATTTTTTCCAATTAACAACCACTACTAGGAAGATGGGAAAAATTCAGTTTAAAAAACACATAAACTCTACAAGCCCAAAGTTTATATTGCATTAAAAGGCCAGAATTCCCTCTGTCAAATTGCTATAAAAAAATGTCTCAGTTCTCTCAGTTTCTGTCCTGATCTCATCATGGACCAGTACCAGCTCACAGACCAGTTGTCTTTCACAGCCCTACTCGGAGAGTCAGGTCAGCCCGCTGACTTCATAACCTGGCCCGGCTTGGCTCTCCTGCCTCAAGTCCTACTGCTCCTTTTCTTTTCTTTTTTTAAATTTTTTTATTTTTATTTATTTGACAGAGAGAGAGAGACAGCGAGAGAGGGAACACAAGCAGGGGGAGTGGGAGAGGGAGAAGCAGGCTTCCCGCGGAGCAGAGAGCCCGACGCAGGGCTCGATTCCAGGACCCTGGGATCATAACCTGAGCCAAAGGCAGACGCTTAACGACTGAGCCACCCAGGTGCCCCCCTACTGCTCCTTTTCATTCACCCACAACAGGCTGTACTCTGTCGTGTATTTTTGTTTTACTTCTGGGCTTGACTTCACATTCTGTTCTCCTTTCCTGGAATGCCCTCCTCCTAGTTGGGGAACACCTCATCATCTTTTTAGGCCAGCTTAAATGTCACCTTCCCTGTGATGTTTTTTCTGAATTCTTTCTCCCGGATCAGTGCCTCCATTGACCCCCAAATATATTTATTTTATTGGATTGCAATTATTTCTGGGTCAGTCTCCCTCATTAGACCAACAGCTCCTTGAAAGCGACAATTGTCTTGCTCATCTTTATATCCCCTGTGCTTGGCGCACATACTTTGCTTAAATAAATGCTTATTGAATTGAATCAACTCAACAAATGATGTGACGATGTGACTTCTCTTTGTTTCCTTTTATTCTCCCCCAGTATTTTCTACTGTGCTTCTACCTGCATGTTTGTGGATCTCCTTATAAGAACATACCACTCTGGGGCACCTGGCTGGCTCAGTCGATAGAGCATGCAACTCTTGATTTCAGGGTCATGTTGGGTATAGAGATTACTTAAAAAATTAATTAATTAATTGATTTTTAAAAAAGAACATACCATTTTTACACAAATTTTTTTTCCTGTTCTATCAAATGTGGTTTTAAAAACAAGATACAGGGTGCCTGGGTGGCTCAGTTGGTTAAGCGACTGCCTCCAGCTCAGGTCATGATCCCAGAGTCCTGGGATCGAGTCCCACATCGGGCTGCCTGCTCAGCTGGGAGTCTGCTTCTCCCTCTGACCCTAACCCCTCTCATGTGCTCTCTCATTCTCTCTCTCTCAAATAAATAAATAAATAAATAAAATCTTTAAAAAAAAATAAAATACAATAAATAAAAACAAGATACAACTTGGCATTGTTATATTCCCATCACAGGCTCTATCCTTCAGGCATCAGTGTCATTGTCATTGCAGGTAGCATGGGGGGTTTTATGCACTGGTGATGCCATCCCCCGCCCCCAGCAGCAGAGTCAAATCCCCTGTATATGGATACATATAAACTCCCAAGGGTACCTAACAAGGTGGGACAACACAGAGAACATACAATTTAAATGACCTACGCTTTAGTTCACATACTAGCTCTGTGACCTTTCTTAACCTCTCTGAGTTTGTTTCTTCCATTAAAAAGAAAAAAAGATACCATGGGATGACATGAGGAAACAGTAGCTGCTTGATAAATGTTAGCATCCTCAGATGAGCATGTATGTGGATTGACAAAGAAGGGAGGCTGAGAATAACAGTCAGTGGGTCTGCCTGTCTCTTTAACGGGTCAGGGCTGGCCCATTCTTCAGGCTTGCTGAGAAAGAGGACCTGCTTTGAAATTCTATCTTGGGCAGAGCCTTGGTTGCTTCTCCTTTCCTGCTTCTGATTTCCTGGCTCACAGCTAGCAGGAATAGCCACTCTGGCAGCTCTGGAGGCATGACTAAGGTGGAGGGATGAACAGCTGCTGCTTGCTCAAGTCAGTGGGTTGGTTGGGAGGCAGGCAGCTGACATAAAAGCAACATATGGAAATCCCCAAACTCTACTGCTCAAATGACATCCCAGTCATTGCTGTGAGGAAGACTGGGGGCAGGGCCTTTCCTTCTCTAGGCGCTCCAGGTCTTTTCCTTTACCACCGATTTTCACCCCCTCAACTTTAGAAAGAAGGGAATAAAATACACATCTGTTGGTCAGTTGATTTTAATTTTTTAAAAAAGAGGGCACCTGGGTGGCTCAGTCAGTTAAGCATCGGCTTTGGGCTCGGGTCATGATCTCAGGGTCCTGGGATTGAGCCCCGCATCGCATCGCATTGCATTGCATCAGGCTCCCTGCTCAGCGGGGAGTCTTCTCCCTCTCCCTCTGCATCGCCCCCATGCTCGCTTGCTTGCTCTCTCCCTCTCCCTCTTAAATAAATAAATAAAATCTGAAAAAAAGAAAAAACTGGCTTCCTTCAACATGCCTTGCATTTTCACAACTCTGTGGTTATGCTTCTGCCGTTCTCACCAGTAGAAATGCTCTTCTCCCTCTACCTACCTGGTTCATTCAATGCCTACACCTCAAATCCAGTGTTAGCTCTTACGTCTTCCCTCCTGTACACCACTCTTCCTTCCAGGCAGCTACTTCTCCTTAAGCTTAACTCAGTTACTGTGCTTCACACACTGAATTGCCATTGTTTTTTGAAGTATCTTTCCCTTGATAGAGTGAAAGCTCTTAGGAATCTGATTCTCTAAGTGCTTGGCTCATAGTAAGCAGCAGTAAATATTTGTTGAATTGAAACTTCTACTCCTCGGCATATTTGCCAATTTCTAATTTCTCACTAATTTTAGTTAGGTTATCAGCAGTATAATAAAAGTCCCTATGGATTGAGTATTCAAATAGTTCTAGATGGTTTACTGAGTACCTGTCCCCCCATCTCAGGGGCAATAGGAATACTGATCATAAATATTAACTAGCAGCAAGGGAAAAAATCAAGGAGTCATTTGGAAGCCGGAGGGACATGTCTTAATGTTTGCATATTCCAGATTTATTTTCTGATGACCCAAAATAGATGCCAGGTTCATCCAGAAGTTCCTTAGACATCATCAGACTTCCGGGAGGGGGCAGCGTGTCGGGTTGGGAGTCATGGATCTAGTCTGTTTCCACTTACTGTGCAAACTACTTGGCACACAGCAGTGAGTCCGACTTGAGATCAAATCCTGGCTGGACCACTTAACTGCCTATGGGAACTTGTTACCTCTGTGAGCCTCAGTTTCCTTCAGATCTAGAAGAAAGACAATACTTATTTGGAAGGGTTGTGTGATGACTAAATAATATGTGTGTAAAATACCTAATCATGGTCTGGCCCTTGGTAGGTATTTAATAGGTGGCAGTTATTATAATTTGCAAATAATGGGTAGAGTGATGGTCTGAGTAATGTATTACCATTGTATTAACTATTACTAGATCCAGACATAAGCAGGAGAAATTCAGCTTAGAATTCAAAGAGCTGCTTTGCATAGTCATTTTTGTTTAATGTGTGTCAAATAAATGCCTAGTGATGTTTATAATGTGACCTAATAAAGGCTCTGAGGGGTTTTCCAGTTCTCACTGTTAGGATTTTTTCTTATAATAGTCCCCTACTTTCCTACTTTGATGTGTCCTCCTACCCCAGGAGAGCCCCTAGCCCTCCCCACAGGAACTCTGAACAGTATCCTGCCTGAGGCACTGTGGTAAATTCTGCGCTCACTTTTCCTTTGTTCTCCCACCTGCCTCCCTGGCTCCCGAGGTCTTGTCCTCTGGGGAGATATGTTAAGTGCCCTGCCAGCCTGCCTGTGTGCCTGGTCTGTTTTTTCTCACTGCCAGTACCTCTTGGATTCCAATTCCAAACATGGTATGCATCTGGGGTCACCCTTTCTTCCGGTGCCAAGAGAGACGCATTCCAAATGGAACACAAGTGTGCATCCCGTGCTGGGCTCTCCTCATTCTGGTGGGGACAACTGAGAGCAGGATGTGGCCACTTTATCCCTCACAGCTAAAGTTTTCAGCCCCAGAGTCCTAGCTTTGCCTCGGGACAATTTAGGTTTGCTGCTGAGAGCCAAATGTGAAGACTGTCCTAAGAAACCTGGAGCCAAGGAAGCTTGCCAGAGCTCTGCGGAGAGGGCCAGAGCCTTGCTGAAAGAAACAGAGAGGGGAAAACAAGTTTAAAAATCCTCCATGAAGTGTGCTATGCTCTGCCATTTATTCCCAAAGCTCCTGGAGGCATTCCTCTCAGGAAAGGTGGAGTTGGTGGCGAGAAGCCGGATGTGAGGAGACCTCCTGGGAGGACAGACTAATCCATTTTTTGAATTTCCTATGTGGGGACAATCTTAGAGCCCCGGCAAGACTTTGAGACACCCCGAAGATGAGTGCTAACAGCCAGGCCGTGAGCCAGCTTCTCTGGCAGGGCCCCGTGTGCGCTGGCTGGAAGCGGGATCTGGAAGGGGCAGTCTACCATCTGGCCAACTGCTTGTTGCTCCTGGGCTTCATGGGGGGCAGCGGGGTGTATGGATGCTTCTACCTCTTTGGCTTCCTGGGCACGGGCTACGTGTGCTGTGTGATGTGGGGCTGGTTTGATGCTTGCGGCCTGGACATTATCCTCTGGAGCTTCCTGCTGGCAATGGCCTGCCTGCTCCAGCTGGCTTACCTGATCTACCGCCTGCGCAGGAACACCCTCCCTGAGGAGTTCGAAGTCCTCTACAAGACACTGTGTCTACCCCTGCAGGTGCCTCTGCAGGTGTACAAGGAGATTGTTCACTGCTGTGAGGAGCAGGTCTTGACTCTGGCCACTGAGCAGACTTATGCTGTGGAGGGCGAGACACCCATCGACCGCCTGTCCCTGCTACTCTCTGGCCGGTAAGCTACTCCGTCACGGCTCAGCATTTCCTCCCTCTGCCCATGCTTCTCGTTTCCTAGTGTGTCCCTTTCCATTCTGAGGCCCCTTCCATTGAGGGAAGGATGTGGCAAGTCAAACAAACAAAAACAGATTTTTTTTCTAAGCATGGGTTTGGTTCCTCTTTCTTAGCATTTTCCAAGAGGAAACAAGATCATGAGATAGCTTCTCGGTTGGCAGGAAGGACTGTGTGTGCACTTGGTGCTAGGAGGTGTGGGGTGAGTGTTTCTTGAGCCTGGGTCTAAAATGACCGCACACATGCATACACACACACACACATGCATTACACACATCGGCAGGTCATGCTTAAGCTGCCACAATATCTCTGTAAGCTTTGAAAAAGTGAACATTTCAATAAGGCTGATTTGTTCCTTCCATATGTATTCAGTATTTCCTAAGTGCTGACTATGTGCAGGGAAGAGTGCCTATATCTTGCCAGGGCATCAAGGAAAGAGCCCCAATTATGTTGAGGATATCCTATATAGACTCTGTGGGAAAGCCATTTGGTATACAACGAGGTGGGGAGAGGGAATATTCCTTGTTCACTTTTCCATTCCTATTTGTTCTATTGAGATTCTTACAAACCAGTGATCAAGTACCAAGAAGACCACACAGTGAAGGAAGAGTAGTGATGCCCATACATGTCTCATTGAGGATTTGGTAGAGATACCTGGCTGATTCCTCTTAGGACGGGTGACAGCAGAAATTAGCAGAAGTGGTCTTAGTCAGGATTAGTGTATGCCCAATCAGCCTATACATGAGTGTTGGCCATTGGCTGACATCTTCTGAACAAATACCACGGGGCTCCATGCTGTACATTTGGGAGGCAGTTGTGGAATCTTTGAAATATTGCCCTAGTGGGACTTCTATGTGGGGCTGAGCATCAAACAGTAAACTATGTAACCTGGTACACTTGGGCTGCCTCCATGGAAAGCAAGCAAAGTACTTCAAAAGCTATTTTCTCAGTTTCCTTCCCTGCTTTTTTGAGACCAGGAGAAGTTGATAGAAAAGGTAAGATCGTAATCTTATCAGCAGGCTTGATTCCAAGGTGGGGAAAAAAAGGGGAAAAAGAGTTTCAGAATGATGATGATGGTACCACAATGACTACTGGTAGTAATAACACGCATTTCTGTACTACTGTGTAGAATCAAAAGCGTTAGGTATACGTGAGATTTTGTTTGGTCTCAGAGTCCTGGGTTAAATGATCTATGAGACTTTTGTGGGGAGACATTTCATTTCATTTATGAATAAATTGAAGTGTAAACAAATGGAATGATTTGTAAAGAAATACATGTGTAAACAGAAGTACATTATGACTGTTGCCAAAATGTTTGCCGCCTACAGTTCCATGCTTCAAATAAAGACAATCTGGGATGCCCAGGTGGCTCAGTCGATTAAGGCTCAGGTGATGATTCCAGGGTCCAAGGATGGAGTCCCCGCATCGGGCTCCCTGCTCAGCGGGGAGCCTGCTTCTCCCTCTCGCTCTGCCTGCCGCTCCCCCTGCTTGTGCTCTCTCTCTCTGACAAACAAATAAATAAAAATCTTTAAAATAAAGACAATTTAAGAAATGTTCTCCTTCAGGAGATCCAGGATGTTATTTGCTGCCCATTGCTCTTCTGTTCAGAGGAGGGAGCTGAGACAGGTGGGAGAAAGGCCCGCAGCACTTGTATGGTGTATGATTATTATATGATATTTTTAATCTATTTTTAATATGATGAATTTACCATGAATTTGTAGAAGACCCCTTCCCTGTGACGGGGAGAGGTGGGCTTGCCCCTTCAGTGTGGCTTTTCCTAGTATACTTAGCATCAAAAACCTGAGTCAGAAATTAGACAGGTTTTTTTCTTGCTTTTCAAGGTTTGGAGTAAGAGTTTTATTTATTATCTTTCCATGTCATCCTGTCTCAATTTTGCTAAGTTGGAGCTGGGAGAAGAGGCTTCCTGTCTGTGACCAGGCTCCAGTTTTATTTTATTTTATTTTATTTTATTTTTTTAAAGATTTTATTTATTTGAGAGAGAGAGAATGAGAGAGAGCACATGAGAGGGGGGAGGGTCAGAGGGAGAAGCAGGCTCCCTGCCGAGCAGGGAGCCCGATGTGGGACTCGATCCCGGGACTCCAGGATCATGACCTGAGCCGAAGGCAGTCGCTTAACCAACTGAGCCACCCAGGTGCCCGACCAGACTCCAGTTTTAAAGGAGAATCATTTTACCTTGGGCTGGTGGCAGTTGAGGTACCCAACACCTCAAAGGTGTACAAGAACGCTGTGCCAGGAAGTAGGGACTTCTTGGGTGGACCTCCCCCATATCATGTGCAGGCTCTCATCTGGAGCCCTTTGCTGAAACCTCAGATGCCCTTTCTGTTCTGTTTTAATATATGCAACCAGTCCCTTTTAAGACTCAGAAAGGCCAAGTGACTTCCCCAAGCTTTGTCACATTGTTAAGCTGGGCTTACTGTTGGTGAGTTTCTCTCCTACAGAATTCTCTCATGCACAGCCTCCTAGAACTAACTGTCTAAGCTCTTCATGTGGGAGGCAATACCTGTCATCCAGGGGATCAAGAAGGAAGAAGAGACTTAAATGATAAAGGGCATAATATACCAATTTAAATGGCTTCAGGGAGCCATGTGGGCTCATTAGATGTTATACTTTAAATGATGACACTCCTCGTAGTTTGCTCAAGTGGTCAGATCCCTTGCCTGAGGATCTGGTAAGAGGGTCTGGTGCATCCAGCAGCAGCTTTGTTCTCTCCTGCTATCTCTCTTCCTGTATTCGAGAAGCTCTTCCTTGAGATGTTAGTCCCGTTTTATGGTGACACAAGTGAGTTCACACAATCAATTCAATCTGTTCCTTTCTTCTCTCCTTTCTCCCTCCATTCCTACCTTCTTTTCTTACTTTTCCCCTTCAAAAATATTTATTAAAAGCACTAGGGACTAAGGATCCAGTGTTAAAATATGAAAAATACTGTTCTTACTGTCTATCAAGAAAATCAATAATGCCTGACATAGTGGCGAATCATAGACATGATGTTTCCAAGGAAAAATGCAAAGTGCAGTCAGAGCATGTACCTGGTGGAGCTAACTTTTCTGGGGAGGTCAACAAAACTTCTTGGAAGAAGGAATGTTTAAGCTGAGATCTGAGGAGATGGTGGAGATTGGGAAGAGGTCCAGCTAGAGGGGACAGACTATGTGGAGACCCTGAGGTAGGAGAGCATGGCACTTCATTTTCTCTTGTATCTTTTATTACTCAGGGAAGTTTTGCCCGGCTATCTCTATATATCACCTGGTCTTGTAGGAGCACCTGTGTTTCTGCCATCGGAGACTATGGGCTGACACCACATCCTTGGCTTGGTGTGAGAGCTACATCCCCTTCTGTCTTCCATCTTAAGTTGTCAGACAAAAGGCAATAGCTTATTAATTGGTGATGGTCTTTGGTAATTTGTATGCATGCATATATGCAGCCATTCATTAGGAGCAAGATTTGGAGCGCTAATATCCCATTTGGCCAGAACTTAATCACGTGGCTATACCTAGCTGCAAGGGAGGTAGGGAAATGCGCTCTAGCCGATCAGCCGCAATCCCCGCTAAAACTCTAGTACTGTGGAGGAAAGGAAAGAGCAGATAGGGGAAGACAGACTACCACACCACCATCTATCCCCATCCTCATTGGCTTCTCAGCATCCTATTCATTTTTCAAAAGTCAGCTCAAATGTCATCTCTGAGAAGTCTGCCATTTGAAGAGAACTAATCTCTCTCCCTCCTCTAGTCTCCGGTTCCACAAGGGCACACACTAATTTACACGTCTGGGATTTCCACTAAATTGTGAAATCCTTAAAGGCAAGGATCAGATCATACCCATCTCTGCTTTTCCAGACCTCCAGGAACACAGGAGGTATTCCATACATGTGTATTTAGCCAGTAAAGCTCCAGGGGAAAAAAAAAAATGGAACAATAGCTCTTTCCCGATGGACAGAGTGTACCTCAGAGATCTCTTTATCTGCCCCCCCCCTTGTTTGCTAGAGACACCTCCTTTCCTGGTATAACTCAGTGTTAGAGAGAGGTTGAAGCTGAAACTCTGAGTTTTCCAGGGGAAAGAGGAAAAAGCCCATATTGGATCCTAACCATTTTCCATTTCTAAATACGTAATTTCAACTGAAGAGGGTTTGGGTGGCCACTTTCCTTTTCCCACACAGTCTCTTCTCTCCCTTTGCCAGGGTTCGTGTGAGCCAGGATGGGCAGTTTCTGCACTACATCTTCCCTTACCAGTTCATGGACTCTCCTGAGTGGGAATCGCTGCAGCCTTCGGAGGAGGGAGTGTTCCAGGTAATCCAGAGCCTGTGGCGGCTCTGGCCCACCCTGTCCCACTGTGACCCAGGAATATGCCCCCCTCCAGCTTTCCCCACCCACATCTCTTCTCTGAACCACTGCCAATGTGATGCTAGGGGTGGGAGCGCTCTCCTTCTGTGGAAAGAGGGCCTGGGCTGCCGGCAGGGGATGGAGGCAGGGAGGTGCTAACCCCTTGAGAGGCCATGTCACTCCAATGCCAAAAACTCAGGAAGACCCCCTGACCACAACATAAAAACCCACACTCTCTAAACACATCCCACTGTTTTACAATGGCCATGCTTGGCCCCTACCCTACCTTCTCTCTGAAATACATTTCCGCCCTCCCAAACGAGGCCATGGCAGCTTACTTCCTCTGAAGCCTGCCCAGATTGACCTCATCGGCTTCTAATCCCCACAGCTTTGGGTTTCTGTCTGTGTGACTTTCTATTCCTTTTACTTATGCTGACTGGGGCGCAGACTGCTCTCTGCTCTAACGATTTGGTTTCCTTTCCTGACTCTTTGAGGTAGAAATCTGGGCTTCCTCTTCCCTCTATTCCCAGACTCCAAAGGACAGTACCCTGAACACAGTAGGTGTTCAGTAAAGGTTTGCTGACCTGGCTTGGCAGTGGGCAGCTGGTGTCTCAGGGAACTCTGTGAGGCAGTCACTGCCATGCTCCACGGTGGGGGCCTGGCTGCGTGGCCCTGCTCTCTTCTCTGCCAGTCCTTCAAAACTTGGTTCTTTGCTTTGTAGCTCTCCCTTACTGAATGGCTACTATGTGTCAGGCACTAAATATTATGTTGCCTTATTGATTCTCACAACAACCCTCGGGGGTGGATATTATTATTATCCCATTTAACAGGTAAGGACATTGAGGTTCCAAAAAATCAAGCAATTTGCCCAAGGTCTTCATCTAGAAAGTGACAAAGTGAAGTTGCCTGGCTCAACTATTACTCTTCTTTTTTAAAAAGAGCAGGACACCAGTAGAGTGGAATACAGACAGACAGACAGACAGACACACACACACACACACACACCCCCTATCATAGGGACTCCCCTGTCCAGATAGTTCGCTAGTACTGGGTGCTATGTGACTTTTACCACTTCTATTGGGGAGTCCCTCAAGCCAGCATAGGAACTAACCCCAGAATAGACACATGCCAGGCAGGACCACCTGGTTGGGCCTATTTCTGCCCCAGCCTGACTCCTGGCTCTATGAGGACAGACCCTGAGGGGTAATCCCGATCCCACTGCTGGGCCACCAGCCCTAGGCCTCCACTGATCAAGTTCCTTTCCCACCACACACACCCCTACCCTCTCCAACCAGTCCAACAGCCTTCTATGAGAACTCCTTCAGGCCCCTAAGAACCTCCAGGAGGGCCGAGTCAGGTCCTGAGCCAGCCAGACCAGCCTCTGTTTCTGACACTGACACCGAGCAACAGGTGGGGGATAAGCCGGGTGTCCTCCCCTAAGCTCTGCTTGAAAGGAGAGGCTATAACCCCGGATGGCCTCTCAGTCTGGAATGTAGCTACCGTCATATTCCTCCCATTTTTATTTTTAGTGCGCACCTCCTTTGGGAGCAATGAGATCCACACGTTCGTTATTGGCTGTGTAAAGTCCCATTTCCTCTTTGCAAATGTCAGGCATTGTCCTGAGTTATAGTTCATCCTGTCCTTGCCTTTTGCAATTACAGTCTTTGCGGACTAATAGGGCAATCCACAGTGACTGAAGCATAATTCTCATTGTGTTTACCACAAATGAGTCAATGTTCCATCACACCTCTCAGCAATCCAATTAAATAAGAACTTACTGACTGTTCAGCACTGTGCCCTCTTGTTGGTCACCAAGAGCACAGCATAGAAGGCGTCACACAGAAATCATCATTATTTCCCCAGTTTACATGTGTCTTACTGGACCCGAGCCCTCTTTCCATATGTTATTTCATTTAATCCATTTAACCAGCCTCTGAAATGAGAATTAGAGAAAAAGGTTGTCAAAACTTTATTACAGACATATGCATAATATATGGAACCAAGCAATAAGCAGGCTTCCTGAAGACCTTTGAGGAAGGACTTTATACAGGACCTGAGAAAGTGACATTCGGTTGTTTTGCAGCATGTAAGATTTGTGGTCTTTACCTGACTCATTCATTCACTGCAGTAATGTTTACTGAGCATTTATTATATACCAGGCACTGTTAAAGGTGCTTGGGATGTATCAGTGAACAGTACAGAAGAAGTTCCCTGCCTTCGTGCAATTTGCATTCTAGTAAGGGAGATAAAAAATAAGCCATAGACATAATGAATAATTATGTAATATGTTAAAAGATAATGAGGGCTAGTAAAAAAAAATAGAGTGGTATAAGAGAGGTCTAGTTGCCATTTTAAATTGGGTGGTCATAGAAGTCTTTTGTTGAGCAGGTGACATTTGAGCAAAGACCTGAGGGAGGTGACAGTGTGAGCTCTGAGAAGCTGAGGGCAGAGCATATTAGACAGAGGGAAGAGCCAGTGCAAAGGCCCTGTGGTGGGAAGGACTAGCATGTTTGAGGTGCAGAAAGGAGGCCTGGAACAGAGAGAGGACAGGGAGAGAATAGCAGGAGAGGAAGTCAAAGACGGGATGAGGAACCACATCATGTAGGGTCGGTGCATAAATCTTCTAAAGAGAGCCAAAAGGATTTCCTAATGCATTCGGTGTAGTGTGTGTGAGAGAAAGAGGATCAAGGAAGACTCTAAGGCTTTTGGTCTGAGCAACTGGAAAGATGGAGCTGCTGTCAACTGGAACAAGGGAGCCTACAAGCAGAATCAGTTAGGCGGGAAGAGAGGAAGTTCACTTTTGGATATAATAGATCTGTGTCATCTATGGACATTTCAATGGAGATGCTGCACTAGCAGTTGAATATTTGAGTCTAGAATTAAGGAATGAAGTCTGAGCCTGAGATACAGATTTGGGAGTTTTGGCATACAGATGATATTTAAAGCCATTGGATTGGATGAGATCACTGAGTGAGTGTGTTTAGAGAGAGAAAGTGTTTAAGAATGGACCGACCCTAGGATACTCTAGTGTGTAGGAGCTAGAGATCAAAAGGAAGTCTCAGAGGAGCTGCCAGGAGATTGTCCCAAGAGAGCCAGACACCCTGCGGGCCACGCAGAGAAAGCGCATCAAAGAGGAGGGAGCTTCAGCAGGGTTGACCAGGAAAACTGATGCCCCACGCCATCGTAGAGGTCACTGGTGACCTTACCAGGAGCAGTGGGTGTGGACTGCAAGGGACAAAGCCTTGCTGGTTTCAGAGACAGTGAGAGGAGAGGAGCTGGAGACAGCAAATACAGGCTACTCTTTTTCTGGAATGTTGCTGAGAAGGGGAGTAAACTAATGAGGTGGTAGTTAGCCAAAGAAGCGAGCTGGAGAAAAAGGATTTTGATTTATTTTAAGATGGAAGGAAGTAAGATCATGTTCATAAGCATGCCCATGGTCTTTGTGTTTGACGTCAAGGACGCTGGTCACGTCCAGAGTGACTCTAACACTCACCCCCTTCAGGGTCCGGACTCTGATTTCTTGTTTGGGAACTGTTAGCGCCCCTCCAGCATGGGCCCCGGCAGATAGCGACAGCTCCTTGCTCAACTGCTAGGAAGGGGCAGATTGTGGGTACTACTTGCAGCATTTTCTCTCCTGAGGCAGCGTGCTCGGAGACACTAAGTAATTTGTAGGATGCCACACAGCTGGTAAAGGGGTAAGGCTGGACCTTGAAGCCAGCTCCCAGGCTTGATGAGGTAATTTCGGGTCCTGACTTCAGTGCTGGGGATTAGGGGGCGAGAAGCAGAGGGGAGGAAGTGAGTGAAGCAAGTGGACACAGGGTACTGCAGAAGGGGAGAGGAGAGGAGGGTAGTGGGAGCTCTGGGACACAATGCAGGAATTAAAAGGATTATAGGAGATCCCTAATAAAGGATGGTTGGAAGTCAACCCTACCCTTAGAAAATCCACATGAAGAATTGAACACAATGCCTGGCGCACGGTCACCTCCTAATAAATGTTAGCTGCTGTCATCATCATTATCATCTCCGCTGTCCTCATTCACAAATCTTCATCATGAGCCCTGCTGGCCTTCTCATTTCTAAAGTATTGGGGCCATGCGGCGCCTGGGAGGCTCAGGGAGTTAAGCATCTCCTTCACCTCAGGTCATGATCCTGGGGTCCTGGGTTTGAGCCCAGTGTCGGGCTCCCTGCTCAGTGGGGAGCCTGCTTCTCCCTCTCCTTCTGCCCCTGCCCCCCCATGCTCTCTCTCTCAAATAAATAAATAAAATCTTAAAAAAAAAATTTTTTTTTAAAGATTTTATTTATTTATTTATTTGAGAGAGAGAGAGAAACAGCATGAGAGGGGATAGGGTCAGAGGGAGAAGCAGGCTCCCCACCGAGCCGGGAGCCCGATGCGGGACTCAATCCCAGGACTCTGGGATCATGACCTGAGCCGAAGGCAGTCGCTTAACCAACTGAGCCACCCAGGCGCCCTAAAAATTTTTTTAAATAAATAAAGTATTGTGGCCAATCTGATTATAAAAAATTGTGTGATTCTACACCCTATTCCTTTACTATCCTAGTTAAGCTATTCTAGTAAGCCTAGCTTTACCACTCCTCATTGCTTTAATAAGGATTTATCAAGCACCTGCTACGTGCCAGGCACACATTTCCTACCCTGCAAGTGCAATTTAGCTTTGCGTCGTGGGCCCGCAGTGAGTGCTCAGAAATCCCTACATGGCTAAATAAATGGAGAGTGGGGTGCCCTCGACTTTGTGCTTTTAAGAGCTCCTCTTCCTTCCTGCCCTTCTTCTGACTTTAGCCATCGGATCTCTTTGGTTACTTGTCGTGGCCACGTCAAGAGCAGCTCCCTGGGCCTGAATTCCAGGCCAACATTCTGCCACTTGATGCAGTTTGGCATGCCTAATCAGAAGCTCTTCTCTAACTGAATTGCTTTCCAACTCGTCCTTAATCCCTCCTGCAATATATTCTCCTTCTTTATTCTCAAAACAAAAATGTCATCAGCGCGCCGGCCTATCTTCAGGGCAGTAGGAGGCCCCGTCTCTCTCACGAGATCATAACAGACTCAGAACCTCCCTTAGCCGTTAACGGTATCAGCCGCGGGACCACAGAATGTGAGAGCTGAGGAGACTGGGCGTGGAAGCTGAGGCTCCAGGGGGTGAAGGCCCAGTGAGTGGATGGCTGGACCCAGGGCTGCTGACAAGGACACCCTCCATATCAGAGCACACAAGTACAAGTCATTCCCTGGACCTCCTCCAGGCGAGGCCAGGGTGGGCGCTCCCACAGTTTCTTCAACAAAAGTGCAGCCGTTTGTTGAGTAACTGTATATTTCTCTGTGCTAAGCATGGGCGTTTAGTCTAATTTAAACCTTCACTCTCTTCTCTGGACCCCTCTCAGGTCACTCTGACTGCCGAGACCCCGTGTAGCTACATTTCCTGGCCCCGGAAAAGTCTCCACCTTCTTTTGACCAAAGAGCGATACATTTCCCACCTCTTCTCAGCCCTGCTGGGCTATGACATCTCAGAGAAGCTCTACGCTCTCAATGACAAGCTCTTTGCCAAGTTTGGGCTGCGCTTCGACATCCGCCTCCCCAGCCTCTACCATGTCCTGGGGCCTGCGGCCTCCGATACAGGGCCAGAGTCGGAGAAGGATGATGAGGAAGCCCGTGAACCAGCCATGGCCTCATCCGCCCAGCAAACACCCCCTCGCTCTCCTCTTCCGGCTTCTGCCGGCCCCCCTGCACCTCCTTCCCGGGCCAGGATGTCCAGGCCTGACAGCGGCGTCCTGGGTGAGGACTCCACCAGTCTGGTGCTGGAGGATTTTGAGGAGGTGTCGGGATCAGAATCGTTCATGGATTATAGGAGTGATGGGGAGTACATGAGGTGAGGGAGAACTAACATGGGCCCAGCCACCCGGCTCAGGATCCTGTGTAAGTACTCAGAAGGTAACTGCCACGCCTTCCTGCCAACAGTTGGCCTTAACTCGGCTGTAAGGGCAAAAAAAACTCTTTCATGGAGCCTGTCCTCTCAGAGGACTCCCAGAAAGTGGCATTAACCCAACCTTGCAGTAGCGACTCATTCCAGGTGCATGCAAGGCATGAGGGATTTTTTTTAAACTCATTTTTATTAAGTGTGATTGCATTTTGGAAAGTGGGCTGGTTGACATTTTGAGCAAGTGAATGGTTGTGAAATTGTTTGCAAGTTTGTGTGAAGAGTTAAGGCCTTAGATAGCTAGGGCTAAAGGGGATTTTATTTGTGGCGTGCGTTTTAAAGGGGAAAAAATGCTGCCATGGTTCTAATTCCTATCCGTTCTTCCTAGCGTAGAGGCAGCTCTAGAAAGCAGTCACTCTTTAGCTTGGGTTGGCAGCTAGCTCTGTTAAAATCACAAATTTCAAAGAGGCATGTGATATAGGCTGATCACCCTGGAGGAAAATGTCCCACCTTGCTCTCCTCTTCCCCAGTGGAGAGTACCTTGCTTACTCAGGCAGAGGACTGGGTGCTGCTTTGTTATTCTAATCATATGGCCTGACTTTCCCCCAAACCACACCTGTGTGAGGTGGATGGGCACTAACGTGGGAGGACCTAACAGGAAGGGCAGGATTTCCCTCACAGCTCAGGAGAATGTACAAGAAAGGCTATACTGAGTAGTTCTGGGAAATTGCTCTCACATTCCCCCTGGTTGCTCTCACAATGCTGTGACATTTTCCTCTGGGACTCCACCTGGCCATGGCGGAGGCCTGGCTTTTCCTGAGGAAAATCCCACTGTTGCCAGTTGGGAAGGCCTTTCCAAGTGTGTGTGTGATGCAGGGGCCCACGAGACCCGTCATCCTCTGGGAAGCACTGACAAATTTTTCAAGAAACTAGCCCAGGGAGGAAGGGTTCCAGGGTACACAAGGTGAATGAGTGAATGTTTATCTGTTTTGTAAAAACAAATTATGTAAATGATGACAGAGGCAGGGGAGGTGAATGATAAGAGGTTAGATGTCTTGTTTGATAGATATGGAATTTGTCGTCTCCTGTAATACCACTCCCTAGAACCATAGTTGGGCTGATTCTGGAGTAATTCCATGGATCTATCTAGGACTCAAGATCACTCGTTGACTTCCCCCATTTGCCCTGAGCACTCTCATCACCTCTTTCCCATTGTGCTAATCCTCACTGTCCTACTTGTCCACCCCCATCCATGCATATGGGTCACATTCTGTGGATCCCTCTCTTTGTCCAGCACGCTTACCCCCCTGTACACACTCTTCACTCCTGGTAGCTCTTGGTGTTCTCATGTTTTTCCTGGTTTCTTCTTTTCCTGGTTCTATTTGCTCTTTTTTCTTCCCTCTTTCTGACTTCTGCTCAGTCCTTAGTTGCCTGCATTTGCTGCTCAGGAGAAGGAAAAAGTCCTTTTCTTTTTCTTAGGTAATTTCTCCTCTCCATATTTGTCCCTTACATTTTCCCCACTTTTATCATTCATGTATTTCTCTATTACCTTTTTTTCCTTTTTTTCCCCACTTTCCTGCCTTGCTCTTTCTCCTAAACTACCCTGCACCCTCATCTTGGTCTTTAATCCATACTCTTCCAAGATTAGTACCTCTCCCTCTGCCTGTAGATAAAACCATTCGAGTGAAGGTGTGAATATTCCCAGCTGTAGGTGGCTACACGTTTCCTGCATGAGTTTTCCCAGGCGTTAGGAGGCACAGCATGATAAACCAGAAGGAGAGCCAGACTGGGCGCCTGCAGTCCTGGTTTCCGTGTCTGGGTCTGCTACTTTTTGCAAACCACATGACCTTTCCAAACCTCACTTTCTGTGCTTGAGTGTGTTGGACCAGCTGGACCCCAAAGGTCTTAATGGATTTATGTAAGAAGGCAATGGATGAGTTGTTCGGAAGAGGAAAAGAGAAACAGTCAGCAGTATAATGGACACGGGCCCCAGGACATCCGAGTGTCTTTCAGCAAGAATCCTCTGCCATATTTTACTACTATTTCTCTTTTGACTTGGGACTGTCCTGCTTGCTGAATGGTGGGTCCTGCTTGATTAGAAGTTCCCTCCATGCTGCACCTGTGAAGAGTCTACCCCCTACCGTGTGATGACAAGTGCGGATGTTCTATGTGAAAGGAGGTCACCACTCAGTCTCAAAGCTCCTCCACCCTTAAGACTCTCATATGAAAATACCTCCTTTCAAATCCAGGTTTTTCTGAACCTCGAGAGGAGAAAACTGCTCATATAACTCCCTTTCTAAAGTAGTGGTACTGGCAATATAAAGAGAGTAGGTTTTTCAATGTTTTGTTTATTTAGGTAATAGAAAGGAAAAAACATATTATTTACGTCCAAACCACAGAATTTTGAGAGCAACTTGAAAACCTGGTCAAGTTGTACAAATTTCAGATGGCTTTCAATTCAGTCTGTGATCATGGGGTACTTTAAACCGGAGATCGTTTTCTGGACTTGTGTTTTGGGGTGCTTGGTTTGACTTAATTTGCCATCAGGCCCCTTCTAGGGCTATTCCTTTAGTGAGTAAGCATAGTCCTTTGTGGTTGGTAGCGATTTACTACTGTGTCCTTTATACAGGGCACAACTCACCCTCTATTCCCTGGCCCTGCAGTTACCAGCATTATAAGCTCAGTGCTGTTCATCCTGGCACAGCACTTACATAAGAGGCAAGAAGCTGGCTGAGTTCAGCCTCATTGAGAATGACACAGCTTCATCACAATGACACAGTGCTTGTCCCTCACACCAAGACCTGCTAAAAATAGTCTGGGCTTCCATTAGAGCTCTCTTTGGAAGACGGTGCATCTTTTTTTTTTTTTTTTAGCTTTTTATGGTGCTTTATTCTGGTCTATATTTCTTTCTTTCTTTTTTTTTTATGTTATGTTAATCACCATACATTACATCACTAGGTTTTGATTAGTGTTCCATGATTCATTGTTTGTGCATAACACCCAGTGCTCCATGCAGAACATGCCCTCTTTAATACCCATCACCAGGCTAACCCATCCTCCCACCCCCCTCCCCTCTAGAATCCTCAGTTTGTTTTTCAGAGTCCATCGTCTCTCATGGTTCGTCTCCCCCTCCGATTTCCCCCCTTCATTCTTCCCCTCCTGCTATCTTTTTCTTCTTTTTTTTCTTTAACATATAATGTATTATTTGTTTCAGAGGTACAGATCTGTGATTCAACAGTCTTGCACAATTCACAGTGCTCACCATAGCACAAACCTTCCCCAGTGTCTATCACCCAGCCGCCCCATCCCTCCCACCCCCCACCACTCCAGCAACCCTCAAGACGGTGCATCTTTTAGTCTGGTGGTACCCAGAATTGAATGTTGTTTCTTTTAATGGACAGAGCAGCACTGCAGCATAATGCATTCATGCAGGGTCTTCCAGTTAGACCTCCCATTAACCCGGCCTTCATGACACACTTGAATTCTGGGGACGCTCTCCACAACATTCCATTTTGTGTCTTCCTTACAGGAGATGCTCAGTGAATGCAACTCTGGAGTGAGCAGTGAAGTCAGATCACAAGTCTGTTAGCACAAATTAATTGAAAGCTGTTTGAAATTTGGCCGATTTTGATTATGTTTCCAAGTTATTCTGAAAACTGTGATTTGAAAGTAGAAACCATACGTTACTGCCTTTCTCCCTATTATTTAAATAAATAAGCAAGCAAATGAGAAGCAGATTACAACATGGAGGCTAATTGCGGTCAGGGAAGGAGCACAAGACCAGGACAATAGTACCAAGGGCCAGAGAACCAATTCACCAAACATTTGAGTATCTACTGTGTATTTCAGGCACTGTGCCAGGTAACTACATCATGAATCATCATGAGTAACAGTAGAAAGAAGTGAAGGTGTTTAATCTGGAAGAGATGAGCAAGAGCGATAGCCCCACGTTTCAAAAAGAAGGGGAATTAGAATTTGCCTTCCTCTGGTATAGTTCTTGAGGGCAAATGAGGTAAGGGCTGAAGGGCTTTGCGCAGTGTTAATAATGGGATGCCTCACAGAGTTGTGAGTTTCTCACCATTGGAAGAGGCCAAGCAGGAAGAAGAGGGGATCTCAGAGGCCTTACAGGTTGATTCCGGCTCTGAGAGAAGAACGCCCTGGGTTGTTGCTGGTAAGGTGCCTTCCAGCTCTGTGACGCTACAGTTCTGTGATTCTAAGACCTGACTCCGGTTCTGTCACTCAGCCACCATAAAGAGCAGTTGCTCATCTGCAGAACAGGACTAATAGTCTCATAGATAATTAACACCTACTAATAGGTAGACAGGTAGGAGGTTGCTGTGAGGAGTAACTGAGATAATGTATACAAAAGTAGTTTGTAACTTGTGAAGCGCTGGATGAATGTGTAAGGTATTTCATGATCCTATTGTGTGTGGAATTGTCTAGCAATCTCCCTCTCCCTCTGTCAGAGGCACACGATTTTTCCGCTCATTTCCTCCCAGTCTGGCTTTCCAGGGAAGGTGGCAACTGGCAGAGGCCCCTGAGAACAAAAGGGCCAGCAAAAAGATGGAGACCCAGAGAAAACACACACAAGGAGCTCCTCGGCCCCTGAGTAACCAACAACTGGCCAGAGCCTCACCTCTTTTCCTTCCTTGGCTCAGGGGGAGACAGAACACCATCACACCATACCCACTAGTCACGCTCTACCCATCGCGTGCAATTTCTCTCTGCGGCGGCTGTCAGGTGCTGTTGTAGCTGTCGGGTTTGTTAAACAGCACTTTTCCCGCAGAAACCACTGGAAAGACTCCGGGAGTGGAAAACGTGCCCTTGACCGTGGCATGGCAGGAGCTGCCCCGGGGCCTCGGGTTCTGGGTGTCTGGGTGGTAGCACCGCTCTCCCCGCCAAGGCCCCGTGTTGGGCAGCTCGGCTGGAGCAGCGGCTCCCTCCCAGCCCCTGGCTCACAGCAGCCTGCCGCCGTGCCCGCCCCGACGTCCCCCTGCTTGTGTTGTGCAGGCCTCGTTCACCTACCTGTCTCTGTGTGAAAATAAAAGACGGGGGCCTTATTAAACTCATCATTTTGCCATACAGACTTTTTGGAAACTCGTTCAGTAGTGCCAGATAGGAAGAAGAGTTCTGTAGATTTTTCATGGGAAGCACTGAGGGTTGATCTCTTGGTCTCTTCCCCTATAAAACGCGAGGTTGGGCTAAATAACTTCAAAGCTGGTTTCTAGAATGAAATGATTCAAGGATACAACTGCCCCTACCATGTCAGGCCTTGGGTCCAGCTAAAACAGTGGGAATTAGCAGAAGAAGATAAAACGGAAAAGAACGCTGGGAAGTGAGGCAAGCTAGCTGGAGCCAGAGTGCTGAAATCCTGCCTCTTTTTCTTTCCACAGCTTCTAGAACTCCTCTCCATAGTTACTCTAAAGTTATGTCCAGGGGACAGGCCCCCTTGGCTCCAACCCACACTCCTGAACTTTAAGGATCCACAGGCTACCTTCTTCTCCGGCCACACGAATCCTCACAGGAGGGTCACTTGAGTGCCCACCCCGTCGTACCCACTAGAAGGCTCATGGGCCAGGTCGGAGCAGACCCAGGAGACATCAGTGCTACAGCTACTCCAAGGGCCCCCAGCAACTTGTGCAGATTTGCCCTCACCAGCATTCCTTCCAGAAGAAGGCACCCAAAAATGCAAAAGCACTGATTCCATCCTTCACTAACTGCAGAGTCTTGGGCAAGTCCCATAGGCTCTCTGAGCCTCTCCTGTAAAGTTGGGACTTATGAAACCCATCTCACAGGGTTGTTGTGAGCATCGAATGAGATGACTTAGGTAACGCACCTCAGACCTGGCGTGGCACCTCGTAAGCACTCAATAAATCACTCGGGCTTTTGTCCCTATGTTGTTTCTTGGAACTGTCTGTAAGGGTCTCTGAAGTCAGCTAGCCAAGAAGTTTTCACGGTTTGCTTGTTTGTTTGTTGTTTTTTCCAGTTAGATTCAATTTATGGAAGTAGAAATTTAAAAACCTAGTTTTCCCTTAAGCTTTTAAGTTCAACTTACAAATCTCTTGTTCTGTTTAGGACCCTAGCATTAAACAATAGTTTTTAGGGGGACTTTAACAAACTCAGTTAATTAAATTTCCTTAAACACTTCAAAGTGGGTTTATAAATTTAACACCTTCTATTTTACTTTTTCCCTAAATACTTCAGCATATATTCCAGTTATCCATTGTTGTGTAACATTCATACCTGAAATGGTGACTTAAAATAGTTTATTTTGCTGATGCACGTGGGGCTTGACTGGGCCCCGCTGGGCTATTCTCACTCAAGGTCTTTTGTGCTGTCGTGTTCAGATAGTGGCTCGGGCTAGAGTCATCTCCAAGACTTCACTCGTGTTTGGGACCTAGTCTGGGGACACTCAAACGGCTGAGGACCGAAACAGCTGGGAGTCCTTGGGCATCTCTGTCTCCCTCTCTCTCTAATAGTTTGTTCATTGTGTTGCTGATGGCAAAATTGCTGTTGCAGTTACTTGTTGCATGAATATACCATAATTTATTTATCCACTCTACTGCTGATGGGCATTTGGGTTGCTTCTAGCTTGGGGTGATTATGAATAGCACCGGTATAAGCACTCTTGAAAGCATTTCTTGGTGCACATACGTGTACATTTCTGTGGCCTATAGCTAGGACTGAAATTACTCAAGTATTGGGTACGTGAATGTTCAACTACAGTAAATACTGCCAAACAGTTCCCTGATTGTACCAACTAATATTTCCACCAGCAATGTGAGTTCTAGATGTTTCTCATCCTCCCAATGGTTGACCCTTGTCATTTCAAAAAATATTTTAGCCATTTGGGTGTAGGTAGCAGCATGTTGTTGTGGTTTTAATTTTCATTTCCCTGGAGAGTGATAAGGTTGAGTATTTTTTCATATTTTTATTAGCCATATAGATACCCTCTATTGTGAAGTGTCTATTCTTATTCTTACTCATTTCTCTATTTGTTTGTATGCTTTTGCTTATCGACCTAAAAGAATTCTTCAAATATTCAAGTTAAAAGTCCTTCATTGCTTATATTCAAATATATTCTCCCACTTTGTGAATCTTCTCTTTTTTCTCTAAATCATGTCATTTGATGAACATGTTCTTTTTTTTTAAGTTTTATTTATATTCACTTATTTGAGAGAGAGAGCACGAGTGAAGGAGGGGCAGAGGGAAAGAATCTCAAGCAGACTCCCCACTGAGCATGGAGCCCAACACGGGGCTCGATCCCACGACCCATGAGATCATGACCTGAACCAAAATCACCAGTCAGACACTTAACTGACTGAGCCACCCAGACACTCCTGAACATATGTTCTTAATTTCAATGTAGTAATTTATCAGTCTTTTTCTCTATCATTAGTCCTTTCTGTGTCATGTTCAAAAAAATCTTTTCCTCCCCTGAAGATATTCTTCTATGTTACCCTCTAGATGTTTTATTGTTTTACATTTCACAGTTAGATCTACAATCAACCTGGATTTGATTTTTGTGTATGGTATGAAGTAAGATTAAATTCTTTATTTTCCAGTGGATATCCAATAGACAGAGCACCATTTACTGAAATAATGATCTTATCCCCACTAGTGTCCAGTGTCCCCTTTGTTATAAGTCAAATGTTTATATAATTTATCAATGCTAATCATCAATCCATAGAGTCTTCAGGATTTTCCATAGATTCAAATAAATCATCTGTAAATAATGATGGTTTTATTTCTTCCTTCCTAACCTATACCTTGCCCCTGCCCCCCTTCTCCTTCTTTTTCTTTTGATGCGTGTTGTGCTGGGTAGGACTTCCAGTACAGGGATGAATGGAAGGGATAATGAAGACATTCTGCTCTCATACCTGACCTTAAGGAAAATGTTTTCAATATTTTACCATTAATTATGATGTGTGTTATTAGGTTTTCATAATACCCCTATCAGATTAAAGAAGTCCTATTCCTAATTTGCTGAGGTTTTTTTTTTTTTAATCATGGATGAGTATTGAATTGTATTAAATGATTTTCTGCATTTATTGAGATTATTTTTCTCCCTTCCTCTGTTAATGAATTACATTAATAGACATGTGACTATTAAAATAACCTTGCATCCCGGAGTAAATCCAATTGTATTAAATTGTATTTTCCTCTTTGCCTATTCTGAACTTAGTTTGCAAATATTTTTTTAAGGAATTTTACATCTATGTATTTTGTAATATCATTGTCAGGTTTGATATCAGGGTTATGCTGACTTTGTAAAAGGAGTTAGGAAGTATTTTCTCTCTTCTTTCCTATTCATTGGAAGAGATCTTTAAACCAAACAGCTTTATAACTCTTGAGTACCATCCCAACAACCTTACCTCCTACTCTGTCTTCTTTCCACTCAGTTGCCCATGCCCAAAACCTTGGAGTCTTTCTATCCATCTTAGTCCTATCTTCAAAATGTATCCTGAATTCAATTCACCACCTTTACTGCCACCACTAATTTCAAGCTACCATTATTTCATACCTAAATTAACTTCAACAGACTTACAACAGGTCCCCTGATTTCTCCTGTTTCTCCTCCCCATAATCTATTGTACAAACAGCAAAGTGGCCATTTAAACATGTATATGATCTCATCACTCTCTTGCTCAAAATTTCAAATGGCTTCCAATTATACTTAGAATAAAATCCAAACTTCTTACCATGTGATATTAGGATTGGTTTATTAATAGCACAGAGGTTTTTTTCTCTCTTAAAGTCTACTGAGAGTCTGCATGACTCATGAGGGTAACTGTCATCATGTTGCAACTCGGTGATTCAATCTACTTTGACCTTCTGGCTCTGTCACCTGAAGAAAGAAATGGTTTGACATTCCAGTGCTAGCTTTTTGATGCTGTGGCCCAGAAAGGATACGTACACATCACTTCTGCCCAGAGTCCATTGACTAAAGGCAGTCACGTGGACCCACTTAATAATCAGCTTTGTGCTTTGTTGATTAAAGAGACTGGGAAATGGGGGGGGGGGGGGGGAAGCAAAAGGCATGATTGGTGAGTCCTATTCTTCTGGCCACTTATAAGCCAGAAAGCCCTACCTGCCTGTCCTTCAGCCATATTACATTCTGATCTCATTCTTATGTATCATGTTTCAGCCACACTGTTCTTTTGGGTGCCTGTTAGGCATACGTAGCTGCTTTCTATATTAGGGCCTTTACAGATGCTTTTTCTCTCTAAAATGCTTTTCCCTCATAACTTCTCCTGGCTGACTTCTTCTGGCCATTCCATTCTCAGCCCCTGTCACCATCCCAGCTAAGATACCCACTCACCTCACCATCACCTTCTGTCCCCTTGTTCTGCTTGGACTCTCTTCAGAGTCTTGTTTTCTCCTTCTTCTCCTTTTGGGATTCCAATTATGTGCTTGATAGAGCTGTGTTCCAGTGTGTTCCACAGAGCTCTTACGTTCTTTTCTCATTTTTTTTCCCCTGAAATTACACTGTGTATTTCTTTTCTTGTTTGATTTCTGTCTCGTCCCCACATATTTCACAATATATTTCTCCCCTGTCCATTTTGAGAAATTAGATGGCTCTCTTGTCAACCCTTGAGGGCTACTGTGGAGAATAAATGAAGCAATAAACAAACAACAAAAAAGCTCATACATTGTAAATTGAGACTCAATGTTATCTGGGATTCCGTGCCACCCCTCAGCTAGAGGACCGCCCAGGCAGGGCTATTGTTACACACATGTGGTGCATACCAGAGGCTTCACAGGATGGGAACTTCTTTTGATGTGTGTGTCTTTGGGTTTTCTTTTGTTTTGTTTTAAAGATTTTATTTATTTGAGAGAGAGAGAGAGCTCACAAGAGAGGAGGAACAGAGGAAGAGACAAGCAGACTCTGTGCTGATTGTGGAGCCTGATGTGGGGCTTGATCCCAGGACTACGAGATCATGACCTGAGCCAAAACCAAGAGTTGGTCGCTTACCCCAACTGAGCCACCCAGGCGCCCTGTCTTTGTTTTTAAAAGGAACAGACCTTACCTGGTAGAAGTTGTGCTTTTATTATCTAATGATATACATAATGGCAAAAGATATCTGGATTCCTATAAGGTTTTTAGATAAATTTGTGGATTTTTAAAATTCGCCACAATGGTATCTTTATGTATTTGAAATCTAGCATGACATGTTGGTACAAAGCATCTTATTTACTCAGTCTATGGAAAATTCTTTTTTTTTTTTTTAAAGATTTTATTTATTTATTTGACAGAGAGAGAGACCGTGGGAGAGGGAACACAAGCAGGGGGAGTGGGAGAGGGAGAAGCAGGCCTCCCGCTGAGCAGGGAGCCCAATGCGGGACTCAGTCCCAGGACTCTGTGATCATGACCTGAGCCAAAGGCAGACGCCTAGCTGACGGAGCCACCCAGGCGCCCCTCTATGGAAAATTCTTGACATGATATAGATTTGTGAATCTCCTACACTAACCCCACAATAGAGGTTACACATGTGAAAAGAAAATCTCTGGGGTATAGCTTAATATTTTCAGCAATAAAATCTGACATATAGTCAGATTTGCTCTAAGGAGAAGATAGTAAATACTCTTTTTATCTCATGAATACTTATTAAATATCCACTTGTTGTCAAACACTATGCTGGGCACCACATACTTCAATAGGTGAATCATTCAGGGTATCTGTCATGAAGCAGCTTGAGCTCTAGCAAAGGAGAGACATGAATCATAGGCACCCTGTCCCCTCCCCACCAAGGCCTGACTCCTCTGAGGATTAATCTTTTCCCAGAAGACTCCTCAGTCCCTGTGTAAATAGGCTTCTTGTGGCCCATAAATAGTTTAAGATGTAGCTGGATCCATGACGTATATACAAATAAGCACTCTGTCACTCCATTGTGGAAAACATTACAATAGCGGCTGAAACCGCTATATGACCTACAGAAGTTCAGCAGAAGATACCACTTCCTATTTCTGGAATCAGGAAGGATTCATGATGAAGTTGACTTTGAGCCGTGCCTTCAAGGACAGAGTTAGGCAAGGCAGAAGCAATCCAGGGGAAAGAAATACCTGAGTCAAAGACCCAAGGCTGGAAGTTACAAGAAAAGCATGGCTGGAGAAGAGAACCAACGGCTCTTAGTGACCAGCTGTGGAATCTGAGCTCTAATCAAAAGGCAATGGGAAGTGAGCAGGAACATGGTGCATCCCAGAGCAGCGCTAAGGGAAGTTGCATTGAGTGCATACCACAGAACCTGGCAGAATATAGCTGTTTCATAAACGTTCACGTTCTGAGAGACTTGAGAATACAAAGCCAGGAGAACAGTGTTGGCCATTGAAATGGTCAGTGAGGTTGTGAGGCACCAAGGGCCAGAACATAGGATGGCGATGGCAACAGAGAGGCAGACATCTGAGAGATAGCCTGGGGAGAATTGCTTGGGAGAGGAGTCAAATCCATCTTAGAGGTTCTGCATCTTCTTCCCTATATATTCTTGACACCCTGGTTTCCTGTAGACTCCCCTACAAATCTTGACTGAAAAATGTGAACAATGCTCTCAGGGGTTTCACTTCTAATTGTCATGGAATTCATACACTGACACATGTCTCCCACTCAGAAATTTCCCTAGAGATCATGGGATTTTATTTCACTTTTGGTTCACTTCTCTGACGTGATCCTTACCAAGAGTCCTCTTCTGCACAGCCGACGATTGCCAACTGTCGACTGCCGGCTGATAGTTGCTCAATGGCCTGAAGTGCCCTCTACCCAACCAACCCTCTGCTCTGAATCCTATCCATCCATCAAGGCTACTACCAGCGTCCCCACCCCTCCCACACCGTCCCTGCCATTTACCCCACCTCTGTCAGCATTAACCTGTCCCCTCCAGGACTCTCAGAGTCCTCTGGGACCACCTCCCTCAGCTCATCTCCCTCCAGACTTCCTGTCTCGGTGCTTGAGGGCTGGGCAGATTCTTACTTATTGCCCTGGTCCCAACACCTTACACGGTGCCATGTGCCTGGCATTCAGTTGGTAATTGTTAGATCTTTGTTAAACTCAGAGGCTAAACATTTCAACATGGGTCAGATTAGGATCTTAGAAACTTCTAGTTCACTTACCAGCGTTCTTTCGCTTCTGCCCCCTTTCAAGCTAGGGAACTTTGTCTTTGACTCATGCGTGACTGAGTAAGGATCCTTTCTGTTTGGTTTCTCCAGGCCCAGCTGAGGAGCTCAGGCCTGCTGCCCCCCATCTCCTGCCTGTGGACAGCTCACACTGCTTGCCTGCCCCTCCCTGAAGTGTGCGACAGGAGAGCGTTGGTCACCCCTAATTTCACTGGTCTGGTTTCTTCTCTTTTCCCCAAATTGTGTTTCTTGTAACCTGATTCTTCACTATTCACCACATACCTTCTATTTCTCTTCTTCTTTTTCAGCTTCAGGAGCTCTCAAATTATTTGACAGCTGTCATTTCTTCATCACAAACATAAACACATATTTTTTAAACCCTATTTATGCTGTGTTATTTTATCTGACCCAGTAAAACTGACTTTAATGCATCATGGCCAGACACCGTGCCATTGCCAGGAAATCACGTTTAAAAAAAAAAGAAGGAGACGGGGATGACATAAATAGACGTTGATTGAGTTAGGATGCCCCATCAACATAGTGTAGGGTTAAGAAAACAAAGTTCTGGGGCTAGACCACCTGGGTTTGAATTTCAGAACTGCCACTTTCACTGGCTTGTTTCCTAAATGCTCTGCACTTCAGTTCGCAATAAAAAAAGAACCTCATGGATCACTACATCAAAAACTAATGATGCCCTGTATGGTGACTAATATAACATAATTAAAAAAAAAAAAAGAACCTCTCTCATATGTTGCTGTGGGAGTTTAATGAGACTTAAAACTATGCCTGGCACATAGTAAGCATTCAATACATTGCAGTTATTTTTAAGAGAATTGCCATCAGAATAGTGCCTGGCACAGTTGGCCTACAATAAAGGTTTGCCACATGAGTGAATAAATGAACGAATGAACAAACATTCTGGTTTGGGGATCACATGTCTCCAGTTTTGCCCATTTCCCTGTACTCTCCAGAGAGGAAATACAGCAGAGGGCAGCTTCTGAAATGAACCCGGGGCTGAGAGTGAGAAGGAGTGATCTTGAGGTTGGGGTCCGGACCAGGAGGGCTGAGTGAACACTGGAAGTTGTACAGTTGTGAGGGCTGGTAACTGCAAGAGAGAAGGCGCCTTTTCACTGGACTCGGCCTAACCCCAGGGCCTTGAAGAGAGGTGTTCCCAGAGTGGGCTCTCCTTCCCTGGATATTCACCTAGATCTCTTTCTACCTCTCCACCCTCTGGTTCTGTCCAAAATAAGGACTGTTTGTACTGACACAGGCCTGGATAGATGGGAAAGACCCAGAGCTTCAAGGAAGCAGCAGGAATTCACTTCCAGGCAAACACTGTCCCTTGTTAACCTCCAAAAAGTTCTTAAAGCTCACGTGTCTCAGGTAATGAAGCGTCACTTTGAGTTCCTAAAATCCAGCAGAAGCGCAGTGCAGGTCTGGAAGTGCGATATGAACGGGAGAGGGGCCATGCTGTTTCTCCAGTGGCTGTTTGACCTCAGGCGATTCCCTCCATCTTTCTGGGCTCTGGTTTCCTCCTCTGACACTCTGTGGTTTGTTGACTAATCCAGGGCCTCACCACATGTCTGAGAGAACAGAGAGGAAGGGACAAATATCAGCCACATTTTGAAGAAATTAAGAGACATGGTGTCTAAGTGTAAATAAGGTATTGGGAGGGAGAAAGGAGGATGACTGTTTTTTTGTTTTTGTTTTTTGAGCATTATAGTGTTCTGAGCCAAAGATGACTCAGGCTTCAAGCCTGCATTTTGGATGATGGTGTCGTGGCTATTACCGTTGAGGAGAGGAAGAACAACTTCGGGGGAGATGTTGAGTTGATTTTGGATGGGTTGAGTTTAGGCTGTTGTCAGGACACAGAATGGTCCCATAAAGCAAACAGTTACAGTTTCATAAATGAGAGGATGAATACTAAGGATAGGGAGGATTTGGGGGGCCTGGGAAATGGAAGAACTCAGGCACAGGGATGGTCACATCACCTTCAGGCTCCCCTCTGAGGGGAGGAGGCCAACCTCTCTGGGGTAAAGGTGGGGTTGTGATGGTCACCCCAGGGCCTGAGAGTGCCCATGAGTGAGGTTAGAGGCATGATTAAGGCTGGGGGCAGCAGTGTATGTCTCTCTGAGAAGGTCACTTAGGGCCACCGAACAAGGAGAGCAAGGACTGGGTGAGATTTCAGCAATTTGACGAGATGTATGTTTCAATATAATTCCTTTTATATACCCAGAGCTTCGTCCTGTAGAGATTTTTTTTTTTAAAGATTTGATTTTTTACTAATCTTTACACCCAATGTGGGGCTCAAACTCACAACCCCGAGGTCAAGAGTCACATGTTCTACCGACTGAGCCTGCCAGGCACCACACTCCTGTAGAAATCTTTAAAGGTTCAAATGTAACACTGGCAAGCAAAACCTTAAAACAAGATGAATAAATGAAGGCCATTCTGACACTAAATGAAAAGACACCAACCCGTTGTTGGAGTTAAGCCTCTCAGGTCAGTTAAGCCTGATCTCTCTTTGCTTTCATCTACATCGTTAGAATGCTGTCTTGAATTCCACTCAAGAAGCTTTTATTGCATGCTTACAACGTGGAGGACACAGAGAAAAAGAAAACACAGCCCCTGCCTTTAAGGACCTTACAATCTCTTTATAGAAGCCTGACATACATGCAGGAAACTATTGACCACCACTGCAAGGCAGCATAGCTACTGACTGAAATGACATATTGATGGCCAGCCCTCCCGGAAGAAATAGACCTGGACGTGGACCTTGAACGCCTGGTAGAATCTGAAGGGGATGGTGGGGGCAGCAGGTGCAAAGGCTGGAGGCGACATCGTCCACACTATGTTTTAGAGGGGTGCCGGCTCCAGCACACTGGGGGACATGGCAGGTAATTTCAGTTAGGCAGAGTGGGACCAGACTAAGGAAGTTTCTGTTTCAATAAGACATTTGTATGCAAGTGCTAGAAACCATCTTGAGCAGGCTAACCTGTATTACGTGGTGGTTAGAGCCCAGGTTCTGGAGGCATGTGGCTTGGTGTGAATCCTGATTTCACCCATTGCTAGCTGCATGACCATGGGCGAGGTGCTTAATTTCCCTCTCCCTCTGCGTCCTCATAGGTAAAATGAGGTAATATATGGAATTGCTGGGAGGATTGAGATAATTTATATAAAGGGATTAGACCACTACCTGGCCCTTACTAAATGCTCAGGAAGTTTTAGTTTTTCACTTTCTCTTTCTTAACTTTCTGTATTGGCTGAAATTTTTTAGATGAGTTGAATTTTATAATCATAAAAAAATAAGCCTTTATTTTTTTTAAGTTCTTTATAGCTACCCCCTCCCAGTGGGTTCACTCTTCAGAGACTATGGCATCTGAATGAATGCCATTTTTAAAGGTAATGAAATCTCAGGCCCCTATAGTTCTGAAGGAAAGTGTCATTCCAGTTTCACAGATGGGTATGAGTCAGCCAACTTGGAACCAGTTGAACACCACATGGGAACTCTGGAGGAGAAATTTGGGGATTTGAGTAACTTATCTTAGGAAGACAAATACTTGAATAAGTAATTGCAAGAAAACATTTTCTTTGAACCATTGTCAGAGAGTTTGTGAATTGGTATGACATTTTTGGAAAGTAATCCAGCATTACTAACCTTTTGATATATCTGTTGACCTAGCAATTCTCACACAGGAAATCTACCATATAGAAATGGAAGTACCGGGCGCCTGGGTGGCTCAGTTGGTTAAGCGACTGCCTTCGGCTCAGGTCATGATCCTGGAGTCCCGGGATCGAGTCCCACATCGGGCTCCCTGCTCGGCAGGGAGTCTGCTTCTCCCTCTGACCCTCCCCCCTCTCATGTGCTCTCTCTCATTCTCTCTCTCTCAAATAAATAAAATCTTTAAAAAAAAAAAAGAAATGGAGGTACCAATAAATGAGATGTACAAAAATATCTATTGTGGCATCATTTGTAGTTGAAACAACCTCAATATCCATCACAAAGAAGATGGTTGACTAAGTTATGGCAGATCCATACTGTGGATTATTACACATCCAATGAGTAAATTAGACCTATGTCTAATAGGAGGGATAGGTTATTAAGTGACAAAGGAAAATTGCAGAGCAATAGGTGTGCTATGATTTCATTTTTGTTAAAAAAAAAAAACTTTGTATGTATATATTTGTATCTGCATGGAGTAATGTGTACAAGGATGTATATGGCTATTAACATAGATGACCTCAGGACCATGGCAGCTATAGGTCTATACAGTTTGACTTGTTAAAATGAGCATCTATTGATTTTGTAGTTTCAAAAATATATATGATAATGTAGAGGAGTGTTTTGTTTGGAAATTAATCTGAGGGTCAAGAATAGAAAGAGATCACCTAGCTGCTTTAAATGAATCCTGGTACCCAGATCCTGAATCACAGTCTTGCTTTAGAAAGACCTTGTAGGGTAACTGAGCTCTTTGTTCGGGGATCACTGAATAATCCCAAAGAAAGAAGTTAGAAGATGGTAGGTAGATACATTTGCTCCAGTGACCAAAAAGAGTTTCCGGAAAGCAGAGATTCCTCGGAAGCTCGGTGTGTTATCAGCAAAGTCCAGGAACAAATCACTAACAACATCACTTTTATATATTTAGGAAATGAAGTAGCAATTAGTAGGAGAGCCTACATGGGCTCCTGGGAATTAAGTCATGCTAAAACTCAATTAATCATGTAATTTCTCTTTTCTCTCTCTCTCCCTCAAATCAGGGGATCATTGTAGATATAAAGTACTGAAACTTTTCTCATAATATGTAAGTAGTCAAGATAAACATGAGTTAGAAATATATGTGAAGGGTGAGACCCAGGGTATTGATTAATCTGAAGGAAGCTTCTAGAGGTATGTCAGAAGTAGGGCTTTAACCTTTACCCTCTCCTTTCAAGTTCTTGGCTATATAAAAACTGCAGTCTATAAAAATGTCATATATAAATGTGCATATATATATATAAAATATATATATATCTGTATATATATATTTATCCCTATGATATATATATAAAAATTACATGAAGCTTGGAGGGAGAAATAAATGTTCTTAAGGATAAAATCAGGATGGGGCGCCTGGGTGGCTCAGTTGTTAAGCGTCTGCCTTCGGCTCAGGGTCCTGGGACTGAGCCCCACATCGGGCTCCCTGCTTGGCGGGAAGCCTGCTTCTCCCTCTCCCACTCCCCCTGCCTCTCTCGCTGTGTCTCTGTCAAATAAATAAATAAAATCTTTAAAAAAAAAAAAAGGATAAAATCAGGATATAAGAAATTCCTGACAGGGATTTTTTTTTTTTTTTTTCCAGAAGGCATGGCCTTGTTCCCAAACCTCAGGGACTTATGTTGTGATTTTTTCAATGGGGCTTGCCACAAACTTCGCACAGCATATTTTCCTACCACTGATAACACCAGGGGATCCACTGAGTCATGTGACTCAAACAGGAGGGCTGCTTGCATGGCAGTCTGGACTGGCTGCAGAGCCCTTTCCTGTTTTACAGCTCTCAGATCCAGCCACTGTTCTCACTCCGGATATGGGCCATCAACGTATTGCTAGCTGTAGAACATGATGCCTCCAGAACCCAGAGACACCTACCTGGCACTGGGCATCCATTTTCATTGTAGTTGGTGAAAGATGAAATAGTTTGTCTTTCTCTTTGGAGGGGATGTCCAGCATGCCTCTGACCACGGGACCATAAATTTTTTTAAATTTTAATTCCAGTAAACATACAGTGTTATATTGGTTTTAGTGTACCGTATAGTGATTCAGCAATTCTGTATATTACTCAGTGCTCATCAAGATACGTGTACTCTTAATCCCCTTCGCCTGTTTCACCCATCCCCCTGCCCACCTTCCCTCTGGTAACCCTCTGTTTTCTCTGTAGTTAAGAGTCTGGGGGGAAGAAAAAAAGAAATTCCTGACAAGTTGGAGATACTACAACAATAATATGGAATGGAATTGGGTTGTATGAAAAGTTCATTCAGGTTCAAAAAATCAACTCCACAAGAAAGAAAGCAAGCTGGATACAGTAAGAATATAGACTCTTTAAAAATATAAAATAAGAATATAGACTATGAAAATATAGACTCTACAGTTTCCCTGAAGTGACTCTTGGGCTGAATTACTGGAGGACTACTATGAGGAACATGTGAAAATATACTCCTGGTATATATTCTGTGGGAGGAAGGCCTCCAATATCGAGCCCAGTCCTGGGATCGTGGCACAAACTGAACATATTCAGGGTAGAGTGACCAGAGAAGAGAAGGGTCTGGAAACCATGTTTGTAGTGCCACGTAAGGGCACAGGCTGACTACTGAAGTGGATTACTTCTGTAATAGTCTCTGTTCATGAGAAGATCTTCAAAGAGTTGTGAGCAACGTGGGTGTGGAGGGGAGACCCACGCTCTTGCCTTGGCATCAAGAAGAATTCCATGTTACCTCTCCCTTTTTTTGAACTCCACACATGCCCCACCTACTTAAAGCCGGGTTTCCCAAAGTGTGGGCTGCTGGGCAAGATGGTTTAAGGTAGCACATAGACCCAACTTTTTTTAGTATATGTGCTGCCGAAGCGAGCACGCACATAGACCCAACTTTAAATAACATTAAATCTCACGGTGAGATTGCTATTTCTATTTTCATTTTCTTTCAATTCATTATTACATACAGAAGAAAGTCTCTGACTGTTAATACGGTTTTGACATCTCTCTCGTATTTGCTGATCTTCCCTTTTGAGTAAGGAAAAGACAGGCCTGGAGCGTAGAGCCCTCAGCAAGCCACAGTATCTTGTTGGAATTTTAAACATTATGTTCTCATTGTACTAAGTTGTGATAAAGGGAAACTGGTTTTTTGTTTAAGGTGATGATCTAAAGTTTCCGACAGGGAGGAAAATCAAATGTGGGAGAGTCTAACGGCACTTTAAAGTAAGAAGCTATTAGCAAAGCAACACAGGGGTGTGTCCAAAAGCAAAACTGAAAGTATGAGGACAGGGTAAAACCGGTCAGGTCAGCGTAACACCAGTCAGCATCCCGTAACATAATTTTGATCATAGAAGCATAATTCGCACACACCACGAAGCGATAAGCACTATGGGCTAAGCAGTGTCTCCCAGGATGGCAGATGAGTTACAGGAAGTGCAGCCTGAACCCACCTCTGGGTAAGCCCGTGTCCAGGCAGGTTCTTGCCCGGGTCCTGGGTGGAGGAAGGGAGGGAGTAAAGAAAGGAAAGAGGGGCTTTGGATTTTGAAAAATAAAAATGAACTCCAAACCTGCATATTGGGGGAGGTTTCTTCAGACATGTTATTGGTCCTCCTGACTGTGGTGCAGAAAATAAAGCAGGTATGTCAGTATTCACAGCGTGTCCCCTCTCCTCTTGCTGCATTTCTGCAGCCCAGACAAAGGCCCAAGCTCTCTAGTCTGGTGAGCTGGGTGCCGGCTCAATGACGCAGTTGCAGCCTGTGGCTCACGTCATTTTCCTGCCTTACTGGCAAGCAGGAGTCAGCAAGTCAGCAGTTTCTCTCAAAGCACATTTTAAAAAGTCTTGAACAGGGGCGCCTGGGTGGCTTAGTCGTTAACCGTCCGCCTTCGGCTCAGGTCACGATCCCGGGGTCCTGGGATCGAGCCCCGCATCAGGCTCCCTGCTTGGCGGGAAGCCTGCTTCTCCCTCTCCCAGTCCCCTGCTTGTGTTCCCTCTCACTGTTTCTCTCTCTGTCAAATAAATAAAATCTTTAAAAAAAAAAAAGTCTTGAACAGATAATTTGCACACCTATGTTCACAGCATTATTCACAATAGCCAAAAGCTGGAGTAATCCAAGTGTCCACGGATGGATGAATCAATAACCAAAATGTGGAATATAAATACAATGGAATATTATTCACCCTTGAAAAGGAAATCCTGACACATGCTATAACATGGGTGAACCTTGAAAACATTATGCGAAGTGAAATAAGCCAGATACAAAAGAGCAAATACTGTATGATTGTATGAAGTATTCTAGAAGGGTAGAAATCATAGAGATGGAAAGCGGAATAGTGATTACCTGGGGCAGGGGGAGAGAGGCAATGAGCAACTGTTCAATGGGGATAGTTTCAATTAGGGAAGATGAAAAAGGGAAGATGCAAAGTGGTTAATTGTTGCACAACAGGATGGATGTACTTAAGACTACTGAATTGTACACTTAAAAATGATTAAAATGATGCTTTAAAGGGTTAAAGAAAACGAGTAAGTCTGGAAGAATCCAGGGAGTACCCAGCTGTGGAGAGAGTGGGGAAGGGGTGTGTCAGATCTCTGTTCCTCAGCCCCACCCCAGCCACTCTCCACCCTTCCCTGTCCTGCTCTACGCCCTGGCTCACATCAGCATGCCTCTCGCCTTCTGGCTTCTGCTTGGAGTCATTCAATGGGGAACACAAGCAGGAGATGAGGGCAGAGAGAGGAGTGAGGTCACAGAATCTATCTTCCCGGTCTCCTCCCTGCAGGATTGCTGACCGGCGACCGTGTCCCTTGTCTGAAAGTCTAGCAGCCCCTCTCAGTCTCAGGATTCTGGTGCTGTTGCCTCTTCAGACCAAGCGCAGTAGCAGTTGCCACGGCCCCTGGCCCCAGGGAACCACACTATCCCTTTTGGTCTTCCCACTTCCTACTAACACCTCTGTCAATAGTCTTTTTATTAAATTCTCCACAAATTACCCATTTTGAGCACATCATCTGTTTCTGGCTGGACTATGTCTGATGTGAGGTAACTTACAACAAAATTGGGGAAACACTGATGCAAAGAAGATCCACTTCTATCCCCAAAAGATCTCTCGGATCCTCAAAACCTTCCAGATATCCAGAGGAGGCAATGGTAAGCGGTCTTCCATCTTCCTCCCTGCCCTCCATCCCCTCTCTTGTTCCAAGAACTTCTTTTCAATTGCTATTTTAGTACAGAGAATTCAGCATCCATTGTTTTCTCCAATCTATAGACAATCACATTTTTGTACATAAGAGAATTCCATTCCAATAAAACAAATCATTCAGATATTCCATGGTGTTTTATTATTTTTTTTTTAAAAAGCATTTTTCCTGTGAATGTTTCTATTGAATCCTAGATACAGATATTCAAGGATATGGGGCAATTGCAGTTAAATATGAATAGTAAAGCTGAAATGGCATTTTTGTAAGGCGGTTCAAATTGGTAATAGAGACAAAGCTCCGTTAGATGAGTTATCTCTCCCCTCTAAAGTGGATAACTATGAGGGAAATAGTCAAGAGTTTTGCTTTCCTTCTAGTAGTAATGGCCTAGAATAAGTTGAACATAGCTACCCAACCTCCTCTGAAGTCCAGGGAGATGTATCCTGTCCAGGCTTATACTATTACACATGTTATTTTCAGGTCAAAAGAAACAGTCGCACTTGCTTGTAAGGTCAATGGCTCAGGTAAGCAGACCATCTCTTTGCTGCAAAAGAAGAGCAACAAGAAGGTATACGCTCAGGGCAGGTTCCTGATTGGTCAGGAGAGAGGGCTAGGAGTCGTGTGCTCTTGTGGTTCCATGGTGTCAGGTGGAAGAAGTCTACAATCGTCCATTAGAGGAGTCTACTACTCCTGCCCTCCACGTGCCCAGAGGGGTAAGACTAGTATAAATCCCTGCTAGAGGCACAGGTGGATCCACACCTGTGAATGTGACCAGGCTGTGCAATTAGAAAGCTTTACTCCAATAAAATCATACATAGAAACTAAATAAGACATATATAAAACAGACTGTATATTTATATATAAAATTATCCAGCTGTATATCAGATAAAATGAAGTTTCTTATATTGAAGTGGGAATGGGAAATTGAAAGTGGTAATCGTTGTACAACAGGATGGATGTACTTAAGACTACTAAATTATACACTTGAAAATAATTTAAATGATTTTTTTAAAGAGTTAAAGAAAACAATTAAGTCTGGAAGAATCCAGGGAGTACCTGGCTGTGGAGAAAGTGGTGGAGGTGTGTGCCAGATCTCTCTGTTCCTCACCCACACCCCAGCTATTCTCCACCCTCTTTGGCTTTCTAACACCTCCAACCCAAGATGGCACCAGAGGAAATTCAAGAAAACCCTGGGTCTTTGTCATCTCTTCATTGAGGAAGCTCACCACTGTGATGAGATTGCACCTCAGCAAATGTCACATCTAAGGTCAGGATTGGTCCTTGTGGGTGTATCGGGGTCGGGTGGAGTGGGGTGGAGTAGGGTGGATTTTGGGCTTACTTGTCATTGACCGGCAAAGGAGCAGTACAGAACTTCCCAACAATGGTGGTCCGGTCTTTTCTCCAAACTCGGCGGGAAGACTGAAACTTGAGTTTCACTTGGTTTATCTGGCACTGAGGGGTGGCGTGAGCTATGACTCCTTTCCCCTGGAGTTCCTGTCTAGGTCTGCAAGGGAAAGGGAAATTAATTTACCCAAGCACATTTGGCCTTTGCTTCCCCCTTGGTTCCTACAGGGCTCTGCTGGTAGTGTGGGTTAGCTGTCATGCACAAAAGAACTCCTTGAAGGTGGGGACTACGATCCTTTGTATCACACTCACCAGCCCCTCTGTGCACATACTCACAGCTTTAAACATGGGTTCAGAAAATAGTTGTTGATTTTTGAAAGCAAACAAGTGGACATGGCAGCAAAATAGTAGCTCTTAGATTTTCATATCTGGGAAAAATGTCTGTGTTTCTTAGATTCCTAATTGGAGAAGATCTTCACTTTCAGGTCTACCTACTGGAAGTACAGCCCTCTTTTAGGGCATTCAGTTCCATAAATTTTGTGTAGACTACTATATTTTAGACTGAGTATGAATGTGTGGATGGGGAAAAAACAAACAAAAAACGGATCTTGAAACCAGACAGAGCTGGTGTGGTACCCAGGTTTCCTCTCTTCCCAACTGTGTGGCTTTGGAGTCACACGCCCTAGGTCTAATCTCCAGCTCTCCCACGTGCTAGCCCCTGCCCGGGGCCTCTCCGGGCTCAGAAGCAGTGGGGCCTGGAGAAAAAGGAGGAGAGCAGGGGGACGGGGCTTTCGCCTTTGCACATGGGCGTTGGGTATCATCGAAGAGGGGGCGCATGGCTCAACCACATGGTTTCCCTTTCCTTTCTGGCCTCTGTGGGGTGATAAAAATGTCTTCTTTGCGTACTTTTTAACAACCTAAGGTTAGTCATATGGTTTGTTTTTTTCTTTTGAGGAAGATTCTATATGACTTTAGAAGCTGTTCCTGGTTTATTTTTGTTTTTTAATTTTAGAAGTGTTTTGAAATATATCAGAGCGGGGGGAAAAAAGATTTTTCCTTTTAAGAAGCTGAATGGATAGAAGAGCTTGCAAACTAGCAGGGTATGAAGGATGCTGTGAGTGACCTTGAAGAGGAAAATTACCCAGAGCAGGCCCAGGCCCACAGGCCCCAGTAGATAGTTACTAGCTCTGTTGGTAGAGCAAGAGATAACCAGCCATTTCTGCCTCTGTCAACAGGCTTCCCGCCACAGCCTTCCTACACTGCTGTTCCCGCCTAAAGCAGCCCCCACCCCCCCAGTTTAAACCCACCTACCAGCAGCCAGCACAGCCCTTGGAACCTAACCCCCTGCACTCCCCTATAAAACACTCTATAACGCCGCTGCCCCGGGCCCCTAATTTTGAGCGCAAACTCGTCTGGGTCCATACACGTAAAATAAACCTGAGTTCTCCTACTTCTCTGAGCATTACTTGGTTTCTCACCTGTCTGATTTTTATTTTTCTGCAACAACCTAAGGACTTGGTTTGGGTAAATTTTCTAATTAGAAGGAAATCTTGGGGTTTTGCAAAGCTATAGAAAGTAAGGAAAGACCACACATAAACCCCCCTCCTTTTTTCAATTTCTATTCTGCAAAAAGGAAAAAAAAAACAAAAATGAAGGAATTGAAGACAACCATGTTCTGAATCTTCCACAAAAGATTAAAACGCAAACAGCTTTTGGGAGAAGAAAGAAAGAATCTGTGGGTATCCATTCCAATCACCCAGGGAGCTTTTAAAGGTGTAGTGGTTGAGGCTATGCCCAGAGACTCTGCTGTAATTGGCCTGGGGGTGGGGGGGGTTGGGAGGGGCGGTCAGTGGTGGTTAACGCTCTCCAGGTGATTCTAATCAGCAGCTAGCTGTGTGTCATTATCTTGACTCCAGCCAGTGTTGGCTCATCTACCAAAACAGAGAGGTGATGAAGACACCTGATGGAAATAACACGACCTCGAACTGATCTAATGAAAATTATTCAGCTATAATCTGCAAGACTCACGTGGGCACCTGAAGATCTGTGTTGGGATCCTGCCTGCCTGCCTGCCATCCCTGTCTCTGTGGCCTGTGTCAGCTGGAGCCCTGGTTGGTGGCAGGGTGTTTGGGAGTCCAGAAGTGTGCTTCTCTCAGAAATTTGTCTTCCCTGACAGTACAATTAATGTCTAATGCTGCAGCCTCCAGAGGGCCTTTAGGGTTGGTCTTTTATAGAAGGCTAACCAGGGAACTTAAATCCTTTTAACATCTCTATTGGTAACACCTTCAATGGCTTACTTCCTTTTTAGGGGCTGGTTATTCTTTTTTGGTCACAGATGATTATCATAAAGACACCCACCCCGCAAGCCTAGGGCAGGGTGGTGCCCCATTACCAGTTGTTTTTTAAAGAGACAAGCACCCCTGCCGCTGAGTTCCTCTCCCTTGCCAGGCTTGAGCCTCCCTATAGTTGAAGTTCTCTGTCTTCCCACCTCAAGCCTGGTCCTGCCAGCTGCTAGGCCCAAATGTAACCCCACAAGGGAAGGAAATGCTCAGCCTGGTTCTAGGGATTAGCACCAGATGGCCTCAAGCCGTGCTGGCCTCACCTTGTACTCATTTGCTAACTGACCCTCTGCCTGTGATTCAGTTCTAGTCACTCACCCAGTACCACCTCCACTTTCCAGGACTGGGTGCTCCCCAGGCTCTGGTCAGCCCTCCCTGGGCTAGTGGCTGATATCCTCCTACTTGCTGACATCCCTGATGCCCCCTTCCTGGATTCCTGATTAATGTTTCCTATCAGGGACCCAATTCTCATGTTCTCACCACCCGTTGAGACATCCCATTACTTCTGCTCGCCCGCCTCCTCTGCTATTGCCTAAATACACTATCCTTGGATCCACTGCTGATCGTGAACCTGGGACAGTTGCCCAGCATGTGTCTGTGGGTGCATCCGTCGGAGGTACTGCCCTCACCCCCACCTCCAGCCCAGTGGGCTTGGGCCACCTCTCAGTGAGCACACAGTGCCTATCGTGGGAGATGTGTGTGCATGTGATGCGGGACACTTACGTACATGGTGATCTTGACCAAGGAAGTAACATTGCTGCTAAGGAAGGTGACGGAGATGAGGGTGTCTTTGTTTCTTGGCTCCTGCAAGTAAAACTCCACGAGGCTGTGATGCACTGGGAAACCAAAGCAGAGCAGACACCTGGGCCAGAGGTCAGCGGTGCAAAATGCACCCAAAGCCCCAGAGGGCCGCAGGGCAGGAGTCTGAGACCTGCCTCTTAGCAGCAGATTACCTGCCATCCCAGATCCTTAGCTTCCTCATTGTAAATTGGGGGTAATAAAAATAGGTCTGAATGAGAGTTAAACGAGTTAATACCTACAAAGTCCTTAGACAGTGCCTGTGGCTAGGAAGCATTCAATACATGTTAGTTTTTGTTACTACTTGTAATGCTAGAACGTCCCACTCCCCCCTGCTTGATGACATTCTCTTGGTGGTGTGATTTTGAAAGAACTGAAAAGGATGTCCCATATACTAAATAAGTAACTCATAAAATGTAGCAATCCCCCTCTGCTCCTCCCCATACACACAGTTTCAGCAAGCCCACTTGTGTGTAGGAGATGACTGTTTCCCTGTCTGTGCAGCCTCTATGACAGCTCCACCCTCCCAGGCAGCACGAATCCTGGGGCTTTCAAAGCTGGTGTCATTGACACAGCCTGGACGAGGAGCCCGGCTCGCGGTGATACCCCCGGGACCGGCTATCTCTCTGGCAAGAGAGGTTAAGAAGAATTACAGCTTCTTTAACATCTGTCCTTTCCTTATTAAGGGGGAGGCCCAGCTGGCCGCACTGTGCAGTATCTTCGGTCTTGGGGCATTTTCACAGACCTCTCTGGTGATCCAGACACAGCTGGAGAGGCAATCCCTCACCTCTGCCCTACTTGTACTTTTTCATTTGTCATGTTTAACAGGCAGTTACTGGAGGGACATCAAGTGGATTTAGGTAGACTTGGCACTAAGCTGGAGGAGTGCTGTGATCCATCTGGGCTCATGGGGCTGGTAACAAGACTCATTGACAGGTGCTAAGAAGCCAGGAACCCACAGGAAAGAAAGAAAGCACCGTATGTTTCTCCTCCGCAGAGGAAAACATCCAGTGCCATGCCCCTTCTGTCTCTCTCTCAGTTGGTTGCTAGGGGATGCAGATTGTTATGGTGATGGGCAAGGGCTGAACTGGAGTGGGTAACTGCAATGTGGAATAAAAGTTAAACTATGTAAGCTTTAGGAATTTCATTCTCTAGGCTGAGTTTGATATATTACACCACTCCTTCCTTTATCAGCAGGTCTCACCTCATCAAGAAAGTTTCCTAAGGTTCTGCTTCTCTCTTTACAGTATCTGGAGGCCCGGGGAGGGGCGGGTCTACTAATGTTGGGCGGGTGGGAACCAATCTGTGCAGGAGGGAGACATGGGAAGCAGCACACAGAGCCCTGGAAGGGAAGAGATCCAGGAGACTCGAAGCCAAGGCCCAGCCCTGCTTCCTCACTCTGTCCCTTGCCCTAAGTTACCGAACCTCTCTATGGCCTGGTTCCTTCATCTGTAAACAATAACGCTTGACATTACCTCACAGAACATGGCAAGGATGAAATGAGGTAATGGGGAGAGAGCGCTTCATGGGAAACGTCCTACAAGGGGAAAGTAATATTGTTAGAAAAATTGTTATTTGGAGAGGGCTTCTCTGCCCAGCAGGTGCATGCCTGGCAGGAGTCAAGGGTGACCACTGAACACTGCTGTGGCCCCGACAGGCCAAGCGAGCCAGGCAAGGGGAGCCCAGCGCCGTGCTGGCATGGGGGATGGGTGAGAGGGGGGCAGCTACGGGCTGCTCGTGCCCCCTGAACTGCCAGGTGGACGGCCCGCCCCTCCAGGCAGAGGAGGGTCCCAGCTGCAATGCTGAGAACAAAAAGCTCAGAACTGCAAGGCTCAGAGCACGCACGCAAGCAGGTATCCATGCTGGCTTGTTTCCTTCTGTGCCTCTCTGAGGTTGGTGAACAGACAGGGTCATGCTTTTGGGCCACAGAGAGGGTGTCTCACCACAAATAGGAAACAGTCACAAAAATGGTGGCTCCATGGATCTGCCTCCGCAGGGACCTTAAAAGGCCTCTAACCTCAAGTGTGCCCCAGGCTCTGGTCCTGGCCTCACCGCCTCTGCCACTGGACAAAGCATCCTCCCTCAAGCTGACCTCTGGAGGGGGCAGTGAGGACAGAGGAGTAACCAAGAAACATGGCCGTAAAGAGCAGATTCGCTCTCAGAAGCAGAGGCAAAGAGGCCAGAGTGGAAGTGGGCGGTGGCATGGAGAGAGAACAGATCTGGGAGTCAGAAGACCTAGAGTTGAATGCTGCCTTTTCCTCCTCACTGTGTAGCCTCGGGCACAAGGCTTCGTCTCTCAGAGCCTCCCCGTCCTCACACCTAACTCAGAGTTGGGTTGTCAAATGAGTGGATATATGTGAGAAGCCCAGAGTTGACTCTTGTAACCCACTTATTCCTAAGAGGTAGCCAGGAATTCTCTCTAGCATGATAAACACCCGCATCCAGTCTCCTCCAATTCTCTGGCTGATAAAGGGAAAGGAATTCTACTACTTATCAAGTTCTGGTCACTGTGCTAGCAACTTTCTGTATACTCTTATTCTATCCTCACAGTTCATTCTTTGAAGTAGGTACTGTTATTGCTCCCATTTTCTACATACGGATGTAGAGGTTCAGAAAGGTTAAGTCAGATTCTCCTGATCACACATCTGGGAAGTGCAGAAGCTGAGATTCAAATCCACGTTTATGTGACCACAATCTGAGCTTTGGGCTCCATATCACACGGCACCAGGAGTTCTGGTTCAAGGAAGGAAGGGTCACTAAGATCCCTCCACCAACCAGACATAAGCTGATCTGAAAATCAGTTAGAATTAGCATGGCCATATAATTTATCACCCTAACCAGCATACTTTTGTCCTGTACCCACAATAAACCAGATGAGATCCCAGGATAACAAGCATAAAAAAGGAAGTATAGTCCATCTGCTTAAGATGCAAATAGCACAGGAAAAGATGATGCTCCAACCTGGGATGGATTTCATAGATTCTAAGACATACTTTCCTCTCACATTTAACATCTTTTACTAGCATCTTCACTTCAGTGAAATGCCTTGGTTAGAAGCAACAGTGAAGAATTGAAATATGTATGTGTAGGGGAAGGAGGGCAGAGGGTAAGGTTCAATATTCTTCAGAGACCCTGACCTAAGAGGGCTGCCAGGGTGGGAGACGCATAAGATGAGCATCAAGGAGGGGGTAAAAAAGTATGCAGGAAGGAGGGAGCCAGAGGGCCCTCCCAAATACCACACTACAGAGAACCCACACTGGAGGGAGGTGGGGAGGGACTAGGAGAAGTATATAGACAGTAAGATGTCCCTAAGTCCTCATCTGCAGCAGAGCAATGGGTTGGACTAGCTCCGTAAGTTCAGGATCTAAGACCAGTAGCTGCTGCCCCCCCCCCCCCTCCGATGACATCTTTGCCCCAGTCTTTCACCTCCCGCCTCAGCCACCATGCTGTGCTAGACACAGCCCAAGCCAGAGCCCTGGACTCTGTGGGACAGCACACGAGCAGAGCTGAGCTACACGTCTTTCCCCCAACTCACCACAGTATGGAGCCCGGGCAGTGGTCAAGAGGAAGACTTTCACTTCCTTAGGAAGCGGCTCTATCTTGACACCACTTTGTTCCATCAGCCCTGGAAGCAGAGAGGCAAAGACAAAGACAGCAGAGCCCTGAGGACGCCAATGCAGCGTCCCATGGCACCCAACCACGTTTTGATTCATTCATGCACTCGTTCATTCTACAAACACCCACACTGTATGCCCATTCTACACCATGCCCTATGGTGAGTCCCAGGGTACCTGCAACCCAGTCCAGCCAAGGATAAACACAGAAGTAAACAGGAAGTACATTCTTCAAATCATCTGGCCCATTCCAAGAGGTATTTATCAGAAATTTGAAATTATGTCTCCAATTGGCAAAATAATCTATAAGAGAGTTGTTTGGATGGCATTTATATCCTGTGCAGACAAAGCACAGGGAAGCGTTTGACCTGAAGAATAGCAGTTGACAAGTCAGGGAAGGGCACTCCAAGCAGCGAGTACAGTTCAGACAGAGACACACAGGGTGAAGAAACGAAATATTCTTGGAAGTACAAGTAGTTAGCATCCCTGGGGTGTTCAGAGCCAGGGAAAGTGTGGTGAGAGGTGACACTGGCAGATAGTGTGAGGTGGCTGTTTATATCAGCAGGTCCATCACACCTGGGGGACATTGTGGCATATGCCTACCGAGTCGGAAGTAATGTTGATTTGCTTTATTGTGGGAAGCTACATCTACTTGAACATTTTGTCAAGCTGGTATCCGTTTCATAAGGAATGCCAGGCTGCCACAGTTCTGAGTGGCAGCCGGGGGTGAGAGTGAGAAAATGAGGGAGGGGAAGGAACCATTTATATTTCCCAGAGTTCTTCCTGAAATCCGTCATCTTGGAGAATCCTAGGATGTTCTCAGCAATGACCTGCAGAGGGTAAGTTGAGGCCAGATCCCTCAGCCTTTCCCCAGTCCTTCTCCCCAGACTGGCCTGGAACATCTAGGAATGTGCCCAACCCAACTAGTAACGAGGCAGGCCTCCAGTTGGCACATGGCCACCACAGCTTCACACCTCTGAAGTGGGCCATGGGTGCCATTCTTGGGGATTCCCCACACAACACCCTGATTTAGAGTCTATCAGGAGTTGGAGAATGGCTGGCCTAGCTAGAAAGACCTAGGGCAAGCATCTGGTCTTACAGTGGGGGCAGAGGCTCTGGGCTATACCAATGTTTCTAAAGCGTCCCGAGTCTGGACTTGCAGATGAGGGGCTGTGTGTGAAGGGTGTGTGCAGAGCAAGTATGGCATCAGGCTGCAGGACAGAGGGTGAGGGGTGGGACGTGGAAGGCCAAATGCCTTCTTCCAGGTGGGAACAGGCTGAACACCTAATCAGTGAATTTCCTTACTCCGGGTGGATAGACTTGTTGATCATAAGAAATCAGGACTTACAGAGGTAACAACTAGCAAGACTTGAACTTTCCCCAAATTGTCAAAGGAAGCCAAAGGGGTGGCATTTACCAATTCTTGGGCAGGAAAGCAGAAAAGGGTTAAAACAATCCAGACATTGTCCAGCAAGAAAGGCCTTGTAGTTGACACAGGGAAAGGCCACGAGTGGACAGGAATTCTCCAGGGCACTGATGTAGAGGTGCACAGCCCTCATGTGATCACAGATCAGGTAACTGTAGCCTGTGGGGGTGGGGGTGGGGGGGGCGGGAAACACAACCAAGGCTTTAGTTTAAGACAAATGAAAATCCCTTCATGCTACTTATTGTAATTCTATTGAATTTTATATTCTAGCAGGCTATAAATACATGGGATGTCTCCTGAGCCACATTTTAAAATGTTAATGGACATGGCTACTATATTCTCCCTCTTCTTTTGAATTTTCCTGAGATACCTAAGCTTAATCTATCAAAAAAATTGTTTAATTTGAGACCTATCTTCCATGATCATGCAAATTCTCTTTTGGAAAATAGGAGTTTACTGGGAATTGGTGATCCTGACCCACTTCTCACAATGAGTATCTGTTTGCACATTTACCTTCTTCATCATCACCTACACAATCCAATTTTTTACAACCTCATGATACCCAACCTACTGATGAGACAAGCAAGGGAGTCAGCAGCAGTTCATGGTAAGTCTCTGAAAGTCAATGTGCTTCGAGTTCACCTGGCCAAATGACTGATTCACTGAATTTGCCAAATGTCCCAATTTAATAAAAACCTGGTTTTCTTGTTATTGTTTACTGTATAAAAATTTGAAGTAACTCACATTGGATGAATTGGCTGGGCTAATAGGTCTATAGTGAGCCACAGCTCTAGGGTTCTGGGGTCTTCAGATTCTCCCATCACCTTGGGAACCCCACTCTGGGACCAGCAACCAAGTCCGAGCTTGTATTAACCTGCCTTCCCCCATGTTTGGGACACTCTATGGGCAAGCTCCTTCCAGCTGCAACAGGGAGCTGGGGGACACAAACAAAACCCTTCTCAAATTGTGTTACGAAGAAAAATGACAAGTGGCCAACTAAAATGCCACAGAAATATTCAAAGGTCATTAAATCCAAACTATCTCATCTGATAAAAAGTCCTAGAAAATCTATAAATTGTGAAAAAGAAACATGTTTTTGGAAAATCAATGAATTTGGTAAATTAGATGAGTGGTTATTCAATAAAATTGTCAAAAGAGCCCTTAAAATGTCAAAAATTTGGTAAAGCAGGAAAAGACTAAAAACAAAGTAAACAGAAATCAGGATAAAATTCTCATAAGAAATGCTGATAGGTTGGCTATATTCATAAGAAAAATAAAAAAAGACTAAACAAACCTTGACCCTTAGCTTTTGACAAATTTAATGTTATTTAAAATAATGCTAAGAAGAATGTAATTCAAAAAGAACATTCCAGGAGACTACAACTGACCCTTGAACAACAGGGGAACCTCCCATGCAATTGAAAATCCATATATAACTTTTCACTCCCCCAAAACTTAATTATTAATAGCCTACTGTTGACAGGAAGCCTTACTGATAACATAAACTGTTGATTAACACATATTTTGTATGTTATATGTATTCTATACTGTATTCTTACAGTAAAGTAAGCTGGATAAAAGAAAATGTTAAAAATCATAAAGAGAAAATATATTTATAGTGCTCTACTGTATTTATCAAAAAAAATCCATGTATAAGTGGACCTGTGCAGTTCAAACTCATGCTGTTCAAGCATCAATTGTGTATTTAGAAAAGAAGAAATATATATTCATTGAATGTACTCAAGATGATTATCTTGAAACAGTTTTGGAAAACTGCCAAATTTAATAAGTTTGGGGAAATGGTCATCTGTGGATTGATCCTTCAGCTAGCCAGCTTTGAGCATTCTACTTCTGCCACAACTAGGCTCTTGCCAGGGATGTAGCTAGTGTGGACCATGCCACAGAGCGGGACCCAGGAAGAATAGAGTTTATTGGCTTGAGTGATGATATATCACTGCAGGACCTAAGAAGTGGGGAGGCCAGCAAAAGTATGGTGCAAGCTTTTCATTTTGGGCCCTCCTCTCCCAAAATTCCCCAGGCTCCTACAGACATGCATTCAATAAGTGCAGGAAAGGCATTATGGGGAATAGCAAAGGACACTAGAAGAAAGACTTCCTGTGGTCTACACTGGCTGTTGGTGAATTCCAGCCTCCGGGGCAGCCAAACCCCAACTCTCTTTGGTTTTCTGACCTGCATGAATGAAGGTGGGACAGCCGGGTTGGTCTTGGCCTCCATTGACAAAGTAGTCCACGTGTCCAACAGGAATCCGGATACCCAAATCTGAAAGGAGGCAGAACCCCATTGTTTCGGACGGCAGGGGCATATTTTCTGGGCCCCACAGCAGGGTCCCCCGGCAGCAGAGCCTGAACTCTGACTTTGGGAGCCCACCCACTCTGTGTGCCCATTGGGTGCCCACCTCACTCCTCAATGCTGGGACACAGCAGAGCATGCCCTCCATTTTCTACACTGAAAGGCAGCCAAGAAGAGTAAAGCCATGAACAGATATTCATATTTGTCTAATAAAATCAAGAAAAATACCCCTTAACATCAATCAGTTCTGATAAATCACTAAATCTTATAAGCCTGGTAAATGTCCTTGTTGAACAAGTGTTTATTTTGTTTGGAGCTATAGTTCAGGTAGATATATATTTGGGGCCACATTTCCACAGTGCCCCTCATATTTTTGTGCTGTCTTGACGGAGCAGAAACCTGGCTAGTTTGAAAGACTGTAGCGTGAGGGCGCCTGGGTGGCTCAGTCGTTAAGCGTCTGGCTTCGGCTCAGGTCCTGACCCCAGGGTCCTGGGATCGAGCCCCGCATCGGGCTCCCTGCTCCGCGGGAAGCCTGCTTCTCCCTCTCCCACTCCCCCTGCTTGTGTTCCCTCTCTCACTGTGTCTCTCTCTGTCAAATAAATAAATAAAATCTTTAAAAAAAGAAAGACTGTAGCGTGTAGCTCTCATTTCATCACCGTGGCCATATCTGACCCCTGAGACTGGGTCTGAACCAGCTGCCAAAGACCCCAACTTTCCTCTTCATAACACCTTTCCCCTTCCCACATCTACCACTACTGTAAGTGATTGGTTGTATGTTATTTGTTTAATGGCATCTCTCCAGGGGTTAGCCAAGGACCTAGAAGTTATCCTTGCTTCCTCCCTTTCCCTCATTCCCTACACTTAGCCCGTCACCTGTCTGGTCAGCTCTACCTCCAAAATATATTTCGAATCTTTCTACTTCTCTACATCTCTACTGCCCCCACCTCTTCTCTATGTCTCTACTGCCCCCATCTCCCACCCAGACCACTACTGCAAACACCCTCTAATGAGCCTCCAGGCTCCCTCAGTGTCCCCTGCAGCTGATTCTCTGCACAGCAGTTGCAATCATCTTTACAGGAAATCCTAATGCCTCCCTGTTCTCACCAACTACAGAATAAAATGTAAACTCCTCACTATGGCCAGCCTGGTCCCCCTCCTTCTTCTCCTGCCTCACTCCCTGCCCTCTAACCATGTGGTTTTCTTTGCTGTCCCCACCCATGTCCAGGCTTTGCTTCTGACTGCTCTTTCCACCTCGAATGTTCTCCCAGATCTACTCAGGGCTGGTTCATTCTCACCTGCAAATACTCACCTTGGACAGACTTTCCTCAGTAACCCTACCTGAAGTGGCTCCCTCACCCAAATCACCCTCTGCCCCACCTCCTCAGTCATGGTACTCACAGTGTGTAATTATGTCTGCTTATCTGTCTGTAAGCTCTACAACTTACAGCAGGGACTTTGCCTGTGGTTTTTTTTTCTGCTATATCCCCAATACCAGCACCATGCCTGTCCCATGTGAGTACCTAATATTTATTGAAGGAAGTAATGAATGAATGCCTGCTCAATTGGTCTATATTTCTACATGGGTGGGGACCTTCTTCAATGCCTTGTGCCTTGCACTATTCTCAATGCTGACTATGTAGCTCAATAAAAATTGGTTAGACAAAATGGAATGCTTTTTTTTTTCCCCTCTCATCACATTAGGAGGAGGCTCCAACTTTGAAGGGGACTGAGAGGCCTCGCTCTGGTAACTGGGGACCTAATAAGTCTAAATTTAGCAAATTTAGAGACAGAAGGGGTTAACCTTCATAATTAACATGGTTAACCCAACAGCTAGGCAGAGGCTTGTGGGCTTTGCTTTCCTATCTGTGAGATGATGAAGGAAAGAGGGTTAAATAATATGCCTGCATGGGTTTTTTCCAGAATTATGAATCTGTGAGTGTTGGGTGCTAAAAGAAGTCTTCTGGGGGTGTCTGGGTGGCTCAGTCATTAAGCGTCTGCCTTCGGCTCAGGTCATGATCCCAGGGTCCTGGGATCGAGCCCCACATCGGGCTCCCTGCTCCGCAGGAAACCTGCTTCTCCCTCTCCCACTCCTCCGCTTGTATTCTCTCTCTCTCTCTGTCAAATAAATAAATAAAATCTTTAAAAATAAATAAATAAATAAAAGAAGGCTTCTGACCCAAAGGAATGAGACCTGGACACCTCTTACTTGAATGGCACATTCTTCTGGTGAGGGATAGGCATTATTTCTTCCTGTAACTGCCATGCTGAGCACAAGGCCTGGCTACCTCCTAGGCATTTCATAAAGGGTAGAAATGAGGAAGAATGCCCAGCCCCCTTTCCCAGCTGGTCAGAATAGCTTTTTTGGTCATAATGGATTCAGGGTTGGGGGTCTTTCTTGTGCCTGTCACTGTTGGAGGGGAGGATTCTCATTCTTCACTGGCCTGAAGGGCTGGGCTCCTCTCTAGGAAGGAGGGAAGTCCTGCAGGCCTGAGTATCTGCCCCAGAGGGGCCTGTGCCACGGGGCCAGGCACATTCACCCTGAAAAAACAGCATGACTTTCCCCTGTGCCCGCCAGGCAGCAATGCCTTCCCCCACACAGCCTCATCACAAGGTTTAGTATTAATCAGAGATCAACATGACACTGGTAAACTCACTGCAACAGAAGCTCAGAAGGGAGGGAACCTGCCCAGAGCCACACAAATAGATACCGGCTACCTAGCCCCTGCCGGGCTCATTCCCCTACCCTAGGAGGGTCACCCACCCCCCATACTCACTGTCAGCATCTGTGTGGATGGCCTCCACGAAGCGGGCATCTCCAGGGTCCAGGCGCTCCTCCAGGCTGGCTTTGGTGTACTCCGGTCCAGCAGGGTCCAGGCCTGCTGGGACAGACTGATGTCAGAGGCCCCTTTCCTCTCAGCTGCAGCAACCCTCATGGACCATACACCTCTCGGGGCAGCCCTTCCCGGTCAGTTCCTAGAGTCCTCCAGCAAGCATCCAAGGGCAAGAGGACCAGCCCAGGACCACTGTACCCAGGAAACCCCATGTTGTTGTCTCCAACTCTCAATGACCCAGCTTCTCTGGCTCTGAAATGAGCTTGATAACATCAACCATCTGGCAAGGGCTATAATATTAATCCTCATGTACTCAACACAACAGCTATAATTTTTTGAGCAGTTACTGTCTGCCAGTCCTTGTGCTGCTAGTCCTCATAACAACACAGTGAAGTAAAAATTACTATCCTCGTGTCTTAGTTTGGATGCCCTTTTCTCTCTTTCCCAAAAAGCAGACCCTGAGACAAAGATTTAAAGCACAAGGAGCTGATTTGGGAGTAGATCAGAGAAAGTATAGTGAGGGATTAGAAAAATGAGTCAGAGTTTGGAAAAATGAATGTATTATCACTTTGGGCAACTGGGTCTCATCTTACTGGCACCCTTCTGAGAGGCTCTGTAGAACATGACTCAGAATTGTCCTACCAAAGGGCCGGAAAGTGGGGGTATTTACCACACAACTCTAGTCCCTTATTGACTGAGGGTAGCTTCTAAAGCATAAAGTCCCTAGTGCTTTTGCAAGTATTTAGCATAATTGTCTAAGGGTGATTTCCACAGTGGGCCAAGGCAATATGAGCTATTACAACTCACGTTACAGAGGTAGTAATTGAGGCTCAGAAGAAACACGTGGCTTCTCACACTGACATTAGAGATCACACAATAACAACACAATACCGTTTCATGCAAAAGGGCCACAATAAATAAATTTTAGTGGAAATAGATCATTCAATCATAAGAACAAAGATCCCCTCTGCTTGCCTCAACAGAGGCATTTCCAGGGCATTCTCTCTCTATCTCTAAACTCGGGAGGATGGGCAGAGAATACTGTTACCTGTGATCCGTCCTAATTGGCCTTTGTAGAAATGTCCCACCATGCCCCCAACGTGGGCCCCCAGGCTAACACCAATGATGTGGATTGAAGACTCCGGTACACCCAGCACCTATAATGGGGCATTTACAGGGAATTACACATGGGTCACAGCAGCCTCTGGCCTCACAGGGTCACACTTTTCCCTGAAGCTTCAGAATCAGAGGACCCTGGGCATGACATCCCCCCACACACCTTCTTTGGGAGAAAAAGGCAGAATTTTCATCCCATTCATTACTTTCCCTCTTCCTAGACACCCCACCTTGACGATTGCCTCACTTTCTCTTTGGTGCCCAAAGTGTGTGAGTAATGACCATAGCCACTTCCTCTTGAGGGATTCCATATCTAACGTCAGCGGCACATTCTACAGAGGAGAAGCAGAGGCTCTGAGTGGGGCAACAACTTGCCCAAAGTCAACACTGTAAGTGGTAAAGTGGAGATTAGAAGGGAAAACCCACAAGCTACTGGGTGGCTCTGCTTCTGCCCTAAAGCTCCTCCTCATGTGTTGACTCTTTCTTTTTGTCCCCTCTCTCCTTCATAAGCAGCCAAAACTCACCCCCAAGCCTTTCAGCACCTACCAGAAGTTTTCTGAGGAAACGGGAGATCTCAAGTCCCAGCTTAACCACATTTTCCACGGCTGAGAAGTAGACACCTGTAGAACCATAAACCCAGTCCACAGCAATCACATTAGCATTTGCTGCCCGAAGAAGAGTGCCAATGAATTTATCAATCCAGGAAGGCTTTGTACCTAAAGCCCTAGACAGAGGGCCAAGAAAGGATAGGAAAATTATCTGCCAAGCCAATACCCATTGTCATGGAAATGACAATGATACTCTCTATTAACAGAATAAACCCAGGGGGGGAAAAGGTCAAAACAAATAAGGGGGGGTATATGGGCAATACATTTTACACCACTTTGAGCCTAGGGAGAGCATAATCCCAAAGTCACCAGGGCTTCAGCCTGCATATATGGAGCCTTTGTGTAAATTATAGAAAGGCCTTTTGTTCCAAGTAGATGCAGCCTCATGCCAGGGCCCAGAACTCAGGTTGGATTTCAGCCCCACCAGGTCTCAGTCAGGTACCTTGGTGCAGTGCATACTACACAAACCATATATCCTGACACTGCTTGTGTTACTCATGGGGGAGAAAAGATAGCTTTGTACCTTAGAGTTATGATTTGCAATCTTAATTCTCATTCTATAATATAAGCACTCTCCTTGAGGGATATTTTTATTTACTTGTTCATTCGGTCATCCTTTCATTAATTCAATGAGCGAGGAAGTATGGTAGGTGCTTCTCTCCAGCTCTGTTGGCTATCTCTGGGTTGGGGGTACACGCTCAGCCTTGGAGAGTGGCTGAATATAAAAGAGGAGAGGCTTTGGCACAAGAGTGAGGAAGAATGCCTATGGAGGGATGTGGCTGGGTCCCTGCAGTCCAGTGATCTGAGAAGCAGAGAGAACCCAGAGACCATGAAATAGTGATCCTTTGTGCAATGGCTTTGTGTCCACCTCTTTCTTGGATGCCCCCATCTCTAGTTGCTCGATACTGCTACTATTTCACTGCATTCTCTTCTTCTTTCCTCCCACCAACCTTCCTCTCTTTCTGGCCTTGCCAATGGGCTCTGGAGAGATGTTGGAAGGATGGATGGTGGTTGAATTAAGACTCAGTGTTACAACAATATTTGGACTGTAGGGCATCAAAGAAACTGAAGAGAAGTGTCTAGCACCTGAGGAAGGTTAACCTCAGGAGATGATGGAAGTAGCACCTGTGAGTGGAAGTTTCTTAAATCATGAAACCAGGGAAGAAATGAAGAAGAGGAAATAAACCTCCGGATAAAAACACCATGCTGTTACCCTGATTGCACAAAGCCTATGACCTCATTGGCTGAGATGAATCATATAACTCATGCTTCAGGGAGAAAGGGATCACTGAGACCATCTGTACAACTTCCCTTTTATTCAGATGTGGAAACCAAGGCTCCATGTGCTGGGGTGACTTGTTCAGGATCATACATATTTACTGTGTGAGAGTGTGTCGACAAGACTGAGCAGAGGAGTAATGTACATGACCAACAGGAATGAGCGACACAATGTGTGTTCATGTTGATATGAGACACCTTCAAAGGCAGCAGTAGGTGAAAGATGAAACATGAGACTGTCAGTAAATCCATTTCTCCTCTTGCTCCCCACTAACTTCCTATGGCATTATGGTCACTCTCTAGTTCCTAGCTGAGATATTTCTATTGGCTGATTACTCCCACCTGAATCCATGGATGAGTAGTTTGGTTCCTAGAGTGGCATTGAACCCAGAGTTTTGGAGGTCACTACTTTCCTGCACTAGCTGCCCACAGCTGGGATCCAAAGGGGTGAAGAGGAGAAACTGGACTTTGAGATTGGTGCCTCGGAGAAGATTAGCGTTCTGGAAGTTAGTGCACTTTGTCTGTGGGGTAGGAGGTGCATCCCCTGGAGGAAAAAAGCAAAAAGAAAAACAAGAATGATCCAAGGTGAGGTCATCTGTTCTTAGAAGGAAGAAAAGTATTCTTGAGAGGAAGAAAGAAACAGGGGCTTACAAGCATTTATTATAAATCAGCTAGTGCAATATTCAGACTAATTTATTAAAGACATCACTTCTATAACCAAAATCTGTGAATAGTTTTCATATCTAAAGATACAATGCCAGAAAAGGATATGACTATTACTCAACCAGAAAAGATTAAAGGCCATGCATGGTGAAGTGGATATTGTTATGAAATAAATTGAGTTGCCCCTATCAATCCGTAGGTTGAAGTCCTAATGCCTGGGACCTCAGAATGTGACTGCATGTGGAGATAGAGATTATTATATTAAAATGAAGCCAATAGGGTAGGCCCTAATCCAGTATGACTGGTGTCCTTGAAGGGGAAATTTAGACACAGACACAGAGGAAAGACAACATGAAGACACATGGAGTAGATGGCCAACTGCAAGCCAAAAATTAAATCAAATAATGTCATGCCTCTATGCAAAAAAAGCCTCTAAGGCATTTCCCTCAGAATGAAATCTGAAGTTCTAACAATGGATTGAAGCCCTGAATGGTCTAAACCACGGGCTCCAGGAGCACTCTGCCTGTCCAACTATTGCTTCATCTGTTCTGGCCACATGTCCTCCCAGGTCTTTCTCACTCTACACAGTCCTAGACCCCCAGAGGGTGTTTGCACTGGTCATCCCTTCTGCCTGGAGTGTCTTTCCACAGACATCAACATGGCTACCCCCCTCTTCTCCTTCAAGTCTTTGCTTGTCAAAGGTAACTAACTTGTTTGAATTGTTACCTTCCTGTGCCCCTCACCCAAGTTCTCTCAATCTTCCTCATCCTGATCTATTTCCTTTTATAGAAATCATACCCTTCTAATCTCCTATGGAATTCACAAGTTTATCATTAAGTGTATTGTTTATTGATTTCCCTACATTAGGATATTCTTTCAAGAAAGCAGGAATTTTTATCCATTTTGTTCACTCTCCTGCCTAGAATAGTGTCTGCCACAGACAATAAACATGAAAAGCTAGTTCTTTGAAAAGAATAATAAACTAGATGTACTTTTGATAAGACAGAGTAAGAAAAAAAGAGGGAAGTCACAGGTAAACAATATAGAGAATAAAAAGGGGATATAAATAGAGTAGATTTTTAAAACCATAAAAGAACATGTTTATACCCACCCAAAAGTTCAAAATACAGATATCTTCCTAGAAAATGGACAACAATTTCCTGGAGAAGTATAGCTTACTGAAACTTAGTCAAGAAAGAAAAAACAGAAAGTCAAATGTAAAACTGTAGCATTAGGGAATTGAAACAGTAGTTTTCAGTCTCTTCATCAAAAAACTCTACTGGGCCCAACAGTTTTACAGAAAAATTCTACCAATCCTTCAATTCTTATCACTGTTCTGGTGAATAGAAAAGGGGAGAGAGAATCTAAATTCATTCTATGAAAATAACCAAAATATCAAAACTGGGCAAGGACAGAAGGAGAAAGGAAGATGAAAGCCAATTTCACTATTAAACAGAGACATAAAAACCCTGAATTAATTATCAGCAAATCTAAGCCCATCAAGGATAACAAAAACTAAACACATATCATGGCCAGGGTTTAATCCAAGGAATGAAAAGATGGCTTAACATTAGAAGATGTATTAATGTAATTCATATATGAAAAATTAAAGAAAAAGAAAGATATATGCTCATCTCAATAGATGTAGAAGAAAAAAAGCACAATAAAATTTAATACCCAACACTTTTAACCTAAGAAAAAGTGTTTACCAAGAATCTATAGCAATGACTATAGTTATGGGTGAAACATTAGAAGCATTCCATTTAGAACTGGAAACAAATGAGAATTCTGCTATCAGTGCTTCTATGAAATATTGTCCTGGAAGGTCTAGTCCTAGCCAGGGAAACAAGACAATAAAATGGGATCAAAGTTACAAATTTTGAAAAGGAGGAGAGATAATCACCAATATTTGCAGATGATAGAAGAAAAGTTTTGATCACTTGGGAATATGGAAGGTGGCACAGTTGAATCATGCTCAGATATCCCCTCTCCCCAACTGCCACTCCAACCAAAGACTAATCGTAGATGAATATCAAAAGAGAAGAGAGAAAGACATGGCCAATCTCAAATATAAAGATTATATCTCTGTAAACAAGAACAGAATTGCAGGATGGTGCTGGGTTCCTCGTCTGGGAGAAGGCAGCTCTGTGAGGTGAGTGGGGTCCTAGAGTGCTCCAAGTCAGGTGTGGAAGATCAGCACCAGGCCCACCTGTGGTAGTGGGGGGAGGGGCTCCCCAACTTAGGAAAGGAAGCTAAAAACAAAAGCAATACAACCAAAAAAATAGCTATAGTCCTTTTACTTGGGGCTATAGCTTTATTTAGGGAGACAGGATGGAAAAACAAGGCCTCACTAATAAGAGCTGAGACAACCCGCCCCCAACTGGAGGAGAGAGTCTAAAGATGAGAAGGTGTGGGAGGCAGCTGGGTGGCTCTAGTCAGTTAAGTGTCTGACTTCAGCTCAGGAAATAATCGTCCTGTGTCCTCCAATCAAGCTCTGTGCTCAGCGGGGAGTCTGCTTGTCCCTCTCCCTCTGCCCATCCCCCGCCCCTGCTCTCCTGCTCTCTCTTTCAAATGAATGAATAAAATCTTCAAAAAAAAAAAAAAAAAAAAGATAAGAAGGGGAGGAGGTGATGGGAGGGAATGGGGGGGAGGCCAAACACAAGCATCTCATTGAACATTGAAATGAGACTGATCTATTGTGTTAGAAGTCAAGATAATAGTTATCTTTGGGGTGGCAGTGATTAAGAAGGGATACACGGAAGGCGTTTTAAGAACCTGGTAATGTTTTATTTCTTGATCCGGATGATGGTTACAGAGGTGAATTCACTCTGAAAATTCATTAATCTGTATACTAATAATCTGTGCACTTGTCTGTATATATGCTGTACTTTAATAATGAATTTACTTTAAAAAATTCTGCAAACAAAATGCCTAAATATATACAGAAATCAAATGTTTACAAAGATAGTCAAAAGCCAATAAATGAATCATGAATTCATTCCAGGTAAAATAAGGTTTTAAAAGCCTTTGACACTGACTTTAAAATAAGTATGCTGAGAATCTACAAGGATAAAAATAAAGACAGAGAATAAGAAATCATGATATAAAAAGAGGCATAGATGATAAGATATATAGGAAAAAACTAGTTCAAAAATTGGAAATGAAAAAGATAACCATTGAAATAAAAAAGGAATCAATACTATAATTTTTAGTACAGAAGTAAAAAACTTTTTAAAATTTATTTATTTTAGAGAGCGAGAAAGAGAGAGAGCACAAGCAGGGGGAGGGACAGAGGGAGAGGGAGAGGAAGAATCTCAAGCAGACTCCATGCCCAGCACAGAGCCTGATGCGGGGCTCAATCTCATGACCCTGAGATCTTAACCTGAGCAAATATCAAGAGTAGGATGTTTAACCAACTGAGCCACCCAGGCGCCCCAGAAGTAAAAAAAACTTTTAATATGAAAGTATAGTTAAAAAGTATAGACAATAGATGGAGAGGTTCCAATTTTTATCTAGTAGCTATTCTATAAAAGAAGAAAATAGGAGAAGCAGCAATATTTTGAAAAGATAATTGTTAAGAATTTTCCATAACCGAAAAAATATATGAGTTCTCCAATCAAAAATTACACTCAGGGTAATGAGCGAGATAAAAAATAAACAGGGGCACCTGTGTGGCTCAGTCAATTAAGCATCCAACTTAATTTCAGCTCAGGTCATGATCTCAGGGTTGTGGGATTAAGCCCCAAGTGGAGCCCCATGTGGAGCCCTGCGTCAGGCTCTGCACTCAGCAGGGAGTCTGCTTCAGGATTCTCTCTCTCCCTCTGCCCTGCCCTTCTCAAATAAATAAATAAACCTTTATCAATCAATCAATCAATCAATCAATCTAAAGGTATAGTATAACACCAGAACATCACAGATAAAAAGATATTTTTAAAAATTCCCAAATGCATTGGAAAACTTTGAAGAAATGGATAATTTTCTAGAAAAATATAATTTAGTGAAACTTACTCAAGAAGGAATTATAAGCGCAAATAAAACTACTAGCATCCAAACATTAAATTGGTAATCAAGAGTCTCCTCTGGCCCTAAAGTACACTAGAGCTAGATGGTTTTATCTGAGAACTCCACTGCTTTAAAGTACAAGTAATCTTTATCTTATATAAACTGTTCATAGAATAAAAACTTATTTCATGAGGTTATAATAATCCTAGAATCAACAGGACATGGGTAATACAAGAAAATGATAGATAATTTTTTATGGACATACATGCAAAATAATATATATAAGTATATACAAAAATAAAAATAAATTTTGGCAAAATAAAACAGCATTGCATTAAAAAACACACCATGATTAAAGGGTTTGTTTCTGGTGATCTTAGTCTGATTGGGCTAGCCCATGGGGCTTAGAAGAAAATATGAAAAATTGTCTTTATAGTAAGAGTGCTTAAACAAGACACCAGAAGCACAAATCATAATAAGAACTAAGAATTAAGACAACAATGTAATGACTATTTTTTCTATCAAGTTGACAATATGAAAAACGTTGATACTACAAACTATCGGCAGACAGGCAGGGAAACAGCCATGCTCACATACTAATAAATTGCTACAACTTCTTTGCAGGGCAGTATTTCCCACATCTATCAAAAATCCATAAGACAGGGACGCCTGGGTGGCTCAGTCGTTAAGCGTCTGCCTTCAGCTCAGGCCATGATCCCAGGGTCCTGGGATCGAGCCCCGCATCGGGCTCCCTGCTCGGCGGGAAGCCTGCTTCTCCCTCTCCCACTCCCCCTGCTTGTGTTCCCTCTCTCTCTGTGTCTCTCTCTGTCAAACAAATAAAATCTTTAAAAAAAAAAAAATCCATAAGACAGAAATCCTTTCAGATCTAGTATATCATGTATAAACGGCCATTTAGAGTAACAAGATAGCTCTGTGTGTTCATATGGCAGAATTTCACACGAACACACAAATTTTATATACATATAAGGAGGCCATTCTATACACACACACAAATAAGTGCTTGAGAGAAAGCACACATGAAGCTAGCAGCACCTTTTAAAAGCCATCCACTAATGCAGGGGGTGAATGCACTCATGCACTCTGAACTTTGGAGCAGGAAGGGGTGCTGAGAGAGGCATGAGGTGTTGCAAGAGAGGGAAGAATTGCAGCAGGCCTCCTGGAAGATGGGAAGAGCATACATCAACAAAAAGGTATGAGCAGCTCCAGACACAAGGACTGACACATTCTAAAGCTGGGGACCGACAATTAAATGTCTTGTGAACACGACTGAATAGGGGCCTGCTATGGGGAATAGGGTTGGGGGCGGGGAGCAGCTTTCCAAGGGGAAGGACCAGTGCTCAGAAGAGAGGGATCTTCACCAGCCAGAGAACCTCCAGGCCACGGGAGTGTTTAGGAGTGTTTAGATTTGCTACATTAAGACAGCAGGCGTGGTGGGTGGGGTTTTTACCTGGGGAAAGGTAGAATGCAAGTAGCACCTGCGGGAGTTTTTTCTAAAGGTCATCCTGTCATCTGCAGTTAGCAGGGGCTTGCTAGCATAGTCCCACCAAGAAGGACGACAAACCTAAATTTGAGTTGAGTCAGTGGATTAGCAAGGACATCTACCATTCACAATGCCAAAATCTCTGTTAGTCTGGAAAAGTAAAAAAAAAAATTTTTTTTTAAGATTTATTTATTTATTTGACAGAGAGAGGGGGAGAGAGCACAAGCAGAGGGAGCTGGAGAGGGAGAAGCAGGCTCCCCAGTGAGCGGGGAGCCCGATGAGGGGGCTCGATTCCAGGACCCTGAGATTATGACCTGAGCCGAAGGCAGACGCTTAACGACTGAGCCCCCAGGCGCCCCATGGAAAATGGTACACTGGATATTTACAGGGGGAATGTAAATCATATTTTGGAATTAATCAAGTCTTATTTTTTTAGAGTCATCCTGGCTTGTGCCAGGTGAAGAGGATTAATGCAGCTTTTAGAGAAAAGAGTACAAGAACTAGGGGGCTTGAGAGAGTGTCCTGGTCACCATCAGTCCCTTTATGATTGTAGGGTTTTTTTCATCCCTCTTCTAAATTCATCTCAAGAGAGGGCTTTTAGGGGACCTTCCAAAGGTTAACACTGCATAAATAGATGGCTTAAGAACTAGAACCTCCCAAATTAGCCAAGCTAATTTGGAAATTCCACCCAATTAGCCGAGTCCCCAAATTACCTGCACTTCCAATGCTGAGCCACAAAAGGAGTCCCCATGAGCAGAACTGTATCTTCCTGAGACCTGGGGGCATCGCTGAGCTGCAAGTCTCAGAGCTGGGGTGAAGCTGACTCCTACAAGCCAGCCTCTCAAAGTTTTGGACACCAAATACCCGCTTGGGTGGCACTAATCATTAACTGGCCTCTTGACCTGTAGAAGAAAAATGAACTCTCCCTATCTGTTAACCTCCACAGTTAGTTGGTTTCTTCTTCTCAATGAAAATAAATACACTTTTCTTTTCTTTTTTTAAAGCAAGGGATGTTGAAACACATTGTCCTTCCTCTCTGAGCCAAACATCAACAGGAAGTGATTTCCTGCACCTCTCCCACTTCCCATTGCAAAATGTTAGTAAAAGCCAAGGCAGGAGTCTTTCATCTCGAGGTGATGACAAAATCCTCATTGTCCTGGAATCATCTGTGGACATGTTTGTCTCTCTAGGAAGACTCTGAGCAGCTTGAGGGCAAAGACTTTCTCCTTTCATTCTCCTTTCAGTTTTTGTTTTTGTTTTCTTGAGTGAGAAAGAACATGAGCTGGGGGGGGGGGGGGCGGTGGTTAGAGGCAGAGGAAGAAGCAGACCCCCCACTGATGGGGAGCCAGGCAACAACTGGGACCATCATTGATTAGGGAGCCTGATGCAGGGTCAGCCCCAGGACCCCGGGACCATGACCTGAGCCGAAGGCAGACGCCCAAGCCATGGAGCCACCCAGGCGTCCTCCTTTCAGTTTTGAACCCCCATGGCCTAGAACAGAACTGAACCGATGTGTCTAGTGTACATTTAACAGAAAGAGTAGAAGAATTCGAAGTTTGCCTCTGAGAGTACTATCCTGTCATAGACTCTTGGAGCTAGAAGTAAAGCCCAGCCTCTAAAAAGAGACGTTCACCTTCTTGAATTCGTGAAAACAGAAACTGAACGGTAGAGAACAAAAGTGACCTATAGAAACCCTGTTGCTAGAAGTGGCTGAGCTGGCCTGGAACCAGGGCGTTTCCAGTGTGCCACATGGCCTCTCCACCCGAAGGAGTGGCAGAAACCACAGAGAGCTTAGTCTGGGCAGGTCAGGGGCAAGGGGAAGGCAAGGTACTTGCCCAGCACTCCTGAAACTGTAGCACGCTGCTAGGGGGCAGGGAACCTGCCAGCAGGGCAATACTAAACGTTTCGGATGATAGCTCCGGGAGGTGGGTACAGCTTTAGGGCCTAGAGAGGTTAAGTAACTTGCACCAGGCCATGTAACATTGGAACAAGCTAACCCCAGTGTCCATACCAGGCAGGAACAGCCCCCAAAGAGGCACTGGTGGCATGTCAGCATGGCTGTGCCAGACCTGGCCAGGCTGAGGATAAATGGTTTGGGAAGGGCCAGCCCTGGCTTTCCCTCGTGCACGTGATCCCACTGCTCAAGCGCAGCTGCCACCAGGAAGGCGAGGGGCAATAAACAGGGCACGACCAAAGGCTGTTCTGCTGTCACAGACCACGCCAGGGGTGGTAGTCCAGGTCCTCAGGGAAGAGATGCCAAGATGGGACTAGATGTGAAAGAGATTTACTGGTGATAACATCTGCAAAGAATGAGGGGCGCTAAAGAAGTTAGAGACAGCCCTTAGACAGAGATGCAGGTCAGACACCTGTGAAGGAGAGCGGGCAGGAAAGAGGAAGACACTGAAAAGTCTTGGACTTCCTCACGGTTCCTGGAATGTTCTGGCAAGGGAAATGGGGAATCCTCAAGCTGAAGTTTCTCGTTAACGCAGTCCTGTGTCTTCTATGCATGAACCTGGGGATTAGCTCTCCATCCTGCTCTGTCACTAGCTGGGGTCAGTCTCTGCACAAAGACGAGGGGAGATCCAGAAAGGTGACAACTGGGACCATCATCGATTAGGTTCCCCGTGGCAGCAGACCGAAGGCTGCATTTTCACAGCCACTTACACCACCTCCAGAGCGGGCACGTCACACCAGTTACTCCAATTATCCCAGCATGGTATTCCTTGTGGGCATTATTAACACAGCTGACATTTAGAGAGCACCTTCCCTTTGCCCTTCATCATCTGGAACAGTGCTCTCCAGGTGGGGCTGGAGTGCTCCCATGCAGGACCTCCTGCCTTAGCATCATCCAGGGGACCTGAGCCCAGAAGCACCGAATGAGAATCTCTGGGGTTGGGCCCAGGATTCTGCAGTTCCGGCATGTTCCTTAGATGTTTGTACACATGCTAGAACCACTAGTTTTCTGTTAATTTTACTACAGTCATCTCCATTTTACCAGGGAGGAGACTGAAGCTCAAAGAGCCCAGCATGTGGGGAGCCCAGTTGCAAAGGGCCAAGGAACGGGGGGCCTCCTGGAAAGCGAGGTGGTAGATTTTAGAAAGTGAGGTCAGGAGACACTGAAGAGCACCAGTTATATTCAGTGTATATGGTCTGTCTCCTCCAAGGAGAATGTCAGCCTCAGGACAAAATTTGGGTCTCTTTTGCTCAATGAGGTATCCCTAGAGCCTAGTGCAGTGCCTGCCACACAGCTGGTGCTCAATATTTGCCAAGGGAAGGCATGGTACGTCTGATAGAGTGTGCTCGTCTGGAGAGGACAGTGGCAAGGGGCCGGATCTGAGATAACACTTAGGCCCCCATTGTCATGTGCAGTCAGATGGCTTTATTTGCCAAGGATCTGAAAACACGAGGAGGCAAGCAAGAGACCAAGGATGGGTGTTCAGTATCCAGTGCTCAGAGTTCCCTGCTGTGTGCTCAGTGCTTGGAACAGTGTCTGGCATACAATAAGTGCACACAAAATATTTGTTTGGAAAAAAAAAGAAAGAGAGAGGGTGCCTGGGTGGCTCAGATGGTTAAGCATCTGCCTTTGGCTCAGGTCATGATCTTGGGGTCCTGGGATCAAGTCCCACATCAGGCTCCCTGCTCAGTGGGTATCTGCTTCTCCCTCTCCCTTTCCCTCTGTACTCTCCATCTCTCTCTCAAATAAATAAAACCCTTAAAAAAGAGAGAGAGAGAAGAGGAAGTGAAGGGAGAGGCTGGGGGGGAAGAGAGGGAGACTTCTAGGCTACCACCCTGAGGGGTAACCATCATGCCCACTGAATCCCCCTACAGCTCTCCCTGTCTGCCTATTCCCAGCTCAGATTCCCTGCTCCCTTGCCCTCTGTCAGGATCCCTAGCTAACAGCTCCATAAGTGAATATGCCTTTATTTATTTCTGTGTGTGTGTCCATGTGTGTCTGTGGAATCACTGCATTCACTGTGGGGGTGGGGGCGTGGGCATATAAACTAGTGTAATAACCAGTATGAACCAATTCTAGGAAATAATTCTAGGCCTCACCAGCTTAGGACTACAAAATGAGGTCACATTAATTTTTAAAGTGTGACTCCATGGGTTCACCAACTCAGAAGCTCTCTAAGCCTGTTCTTTTGAGATTTTATGGAAGTTTCATCATGTAGGCATGATCAATCATTAACTCCATTTTTTAGCCCCTCTCCCTTCAAGAGAATGGGGGGCAGGGCTGAAAAATCCAAGCATCCAATCACGGCTTGGCCTTCTTGGTGACCAGCCCTCATCCAGGAGTCATCCAGGAACCCACCCAGAGTGACCTCATTAGAACACAAGACACTCTTATCACCCAAGAATTTACAAGGGTTTCAGGAGCCCTGTGTCGGGAACTGAGGCCAAAGACCAAATATTAGAACTAAAGATGCTCCTAGCGCTCTTATAATGTAGGAAATTACAGGGAGCTCTGGGACAAGAACCAAGGACAGAGACCACTATATATATTTTCTACTATCTCACACCTAGTCTCATCCTCACCACAGCCTTCAAGGTAGGCATTGTTGGCTCCAAAGTACACTAGCCCTCAATAACCTGAGGCTCAGAGGGGTAACCATCATGCCCAGGAGCAGTGCCGGGTGTCAGTGGCAGGTCTTTTTGCAAAATTGCACAGAATGTGCCTTTCCTTAGGTCTAATTACCCCATTCCTGCAAGAAGGAAAACATGCATGCCTTCAGAGAGTGCCTTCCTCCCAGTTTCCTGGATTCAGGACTGGTGTGAAATAAGGGACACCAGAAAGCACATCTCAACTCAAAATGTCACCTTCACTAGAGCAGGCTCCAGTAGACATCATCCTGCTGGAGATTCATTTGTTTGCTTAAAGTCATGTTTCCCAGTTTCATTCATTCACTGCCACCTTCCCTATTCTTGCCATGTCCACTTACCACCTGTGCTTACATGTCTTTCAAGTTTTCATTTAAATAAGCTTTCATAAATGTACTTTAGTAGGGCAGTTTATATCAAAGAGAAGACATAAGACTAGCCCCTGAAGTGGTCTGACAAGCAGACTGTGTCACCTCCGCTTGGTGGCATTAGCAATGGGAGATGGTTGTCCATATACCATCCAAAATGAGGCGACAGCATGGTTTGAAGCATGGCCCTCTATTCAAAGCACAAACCTCTATCCACAGCTCTGTAGCTCAGGAGAAACCATAACGTTCTTTATTGGACTCTGTCCCAATCTTCAGACAACCTCATTTTTGACTCATGTTCTTTGGATGTTAGAGTTGAAAATCCATGGGCGCCAAGCCCAGAGACTCTGAGAGTGGACGCTTGCCTGAGACCGCCCTGCCTGTACAGATGATGATATGGAAAAACAAAAGGTTAAGTAGGACCCTTAAGAGGGGCAGGTGTAACCAAGCACAGTATGGAGAGAGAAGTCCCAGTCGTGGCCCAGGGATTGGGTGGGGTGCCTTTGTGTCAGAGGAAGAGGAGGCTCTCTGAGGAGGGGAGGGCTGCTGAGAGGAGAGTGAAGATTCTGTCCATTTCACAGTCTGACCTGGCCTCCGTTCTGCCCCTCCCTATGGCTGCACCCAAATCCACATTTGAAGCCCTGACTTCACCTCATAGTTGTGGAGAGGTGAACAGAGGACACAGGCTTCTGCCATCACCATGGAACTCTTGGATTTCATTTTGGCCTTGTCTAAGGAAAACTTTCTAACTACAGCTAACAGTTGTAGTGTGATAGGACTAAAGACACATGGCCTGGGTTTAAACTACAGCTCCTTCTCACCTAGATGTGTGACCTTGGACAGATGGCGGCTTCTCGGAGCCCAATTACTTCATCTGTTAACGGGTCGTGATGGGCAGCACTTTCTTCCTCTTCTTTTTCCTTCTCTAAATGGGAAGAGTCTACCCTACTTCCCAGGTGTCACTTCTCCCAATCCCCAAACCCTAAGGGTGAAAAATGATGGCAGGGCTCCCCACTATGCCCTATCTGGATGATCCCTGGATTCCTAACCAGATCCCAGCAGCCATTCCTTGAGGAGCTGATTCAGTAGGCTGGTTGGTTGTGAAATCATCAGAATCTCCATTCCTTCCCCGACACTCGCTGTAGTTCTGTGGCTATCTCAAAAAAGATACACTTTTACCCTGGAGAAGTAGAGAGAGGAGTAAATGGAGAATATGGTGGCTGAAGAAGCTTGAAGAAGGGTGGCTGAACCCAATGCTAGTTTTTCAGATCTTAAAAAAAATATTGCCAAGACTTCTAGACAACATCTAGCAATCTTAGCAATCTAAGATCTAGCAATCTTAGATAACAAAGAAAGCAAATGAAGCACCATCATATAGCAGGTCGAAAATATTTCATTAATCCTGTAATGTTACACATGATCTATTCTGTTTTAGTAAACATGTATTAACGTGATAAGCATGATAAATTCATATGTGCATCAGATCGTTACTTAATTTACTTTAACATGCATATAAGGACACGTGCATGGCTCAGTCAGTTAAGCGTCTGCCTTCAGCTCAGGTCATGATACCAGTGTCCTGGGATTGAGCCCCGCGTCAGGCTCCTTGCTCAGTGGGAAGTCTGTTTCTCCCTTTCCCACTCTCCCTGCTTGTGCTCTCTCCCTCTCTTCTCTGAGAGTCAGAGAGCACATGAGAGTGGGGAGGGTCAGAGGGAGAAGCAGACTCCCCGCTGAGCAGGGAGCCCGATGCGGGACTCGATCCTGGGACTCCAGGATCATGACCTGAGCCGAAGGCAGCCGCCCAACCGACTGAGCCACCCAGGCGCCCTTATATGTGGAATCTTAAAAAAAAAAAAAAAAAAAAAAGTCAAACTCATAGAAACAGAGTAGGAAAGTGGTTGCCAGGGGCTGGGAGGTGGGAAAATAGGGAGAGGTTGGTAAAAGGGTACAAACTTTCAGCTGGAAGATGAATAAGGCCCAAGGATCTGAGGTAAAACATGGTGGCAACAGTTGATAACACTCTATTGTAGAACTGAAATTTCCTGAGAGTAGAACTTAAAATGTTCTCACCAAAACCCCCCCCAAAAAGATAAATATGTGCAGTGATAGATGTGTTAACTAGATGGGGGGAGTCTAGTCACAATGTGTATGTACATCAAATCACCACGATGTACTTTAAATACCTTATATGTGTCAATTACGCCTCAATAAAACTGAAATTAAAAAAAAACACTGGACTGGGATCAACTGGATTGGGTTTTATACGCTCCCCACCCCCCACCAAAAGACCAAAAATTACGTGATCTGCTAAGGGATAGGAGAAACAGCTTCAACAGGGTACTCTGAAGGCAGTAATGGAGGAAAAATAAAATCATTTCATGTTTGTTTCTCACTAAATTCAGACGATTGACCAAACCAGGTACAGAGGTAAAACAGGTCATGCCTCAGATTCCACTTGTTAAAATTCTCTCCTGCTCTTTCCTATATTGTAAGATTGATATAAGCATCCCAGGTCTGCTCTTTGGTTAGTGCTAAGAGAATTCTAGTGTTCCACCTTGAAAGTGGAGGCTCCTAACTACTGGGAAAAGAAACCTCAGAAAGACAAGGAGAAATGTTTCCTCTTTTCTTACATCTCCAGAAAAGCACTCACTGTTCTGTGCTATAAAGTGAGATCTTATCAAGTGGGAAATCGAAAGCAGTCAAGAGGGTCTCCAACTTATTAATCTTCTGCTCAGGAATCTTGCATAAAAATGTATACACTATGTGTTTTCTATGATTCTAAACTGTCCTCAGAATATTTATACAAAGGAGTCTTTTAAGACACAGGAATTTAAGAAGTTATTACATTGTTCTGTGACTTGTAGCCCAGCATCCTTGAAATTCTGCAACTCCAGTTGGTTGTCTTACTGAAGAATCTGTTTTTGTACTCGTAATATTTTTTTTTTTTTAAGATTTTATTTATTTATTCATGAGAGACACAGAGAGAGAGGCAGAGGGAGAAGCAGGCTCCCCGGTGAGCAGGGAGCCCGATGCGGGACTCGATCCCAGGACCCTGGGATCATGACCTGAGCCGAAGGCAGACGCTTAAACAACTGAGCCACCCAGGCGCCCCTGTACTCGTAATATTTAAAACATGTTTGTTTTCTGAAATATTTAAATACATAGGAGAGTTTTTTGAGGCAGAAAATGAACTTTGGAATTCCCTTCTCCCTTTATGTGTAGAAGACTTATAAGTCCCATGCCTTTGCTGGAGTCCTGCTGCAAATATGGAGCTGAGAGCTTTGTCGCATGCAAGTCGGCACAGGTGCATGGTTAAAGCATCAGACTCTCCATCTCTCCCAGTGCATCACAGGCTGCTCCGGGCAACCGTGAAGCAGCAGGTGTCTGAAACAGATGTGGAACTGCATGTTGAAAGCATTCACATCCACACAACATGACGAACTTCCCAAGTAAATATTTATTGAACGTCTCTCATGGGCCAGGCAGGGAGGCCACAAAGAGAACAAGACAATTCCTCACAAGGAACCTGAGGTTGTCCTCAGAAGACACCCAATGACCACACAACAGGATCAGTGTGATGACAGGGCTGGAGACAGAAGGCTGTGGGCATATGAGGAGAAAATGGCCAAGTATCCGAACAATCAGAGCAGGTTTCACCTAGAAGGTTCTACCTGAGCTGGGACTTGAAGGATGATTAAGAACCTACCAGGGGATGAATGGAGCACTGGGTGTTATATGCAAACAATGAATCATAGAACACTACATCAAAAACTAATGATGTAATGTATGGTGACTAACATAAGATAATAAAATTAAATTAAAAAAAGGAAAAAACCTACCAGGTGAAAAAGGAGAGGGAAGGGCAACAAGAAATGAAGAAAGGGGGTGTGCATTCACTGGAACATGAGCAGAAGTTCGGCATGACTGATTTGTTATTTGTAAAGAGAACTCTGGAGGGCAAGGAGGAAAGGAAGACTGGATTAAGGCACCAGGCAGGTTAATGAACAACATTCATTTCATATATTCGGACTCAGTAACTCCCGTGTTCCCAGGTACCATGCTAGGTTGTGTGTGGAGGAGAATAAAGACAAGCAGATGGACAACAACAAAACTGGCAATACGTGAAGTGTCACGGCCAGTGATGCACAGGGTACAGCTAGGAGTAGCACCTCCCCAGACCTGAGTAGCTTGGACTGCAGAAATCCAGCTGAAAGATGGTTGGTGCAAAAAGGTAAAAGAGATAGTAGATGTGAAGGATACTGAGGAGGCAGAACCACCTGGCAGATGCTGTTGGGACCCCACATATCACCCTCACTGTTCCCATGCATTGTACAGCCTGCCACTGCAACCATCTCTGAGTCTTCTGCCTGAAGACATCTGGGTTTGGCTGGCACAAGAGGCAAGCCAAGGAGTACCAGGGAGTTAGCATCCCGAGGATAGGTCCTCAACCACTGTCAGATGGAAAGGGGCGGATAAACACCTCAGGTTTGCTTGCGCCTCAGGTGGGACACCTTTGAGCAGTGGCTTACACAGAGAACCCAGATGGACTAAGTCCCAACTGCCCACAGTGGTAACGTGCTCAGTTACATACCTTCTACTGGCCTCCCTCCCCTCCCTGTCTCACTTCCCCATTCTCCTATCGCTTCCTGGAATCCCCTCCCCAGTAAATGACTTGTACTTAAATCCTTGTCTCAGAGTCCAATTTTGAGGAACTCAACCTAAAACAAACAGAAAAAACTTATTCAAAGTTTAGACAATGAACATGAAGACTCAAATATGAGGCTTGGAGACTTCTACCTTGGGGAGATGCTGACCCTGTCAACTGAGATATTCTTCAGGATAGAAAGAGGGACAGATTTGGGGGGGGGAACAGGATGAATTTGGAAAGATGAGCTTCATTCAAGGGACTTGTCATCTCAAAATTCCTGGAGTACAAGGTTAAAACTCTTGACTTGGGGAAAAGTGAAAAGAAACTGGACCACACAAGAGGGAAAAAACCATAAGAAATGATGTCACATCTCCCTAAAGGGTGATTATAGTGTCTTCCTTTGACCCCAGAGCATACAAAGCCCTGGCTGTCTTCTCCAGCCGGTTTCTGTATTCCAGTTTCTCATAGTTGGAGCGGCTCACTCCTTTCAGACCATACATAACTCCCCACCAGCAGCCAGCAATAGCAGCTGTAGAATCGCTGTCTCCCCCGTGGAAAAAGGCTCGGTGGGCAAGCTCCTTCCAGGAGTCTCCCGCACCCAGGATGGCATCGTAGGCAATCATGGGGGCGTCGTGCCCACTGCTGCCACCCCAGCCAGAGTAGCTCACCGAGGCATAGAACTGATCCCTCTCCTTCACATCAAAGGGCTTGGGGAAGATAGGGGCTGACTTGCCATCCAAAATCCCTCTAAGTTTTAGGTATTTTTCCCATTGGTCTTGGAAGTAGGACCTGTAGGAAGGAAAAATTCTACAGTCAATTGAAAAAACAAATTTGAGAGCCATAAGGAAAGGTACCAGATAGATGTGTGAACAGGGAAAATTCCAAGATGACTTCAACTTCTTGTGCTAATATCAAAATTGTAATTAGAAACTCAAAATGAGCTCTAAGCAGAATTTGTTTAATAAATTTTTGCCAAAGATTAATATAAACAAGGCACTGATACCTGTTGCTAAATAAAGAAGATACATAGGAAGTTAAAGGTGAGAAATGAAGGTCTATTTTTCCTGAATTGAGAATAGTGTCAAATGGCACCTGCCAAGGGTGAAATTTATTTAACTTTTTTCCTTTTCCTTTCCCTTTCCCTCTCCTCTCCTCTTCTCTTTCTTGCTCTTTCTCTCTCTTTCTTTTTTTAAGTAGGCTCCACGCCCAGTGTGGAGCCCAATGTGCAGGTCCTGAATTCACAACCCTGAGATCAAGACTGGAACTGAGATCAACAGTTGGAAGCTTAACTGACTGAGCCCCCCAGGTGCCCCTTTATTTATTTTTAAAATTTTATTTATTTATTTGACAGAGAGAGAGTGCGCGCGCACACAGGCACGGGGAGCGGCAGGCAGAGGGAGAGGGAGCAGCAGGTTCCCCACTGAGCAGGGAGCCCTGTCGAGGGGCTTGATCCCAGGACCCTGAGGTCATGACTTGAGATGAAGGCAGACGCTTAACCGACTGAGCCACCTAGGCACCCACTTTATTTTCTTATTAAAACTTGTATAAATTTAAGGTATACAACATGATATAATATACAAATACATAGTAAAAAGATTATGATAAGCTAATTAACACATCATCTCCTTATACACTTATATTGCTTTTTCAAGACAGAACTTTGGAACATCATGACCACAGGTGATTTCAGCAGAAAGCTTCTAGACCTTTTTATTCTAAGAAAGGTGATGTGATGCGAACTCACTAAAAAGGGGAACCGTGGCTTTACTACTTACGAACTAACTAGTGAAAAAAACCTATCTCTTGGGCACTGTAACCAAGGATTTCAAAACACTGTGTCATGACAACACTGAAGAAACAAGTTCCAGGAATAAGCAGGAAAGTTCACAGCAGTATGAACTTTGCAGTACAGGACAGCCACAAAACCGACAGAAGGCTGGGATACAGAACAGGATCCCTACACAACAGAGAAGCGCTGCAGGTGTACCACTCATTGAGGTCTTCACTGGCTACTTGGTGGCAACCACTGCAGGCACTGAACTTGAAACCCTTAGCAGGTGGCGGGGGGAGAGGGCGGTGCTGGATGCAGCAGATAACAAAAATGGATGGTGAAAACCAGGATGGTTGCTTTGATCTATGAATTCTAAGCATACATATGCATGCACGTGCAGTAAGATTCAATCATTTTTTTTTAAAGATTTTATTTATTTATATTAGATAGAGCACATGAGGGGGGGGTATGGGGGGGGGTCAAAGGCAGAGGGAGAAGCAGGCTCCCTGCTGAGCAAGGAGCCCAATGTGGGGCTCGATCCCAGGACCCTGAGACAATGACCTGAGCTGAAGGCAGACAGTGAAACGACTGAGCCACAAAGGCACCCCCCAGATTCAATCATTTTCCCGCAGGAGCATGCATCTACCAACTTACCAGTGTTGAAGATTCTTCTCCAAAAAGTAGCCTGATTGGATAATGTACTTTTTAGCTTCTGGTAGCACCTCCATCAGTTCTTTTCCCCATTGCCTGGGAGGCTTGCCGTTCACAGCAAAGGCTGTAAAAAGAGCAGAAACAAGGGCTCCCAGGTAGCCTGTGGGGTGGTGGTGGGTCATCCTGCCGCTCTCGATGCTCACCTGGATCAGTGTGTCCAGCTGGCTGCAGTGAGGGAACCGGAGGCCGATGCACATGGCACGCATGGCAGCCCCGCAGCCACCCTCGTGGCTGTTAAAGGGAATCCTCCAGCCATCAGCCTCATCTGGCTTCAGCAGCAAGGCATTCTGCACTGAAGCACCCCCTGGGAAGAGTCGGGGAGAGCAGAGGGTCAGTGTAACCAAAGCAAAGGCCCCTGCAGGAGGAAACAACCAAGCTCGGTCTCTAAAGTTTCTTTGATGGACAGGGAAATCCCCCAAAATATGATGAATGCCCCCAGACTCCAAACCCCAAGCCAACAGTGTTCCTTACTTTTTTTTTAAATTTTTTTTTTTTTTTTAAGATTTTATTTATTTATTTGAGAGAGAGAGAATGAAAGACAGAGAGCATGAGAGGGAGGAGGGTCAGAGGGAGAAGCAGACTCCCCGCTGAGCAGGGAGCCCGATGCGGGACTCGATCCCGGGACTCCAGGATCATGACCTGAGCCGAAGGCAGTCGCTTAACCAACTGAGCCACCCAGGCGCCCCACTTTTTTTTTTTTTTTAATTTATTTGAGAGAGAGAATGGCAGAGAGAGAGAGAGAGCATGAGAGCAGGGAGGGTCAGAGGGAGAAGCAAACTCCCTGCTAAGCGGGGAGCCCGATGTGGGACTTGATCCTGGGACTCCAGGATCATGACCTGAGCTGAAGGCAGTTGCTTAACCAACTGAGCCACCCAGGCACCCCTGTTCCTTACTTTGTATATAACCCCTAGCATGAGAAGATTGATGATACAAGAATCAGACTCATATAGTGTGTCTTGGAATCTTTATCAGTTATTACTGAGACATCATAATAACTCCAAAAGATAGGTTTAACATATTATTGTCTTTTCTTAAATGACTAAGGTAAGGCTCAGAGCTTAAGAACCTTGCTCAAAATCACTTAACCAGCTAGCTAGTGGCCCCATCAAAACCATCAGACTCAGAGCCCAAGCCCTTAGATAACCCAATGAGAACCTGACCAATGGAGATCTGAATGCTAGAAAGTGGCTGCAGGTTCTAGAGTGAGGAATACCAGGCTCATAAAAGGAGCAATGGGTTCAGAGCAACAACGTGCCTTTGGGTACCCTATGTTTTGTAAGCCTCTTTTTTTACTTAATATATAATATCTTTCCATATCAGTCAATATTTATCTGCATAATTTTAAATGGCTGTGAACACATTACCATAATTTTAAAAATTAGAGAACATTTAGGTTGTTTCTATTTTTATCACAACTACAAAAAACAACTGTCTTCTTGATATTTAAATCTCAGTCAACATTTTTAATAAGTGCCTTGGGCCTGTTTTATTCTCCACCTGCCCGTGACCTCCACTGGCCACACTCACCTGGTGCCCGGCCATCCATGTCTTCCATGCAGTCTTGGTAATGCTTAGCAAGTAGGGCATAGAGGTGAGCCAAATCCAAGACTTTGCCGGCTTCCACAAGAGCTTCAGCCGTGGCCAGGTGCATCACCGTGTCATCGCTGACTCTCCACCTCTCCACATCGATGGCGTCCAACCCACCATGCTGGGCCAGCTGCTGGTGAATCTTTTCCCCATCCCGGAGAAACTCCCACTTCCCGTTGAAGTACCCCAAGGCATCTCCAGCTGCACTCAGCACCATGGCAGCCACATATCTCTCCATCAGTCCCTCACACATGGTGAGGCTGTCTCTGCGGGAATATTAAGATATACAGAGGATGAGGAAAAAGAAGAATCAGAAAAAATAACGACCCTACCTACATGTTACTGAGCACTCACTACTTGTAGGGCATTGTATTAAGTGCGTCTCATTTAATCCTCACAACTGCTCTATAAGGAATGTATTAGACCCATTTTAGGGGTGAGTACATTGAGGATCACCAAGAGAACACAGTATTAGAAACATGATGTGCCTTATCTTAGGTCACAGAGCTACTAAGTGGCAGGGCTGGGATTCCAGCTTAGGTCCATCTGACTCCACAGCCAACGATTTTAACTATGACTCCATCTTTGCCTCTCTGTGAGTAGCAAGCCCATTAAATTCTGCGAGTCAAACCAAGCTCATCATTTTCTCTTTTTAGTTGGGATTTGGCCTTGGAAGTATACCCCTCCTTTATTAAATAGTAGTACTTTCCATTGGCATCACAATGCACAATTTACAAAGCACCTGCACATTCTGTCTCAGTAGTAGGCAGGGATGACAATACGCATTTCACAGATAAGAAAACTGAGGCTTAGAGAGGGTAAATTCACACAACCAGTGATGGAGGCACTTGAGATCCAAATCTTCTGACTCCAGGCCACTCCTCCTCAGCACAGATCTACTTACCTTGGGCAACCTCTTTGTGCCTCAGCCTCTACATCTCTAAAATGGTGACAAAATAGTAACAACCTCATTGGTTTGTTGTGAGAAGTAAATAAATTAATTTTTGTAAAGCACAACAGTGCTTAGCACATAGTAAGCACCATTTTTATTCATACACAACCAGGGGAAAAGATTTTTCTGTTATTGAACTAGAATACTTTCTCCCCACAACCTTCCTTTCAACATCAACATTTTAATTTTGTCTTCCTGCTAAATGATTTGCCTTCTAGAGTCTTAGGATCTCAGCTAATATTCCCTCCACAAATCTAGTCCCTGGTGAAGTGCTGGTTTCCCTGGAGGTGCATTTCCAATTCTCCATTGTGCCCCACCGCCTGCAGCATTCATGTTCAGCCCTCCACCGTCTGCCCCACCTCTACCCACCTCCTTCACCTGCAGGGGCCAGGCGCTTTTAAACGACCCGCTGCTGTGGGCCAGAGAGTGCAGGCTGGCAAGCACCTGGAGAAGAGTAAATGATGAAGACCAGCTGAGCATACCAAACCAGAGGTACTGACCTTACTGCGTTTCTTGATTCACAAAGGCTATCTGTAAAACGTTGTTTACGTATTTTATTATTTACAAACGATACCTAGGAACTGGAGTTCCGGGCTACTAGACCTGGCTCTGCCAAGAGTCAGGTGTATGACTGTGGACAAGCCACCCACTCTGGACCTTGACTGTCCCATCTATGAATAGGAGAGTGGGGGCTCCCACCGTGCGCTGAGACCTTCGCAGTCCAAGCTTAGCTGGCTTTTAAGCACCAACTTTTAACCCCCTGTATCCCCTCTCCCAATGTCCTCAGCTTCTAGTCTGCCATTCCTTCTGGCTCTACCCGAAAGTGTGTTTTTGTGAAGGGCAAGCAGAGGTGGGGGACGATGACCATTTCTTTCCTCGGAAATTCTCTTTTAACATTTACACGTACTGCTCTCAGCCTCCCGCTTTCAGAACACCATTATTCCTTAAACTCCTCTTCTACCGTTTACATTCTTGGCCCCGAACTATAACTATATATTCATACAAATTCAAAACTTCAAAACTAAGGTCTGGGCAGCGGCTTCCTGGCGGTCCTCTCCTTTCTTTTTTTTTTTTTTTCTTTTTTTTTTTTTTGGTAGTGGTGGTGGGGAAGCACGCCTGGACAGGGACTGGGTGCACCGCCTGGTAGGCGAGCGCTTGCGCGCGCGCGGGAGGACGCGAGGCTGAATGCGCGGGTCTCCGGCGGAGGCGCGCGCGAGGGCAGGGCCGAGCAAGAGTCGGGGGAAGGAGGGCAGGCGGAACCCCGGGCACTGCCGGGAGCCGGGCGCCCGCGGGGGTGTGGGAGGACGGCGAGGAGGAGTACCTGCTGGCCGGTCCTAGAGCGCGCGCGAGGCGAGGGCGGGGCCGAGCGCCGGGAGTTCAGGGTGCGCGGAGAGGTCTGGCTGCATCCGGGGTGTGGAGGCGCAGAGCCACCCCGCCGCGAGCGGAGCGCACGGGGAGAGGGCGGAGCCGCGCAGCCGCGTTCGGGGGCCCAGGTTCGACGGACCGTGGACGAGTAAGAGCTGCGCGCCTTCCCGGCAGCGGCGTGGCCTTCTGCTTACGGGCAGGGCCGAGAGGATCTGCGTCACCGGCCACCTGGGCTGGCCACAGCGCCGGGCAGCGCCTGCCATTTCGGAACGTCGCGGCTCAGAGAACCGGACTCTCAGACTGAGTGACGGTGACTCACTTGTAGCCTTTTGCAGACGCCTGGGCCTTTCAGAAGAAATGGGAAAATAATAGCACCTACTTCTAAACGGTGGTTGTAAGGATTAATTTTAACTCATAATTTGTTTGGTAGCAGTTTAGAATTTTTGCACCCTGATAGTAAATAAAAGCAAAGAAAAACTAACAGTATTTTTGTTTGGCTAAATTAATTATGTCACCCTTGAAAAGAATGAGAATCACCATATGTAAGTATTCTTTATACTTGTCCAAAATTGTAATTTGCTATGCCTATCTTTCTGACTGTAATTACCCAGACCTGGCTTGAGAATTTTGTTTTTAATTGAGATGCAAATGCACTCCTTTGGTGTTCTGTTCAATGAGTTTTAATAAGTATATATACCTGAGTAACCATAGTCAAGATACAGAATATTTTCATTACTCCAAAATGTTCCCTTGTGCTCTTTTCCAGTAAGCCCCCACCTCCACCTTAAACCTTAGCCAAAGTGATTTTTAATTGTTTGCAAAAATCAAATCACTGTCCACCTCTGAGGATGTAGTAAAAGTTCCCTGGTGAGGGACATTTTTAATAAGCATTCCTATCAAACTCATAACCGTTTCAGTTTAAAATGTCTGTTGAGGATATTGTTCATATTACATAGTGCTCCTTCCACAAGAATCCATGGAAAAAGCGTTTCTTTGGCTTGAATATAAATAATAACTAGGGTTGTTCTTAGCCATTAGTTTCCTTTTACTTTATGGTGCCTGTGAACCTTGCTATCACTTGGACTCCTGACTCATTCATGCTACTGAATGGCTGCAGATAGAGGTTTGTACAGGACCTCTGAGCCATAAACTGTTGTCATCCTTCACCTTGTTTTACCAATTCCCATACTTTATTAGCCTCCATCCCCACTGAAAGCACATTTTTTTTTTTTTTTTTTACTGTGGTTAGTTTATCTACTGCCTTCTTTAGTATCCTAGTGCATAAAGCTAGCCAAAGGCTCTGCCTTTACTTGGGAAGAACAACAGTGCACCTGAACAGTAATGCCCCAGGGTTTTACTGAAGGCTCTTCTTACTTCTCACAAATTTTAAAGGCTGATCTAGATGATATAAAATTTCCTGGAGGTTCTGCCCTATTACAATATGTAGATGACTTCCTTCTCTGATCCCTTTCCCAAGCCTCTTCACAGGTGGACAGCATCCATCTGTTAAAACTTTTAGCTTTAAAGGGACATAAAGTCTCTAAGGAAAAATTGTGCTTTGTTCAAGCTCAGGTTTGATATCTAGGGCACCTGATTTTGGCACAAGGACTACATTTAGATCCGAATAGGCTTCATGACATCTTGAATTTCCCAAAATTCAGAACTAAGTACCAGCTATGAAGTTTTTGGGGGGCTAGCTAGCTACTGAGTGTGGAAATTGTCCAAATCTCTCTCTTATGGCCCATCCCCCTAGATGTTTTACTAAAAAAACTACAAACTTGACCTTATTATTTAGGAAGATCAACGTGACTTAGCCTTTAAAGCCTTAAAGGAAAGCTTAATAAATCCCTCTGCCCTTGGATATCCCAATGATCAATTTCTCTTTTTTCCTTTTTGTATGTTAAAAAGAATGGAATGCTCTTATGGTACTCACCCAAAAACATGGGGACCACACTTACCCAAAGGATATTTATTATAGCCACCAGCGAGGGCCCTACTGTACAAGGGTACCCTCCCTTGTCTCAGACCATTCCTGCCACAGTCCTTTTAGTCAAGGCCACTGAAGAAATAATCATAAGATCCCCCCCGCCCCAATTATTCTTGCACTCCATGTGGTAGAAGCCTTTCTAAATTCTCACCATACTCAACACCTTTCATCTAGTCGCCTCACCTCCTACAAAATCTTGCTAACCACTTCTCAGATTCTTCCTCACTGTAATAACCTTAACCCTGCGATTCTTCTCCCTTCCTCCCCTGAAAAAACCTCTCACTACTGCTTAATACTAACAAATCACCTTCTGACTTCCATAATGACTTACAGGAAACTGCTTTATCGTGCTGACCTTTCACGGTTTATTGATGTTTCTTATTTAAAAGGTGAAAATGATAAATATTGTGTGAGCTATACAACTGCAACTCCTTTTTGAAGTTCTTGAGGTGGCACCATTGCCTTTGGCTACCTCAGCCCAACAGGCCAGATTGTATGCTCTCCCTTAGGCCTGCATTTAGCCAAGGGCCACACTGCAAATATCTATAGTGACAGGAGATAGACCTTTGGAGTAGCTCATGACTTTGGAATGCTGTGGAAACAGCGAGGCTTCCTTATTTCCAACAAAGATAAAATTTTAAATGGTTCTCACCTTCAAAATGCCATATTATTAGATGCCATACTTCTACTGGCCACTTTGGCTACTTTCAGGTCTCTGGGCATTCCAAACACCTCACTGATGTTTCCACCAAGAACACTGTGCTCAGAAGAACCAACAACCAAGCCTCTGTCATGGTACATGGGGATGTTCCCCCAATGATAATCTAGAAAAATTTACTAGAGATGTTCAAAATTGGCCCCAGAAAAAGGAAAACAAAACTGGAAACCTAATAACTGTTTGTTCAATAAAAAGAGCACTTTGGTTTGGCCCAAATAGAAACCCAGTCCTACCGGAGGCCTTAAAATTCCCATTACCTACTACTGTACATGCATCGAATCATTGGTTCACTGATAAGATTATAACTCTTGTGAACCCACACTAGTGGGGAAATAACGAAGAACTGCAAAAAGTGCCTATTTTGCTTGCCCCGCCTGTCCAAAATACAACCGCTCTTGGACACTTTAAATTCCCCAATGGGCATTTGAAGTTTGGTAAATGGATTTCATTCAGCTTTTCCCACCTCAGGGATAAAATTACGTTTTAGTCATGGTTTGTATGTTTTCTCACTGGACTGAAGCTTTTCCCTGTAGGCAGGCTACTATCTCTTCTATGGCTAAAATCCTATTAGTGTTATGCCTACCTGGGGAACCCCCCTCGAACCTCATAGTGACTGGGGAGCTCACTTCATTGGTCAAGTGCTTCAAAGGGTCTGTGCTATTTGGATAGTTCTATGACACTTTGTGCTTACCACCCTCGATCCTCACGTCTAATTAAATGCACTAGCAGCATCGTTAAAGACTCAGTTGGCAAAATTTGTAGAGACTCTTCAAATATCCTGGCCAAAGGCAATGCCATCAGTCCTTCTAAGTCTCAGATCCACACCTTCTGGAACCCACAAACTCTCACCCTTTGAGATAATCACAGGGTTCCCACTGCTCATGGCTCCTGTTTCCATTGATCTACAGCTGATAAAAGGAGATACATTTCAATACTGTAAAGGCCTAATTGCTTCTGTTGAAAATAACCATGCTCTAGTAGAAGAGTCCTTCCACAGTACACTCCCAGGGGATGAAGGCCTCAAGCATCACTCCTTATAACCCAGAGATTTTGTCTCATGGAAAAGACAGATCTAGAAAGACTCTCTTCAATCTCATTGGAAGGACCCCCATCAGGTACTGTTAACCAACCCCAGTGCTGCTAAACCCCAGAGAGTAACCCCTGGGAATAATCCATGTGTCACACTAAAGACTGAACAAACCCCAACTTGGGCCTGCACATCAACTGGAGACCTGAAAATTTCCAGGAGTTGAAGCAGATGGCAGCTGAAGAAGTCCACTTTCCTACGATGACCGGACCAGGCCTATAAACCTTCCTTCCCTTGTTCACTCTCTCTTTCTTCACCCTCTCTTCCATGGGGAGACAATGCCCTTGTCTGCAATCGCTTGTAAAACCGGGGGGAACCTCTCCAACTGTCAGATTTGTCATCAGAAACCTCGGTCTGTCCTGACAGCAGGGACTCCTTCGTTTACCCTGTAAGGAATTTTGCTGAAATCCCAGATGCCACTGTATTCCTAAATTGTTCCACAGGTCCCTTTTATAAAGTCAGAATACAAAATCCACATACCCCCGTTCCTTGCCTCAATTTAACCCAATCCTGGGGTGGGAGAATGAGATGCATCAAAAATACATATAAAAGATACTGCAGAGCAGTCAGCATAAATCAGACTATTTGTAGGCTTGCTATCAAATCCATGTATTAGGGTAGTCTTTCAATAAGTAATGATAACAGTGTTTGAGTCTTGGCTGAATGAGGCTAATGCCTCTATTAGCAACACAGGGTCCATCAATGCTAATACTTATGAGGGAGCCCTATGTACACAACTTGGCTACTTTACATGAGGAGGTTTTGCAATGGCCGCTATACTTGGGCACCTCACCGTCTTGACAGCTGGAGGATGAAAGGGCAATGTGCTCTTCCTGTATTTACCGTTCTGTTTTCTCTACATAACAGATCAGAAGCCTACCACTGGTCCACTCCACTAAGCCCCCATGGCCATCTTAAACAGAAACTTCTAGGAGGCATACAGGACTCTGGGTTTGCTGAGGGAGAGATGATCAGGAATCTCTCCCTAATACTGGAGAGTTAGCCAACCCCCGCCAAGGCAATAGCAGCCCAGAACTAATCACTTGACTTGCTACCTAAAGTAGTTTTGGATAATTGAATAGCCCTCGATTATTTACTTGCTGAACAAGGAGGTGTTTGAATAGGCAATACCACCTGTCCCATATGGGTAAATTCTTCTGGGGAATTAGACCCCCAACTGCACAAAATTAGGGAACAAACACATTGGCTACACTAAATTTCATGTAATGATCCATGGTCCTTTGGCCTCTTTCTCTGGTTACCTTCAGGTCTGGGCTCCTGGGTTAGAGCCATCACACAAACTAGATTTGTCACATTACTTTTTGTTTTGTATAATCATTTTTAAACTTTGTACCTATTGCCTGTCAAGCATTTATAGAAGCAACATGCCCAATAGGGTGATGCTAACTCAATACTTCAAGATGATATCCAATGGTTATTTATTACCCTGATAAGATATAAACTTTAGGTGGGAGATGCCTAAGAGTTCTCCCTCCTACCCTTCCTTGTTACTCAAATGTGACCTCAATGTTTTCCAACCTGTGCACTTTCCCTCTGACATGAGTCATGACAACCAGGAAAGGTCCTTCCTGGCACCAAGGGACAAAACCACTAAATGCAGAAAACCTGAGTCCTGATCAGTGATGTTTTCAAGGAAACATCTTGAACAAAAGGGGGAAATGTGAAAATAAAAGAAGGCTTCGTTCAAAACAGAGTCAGGCAGCCCTGAAGAAGGAAGCTCTCGTGCACGTACCACACACTGCAGTTTATTTTATATACCCAGACAGAAAGAAGCTTACTTCACTACCCCAGCAGGAGGAGTGAAGATTTTCCCTTTGCCCAGCAACAACCCAGCCAATGAGAAACGGCCACATCTCAACCACTGAGAAGTAGCCACAACCTTGAACTCTGGCTCTCCTCCAGTAAGCTTTCATTCAAAACCACCCTGCCCAACTTTCTCCTTTCCTCCATAAAAGCAGTCCCCTCTCATTTGTTCTCTGGGTCTTGACTATGTTTTATTGAAGTTTATGTGTCCCAAATTGCAATTCCTCTGCTATTCTTGAATAAACTCATTTTGCTGCTAAAATAACTGGCTATTTTATTTTTAAGTTTGACCTACTGACATTTTTTTCTCCTTGGTCAAGAATTAGAAAATATTTCTGGGACATCAAGGACATGGTCATGCAAACCGAAAGAACAATTTGTCAGCTCCAAATACCTGCAAATAACCATTACCCTCCCCCCTCCCACCACTCCCCATACTCACCAGGCTTAAATAATAAAGACACTTATTATCTAATATAACAAAATGTCTAGACATATCTAGATCAGCTTACAAAAAAATATCTTAGAAAGCAGAAATCCCCAGGGTTAATTATTTGTCATCATCCAGGACCGAGTTCCTTCCATTTTCCTGCCCTGCTGTTCTCACTGCGTTAGCTTTATCTCCAGGCTGATTTCTCTGACAGGTACAAAATCCAATTACAATTACAGACAATGTCTAATGGGAAAGGCTGTGTCTCTTCTTTCAAGGATGAAGAAACTGTTAAGAAAGCCGTCCAAGACTAAACCAATCACTGGCAGGCAAGTTAGATTATGAGTTCCCCGTTGATCAAGGATATAACATCTTCCCCTAGAGGTAGATACTTACACAAAAACCAAGCTTTTGTTCATAAAGGAAAGAGTGAATGCTGTTCTGCCAAGAAGAACTAATATTTATCTGGCATTTTACTAATGCTAAGCATTAGTGTAGATGCTGGAAAGAGAGGTGTTGAAGATTTAGTTCTTCGCCCCCAGTTTCACTGAAGGAGACGTACTGCAAGTATTTCATTACTCACCAATCCAGTAGTATTTGCCATTTAGAGGCTTTTTTTTTTTTTTTAATTTATTTGACAGAGAGAGATACACAGGGAGAGAGAGAACACAAGCAGGGGGAGTGGGAGAGGGAGAAGCAGGCTTCCCGCAGAGCAGGGAGCCCGATGTGGGGCTCGATCCCAGGACTCTGGGATCATGACCCAAGCCGAAGGCAGACGCTTAACGACTGAGCCACCCAGGCACCACCGCCATTTAGAGGCTTTTATTGAGAAACAAACTTGTGGGACTCAGACCTGATCTCTCAGATGTTTCATCTGTATGGTGGAAATAATGGTACTTTTCATAAAGAGTTGTTAACAATGTCCGGGAGTGATCTTCATATATCCTACAGACGTTAAACACATACTGTGTACCAGGTATATGCTAGGCCCTGACCCAGGACCCTCTCTCGTGGAATGGACCTAGCCATGTAACCTCATTTTAGGCTGCTGACTCATGATATTTTTAAAATATTTTTTAATAAAATGTTTACATTTTTTAAATGATAAAAGTAAAGCATATTTCCAGCAGAAATGTTGGGAAAGCTTCCAAAAATTTCTCCTAAAAAAATAACCACACATGTTCATGAAGATAAATGTTCCTGAATGTTCTTTGCAGAATTGTTTCTAATAGCAGAAAGTTAAAAATAACCTCAATATCTGTTTACATGGGAGTATGCATTTCCTTCTCCTAAATCATGGCGTAATTATGGAACTGTTCAAAACCATGAGGTAGACATTTAAATCAGTAGACTATGGGTAAATAATCAAGCTCACCTAGAAAGAGCTGAGAGATAATTTTGTTAGGTAAAAAAAATCAAATTTTAGAATGAAGAATATATACGGTCTTAGGTAGAAAAAAAAGAGCTGTGTGTGTGTGTGTGAAATGACTGAAGAGATATGTATCAAGTTGTTAATAATGATTATGATTATCTCTCAAGAGTACGGTAATGGGAGAGTTTGCCAGGAGTAAGTAGAAACTTTTAATCTTCCACAATTAGAATTTTTATATATTATGTGTATAAAGAAATTTTACAGAACCACTCACATTTTGTCACTCATACTGTATATAGTCTTTATTTTATGCACATGTTTTTTGAAAAAAATTGGATCATTTTGTATATACAACTTTATATCCTATTTCTAATACTATACTATAGTAATACATAATTGTGATACATAATAGTGATACATAATTGATTCCAAATGCTCAGATAAGATAATGCCTCTGGAAAAAAACTCCCTTTCATATTGATACAAAGAAAATAGGCCCTGACATTCAGTTGTTCTCCAACCAAAGTAGGTCAGAGCTGGTTCATTTGAAGGAAAACAGAAGCACAGATAACTGAAAAACAGTGTATTAAATCTTTGCCACTTCATGGTCCTGAATGCGTAATACCACATCTAGTTAAAGCATGAGAACTTAAAAAAGAGAGCGAGAGAAAGCAAGCTCATGCACTAGCTAACAGGAAATGGTTAAAAGGCAGGGCCCCTTGAACTCTCAGCCAGGCACAAAATAACAAAAAGATTCAAAGGAAAACATACCACAGAAGAGGACTTCAATAAACATCTGTTAAAATGACTTAAAGTGGGGGAAAAAATGAAGTAGAGGCTTTTTAGAAGAAAACAGAAAAAAGCTAGTACAAGAGAAATTGGAAGAGCCCAAAGCAGCTGCTCACATTGTGCTGTATCAGCAATTCAATCCAGAAGACTCGGTGAGCACATCACCTTGGGCAAGGCAGTAATACCCAGATATTGGGCCAAACATTTTTCTAGATGTTTCTGTGAAGGTATTTTTTAGATGAGATGAACACTGAAATCAATGGATATTAAGGAAAGCCAATGATTTTCCATGATATTAGCAGGCCTGACCAATTCAGTTGAAGGCCTTAATAGGAAAGAAGACTGACCACCACGGAAGGAGGAATTCTACCAGCAGACTGTCTCCAGGCTTGATGTAAAGGAAGTTTTCAACTTTTCATGTTTGTACACCCTGCTCCTGGGCTCCCGGGGAAGCTATACTTCAACATTTACCAAGTCAAATTGATTCCGCAAGACCTCAAAGCATGGGCTCTATTTCTGACCAGAACGCACATTGTACATCTGCTTCATTAAAGAAAATCACCACAAAGGTGTCTTCTCAACACAAAAGACAAGAAAAAGCAAGAGATTTTCCTCCTTCCCATAGGGTTAAAGTCCTACAGCCCTGCATATATTAGAAACTTAAGGTCTGCAACTTTCTGAAGTGTTCTTTGTCTAATAATTTGTAACTTTTTATGTAAAAATGTACATAACCCTACACCAAATGTTCCCTCTCTTCTTTGTGAAGACTGTATCCCAGGCAGCTGTCCTAACTTGGGCTCAGATAAAACTCTCTTCCTTTTCTTTTTTAGATATTCTAAAAGGGTTATTCATTTTGCATCCACAGACTTGAGCTACAGCATCTGCTCCTCCCTGGGTCTCCAGCCTGCTGGCCTACTTTGCAGATTTAAACTTGCCAAACTCCACAGTCAGGTGAGTCAGTTCCTTAGAATAAACCTCTTTCTCTCCATGTGTATACATACTGGTTCTGTTTCTTTGGAGAACACTTACTAATATAGCATATAAGATGTGCCAGGCACTTTGCTAGGTCCTCCTTGCAGTTACAGAGGTAAGGCAAAAATCACACTAATAGTGGAGACTTGGTAGATATAATGACATTAGCCCATGAGACTATGACAAGAGGGAATGTTCAAGGTACAAGGTCAGCAGATATGAGAGAGACATAGCCAGCTTAGAATGTTCAGAAAAGGCATCCAGAGAAAATTACACTTGGGCTGATTTTTGAAGCATAATTAAGATAAAGGTAAACTAAAGTTGCCAGAAGCCCAAAAATAGCCCAAACAGCACACAGGAGAAGCAAAAAAAAAAAAAAAAAAGGTAAACCAAAAATGCAAGTTTAGGTTGGCATTTTCTCCCCAAATGATGCACAGTTGCTCGGCCTGGAGTAACTGGCTAAATATGCATCTGCAGAATGATGAAAATGCCAACAAAATATTCGTGGAAATATTGAGTGGAAATTGTGGAAATTATGGGTGGAAATATGACATACCATGGCCAGGAATTATTTATGTGGATTCTTTCTAAATAAGCCCAAATCCTTATTGATAATATTATTACATTCAGGTTCAAACTAAATGTAGAAAATGGATCCAGAGATAAGTAACAAACAATAAGAAAAAGGATGCTAACCTGGTAACTCAGAGAAAAGAGCAATGCAGAGCTGAGATTTTTTTCACACAGACCGAGTGGTTTTGTGGAGCTGGGTAATGATTCTCTATCACCCTAAAGTGTTTCTGTTTGTTTTGAGCTTGTAATGGATATAAATGCCCCCCCCCCTTCTGTGGATGACTGAATGAGAGAAAATAAGCTTAAAGTAAAGCAGGAGATAGTTTGGTTGTGTTTAGGGAAGAATTCTTTTTTGAACAAAACTAGAAAGGATACCTTTCAAAGGAGCTTGCAGCATTTTATTGCTCAATCCTTCAAGAAAGGAAGAAACAAACACTGTGTCCTGAAGACTTGAGGTTCTGTGCCTGAAGGTAGGGACCTGCCCCCAGATCCTGGCCAGTCCCTGTTCTAGGATTGGGGGTGATTAAGAATTGGGGGAGATTAAGGATTGGGGGATTAAGGATGGGGGGAATTAAGGATTCGGGGGGGGGCGGAATTAAGACAGCCATTGGCTGCCACTCCCCCAGCCACAATGTCCACCAGAGCCCTTAACAAATTTGCAAAAGTCACTCTTTTCAGTTTTCTATTTCATTTTCTTTGTCCCGTGAGAAACATAATAAGGAGCCAACCACCAGGCAGAAAAAAAAAGCCAGAAATGATCTAGGTGCTTTCAAAACAGGACAGTGCGGTGCCATGAAAGTAAACTTCAATGAATTAAAGATCGTGGGAATTAGAGATTTAACAGGAGTGTGTTATTTTCTGCTTAAACACACCAAGCTATTTATCCACCCCTAAAATGGAGTAATTGCCCTCCTTCACTTTCTTCCTTCTTTCTCCTTCAAGTTTTTCCTCTTCCTCCTCCTCTCTCTTCCCTTCCTCCCCCTTCTTCTCTTTCTTCCTTGTGGAATATTTTTCTGAAAAGTGAAGTAATGGTTGCCATTTGCTGCTGGGTGCAGGTTATAAGCCAGTTCGAATGAAGCAGGGCGAGGAGCCAGACGAGCATCTCAGCCCCTCCACTGAGAGGCTGAAGGTCGCTGTGACTGTAAGGTAGAAGTTGCTACATCTTTCCTCATCATTATTCAAAATATGCAGCTGACACTCAGACCAAGACACAGATGTATGTAAATGCTCACCAAGCTTTTTTTTTTCCTCGCAGAGAACATGAAAACGCAGTGGGCCCCTGTCATAGAAAGTCTTGCCTAGCATGCTTTATAGAGCTTGAATATTCCAGATCTGAGATAGACAGAGCAGCCACCCACTGAACCTTGCCACAGACTTGTCGCTGGGGCGACGCAAGGTGCCTGTGCTTTCCCTGTCTCCTACCCACACTCTCTGCTGTTTCTGGCTGCCTCTGGAGAGATGGTGTCTTTGCCAAGAGATGGGAAGTAGAAGAGGCCACGTTTATTTAGTAAACGCTGCCACCACTCCTGCCACCCCACTCTACAGTACATCTGTGTCTAATGCCACATTTCTACCTCTACAGAAATGTGTACAAGATGGGAGGATGTGAGACCCTCCCTTGGGCTTAGATTGTCTTGATTTAAGGAGGCAGCATTGATTAAAACACCACTATTTCAAATTGTTTCTTTCTTTGGCACCCTAAAGTTTTTTCACTTTCCAGAACATGGCACCCTAGTAATATTCAAGTCAGGTCAGAGCCTTTCTCTTCTAATAGGGAGAAAGACAAGGTCCTTCCCACTGCAGGTAAGTTTTACAAAAGCATCCATAAAGAAACTGGAAATCTGGAAATGGAGTCTCTTAAAATTACTGGGCCTGCATACCCTTTGAAAATCTACAGGTGCCCTTGGGGGTTTATCTCAGTTTGAAGATGTTGCCGTAGCCCAAACAGCTGCACCTTATGGGTGGCAGGGAAGCACAGCACTGTGGATGCTATACCAGGAGGGCCGGTGTGGGAGTGGACCTGGCAGATCACATCAGAGAAGCTGCCACTCACTTCGTGCATAAGATTTGTCTCAAATGCAGTCAGCAATTTTTTGAGGCCTGAGCTGAGCCTTGGGTCATATTCCCCCTAGTGAGGTCCTGTATCTGCCATACCACAGGCCTTGTCAGAGCCTAAGCACAATCATGAAGTGGAAAAGCCTTTATTCTTTCCTTCTCTTCCTTCAGGATGATTGTCACTCCTCCCCACCCTGTGGACATCCAGGGGCCTCAACAGTCATCCTTCCCTATCAGCTTTTAATTTAAAGGGACCTCAGTGCCTTCCTTAACACTGAAAAATATTAGGATATATGGCAGCTTACACTGTGATTTTTGCCAGGAGAAGCTACTTTCTAATAGCCTGAAGTCGATAGTTCAGACACTTCTCTACCATATTCACAATGTTTACCATATTCATGTATCATATCTACATTTCCTTTTTTTCCTCTGAATTGACTTACCTTTCTACTTTTACAAATTTAGATAGAAAACTATTTTATCTCTACCATAAGAGCATCCCTCCTGTCTCAGCCTAGAGTATCCAGAAAGCAAAGTTGGAAACAAAGTTTATTGGGAATGTAGTCCAGCGGTGCAGAACGGGAGGATTGAGACAGGGAAGAAAGAAAAGCCAGTAGAAGTGTGCTTTACCACACTGGCTTCTGCTGCAGGCCGCTGGTACTCAGTCCCACTAGGGCCTTCTGGAAACCCTCATGAAATGTCTCTCAGAACTCCCCACCTGGAAGCTGTCAGCTTCCAACCTCCTCTGGTCAAGAGTAGCCCCATGGGCACTAACTACCCCCATATTCCCAGGCTGCACATGTTTAAGTACAAAACTTGCAAGGGTAACCCATGTCAAAGCAAAAGAGAAGCCCCAGGGCCAGGAGCCGACTGCAAAAGGTGCAGGCCCAGGCAAAGTGCTGTCAGGTTCTATTTGTACAAAACCAGTCAGCTGCACCAGCATGTCAGCTGTTTACCCACACAATGCTCCAGAATTCTACACAGGCTAGTTGAAAACAGAGCGAGTCTGGGGGTGGGGTGAGGGGTAAGGGGGTGGTACTAAAGTCTTCTTCACCCTGCCCTTCGGTCTGTCATTGTGCTCACCTGAGGTGCCTGGGATCCTGTCCAACATGGCTGCTGGAAGTCCCGTCTGTGAAGATAGTGGGGGTGGGAGTGCAGTTAAGGGCAGCCTAGTGAGCCCAGCACTCTCCAAAAAGTGACCACGACATATGAGGTAGACAGCCCACTCCTGCATTGGCATGACTGTTGAGGAGAGAGGGGTAACTGGGTGTTAAAACAGAACTTGAGACTCAGAAACTACTGGCCCACAAAGCTCACAGTCTATCTACTGCCAAAGCCAACCCCCCACCCTGGCCTCCCACTCACCCCCAGGCTGCCCTCTACAGTCTTCTCTCCCCTTGAGACTTTTGGTTTGTGCGAGGTGGTGAGGGAGGTGCTGTGTGATTTGTCTTGGCCACACCCTCTGAGGAGGTGGCTGACAAAAAGGGACAGCAAGAGCAAGCTTCCTCAAATCATACATAACACGCTACCCATCCCCTGCTTTGACTTACATGCTTCTGGTGAAAGAACATCAGCTAGATCTTCTAGTGAGTAAAAGGAAGTTGGAAGGGGCATTGCCACCTCTGGTATATCACCCAAAGAAAAGCTGAGCAACCTGCCATTATTTTGGAGACGGCAAGAAAAGAACATCTCAGAAGTGGGGCCTCATCCTTTGATTTTTTTTTTATTTTTTTAAACACGAGAAAAAAAGAGAAATTGTTCTTCAGCAAGTAAGTACATTTACTACTATCTTAATATGGGATAGCTCAGTAGGAATAGTTACCAACAACCTGACTGCCTTTTATAGATTTTATTTATTTATTTATTTGAGAGAGAATGAGAGACAGAGAGCACGAGAGGGAAGAGGGCAGAGGGAGAAGCAGACCCCCCGCTGAGCAGGGAGCCCGATGCGGGACTCGATCCTGGGACTCCAGGATCATGACCTGAGCTGAAGGCAGTCGCTTAACCAACTGAGCCACCCAGGCGCCCGTGACTGCCTTTTAAATAAACATACCATCACTCCTATCTCCAAGATGCATACTTACTTCCAAAGGAGCCTCCCTGGGGTCCCAGCATGGCTGGTGAGTCATCAACAGAGTTACGGCTCATAAAATTCTGGTGAAGAAGTGGATCCGAGCTAATCCTGGTTAAAATGGAGTGTGGCTAATAAAACAGTCAAGTGAGGCTAGAAAATGAGCTCTGGGATGGTTCCCAAGAGGGGTCCCAAATGTCTTCTGAGTAACATTGGACTGTGTCTGTGGTGACAAGCTCAGAAGATCACACTGGAGCACAACATTCATTTTCAGTTCTAAATTTTGATAAATTTCCTGAAAAAATTTCCTCCCATGGTAATACATAATATAAATAAGTAATTTTTGTAGAACGTCTTTTCCCTTTTTACTAGCAGCTTTTTCTGTTGATTCAGAACTTCTGCTGGTTTAAGACATGTTCTTTGTGCAGGGCGTTTAAGAATGGAGACACTTTTTTATGTAAATGTATTGAGAAGGAAGTAGTTTCATAATTTAAGTCCTGCCTTGGACAAAATAGGACCTCATTGGTGCTCTGTGTTTCTTGGTATATTTTGAAGAGGATCTGAATTTTGGCCAGCGGATATTGAGGGCCCTGATAGTTCTCTGTGCTTTGACCGAAGTCTCATTGTCCCCATTAAGCAGAACTATTCCATGGGAGCTGTGGTTCGTTTTGGAAACATGTACAAGGCAAGATCACCTCGGAGTTCCCCTGACCTTTGCTTTATTTACCCTTGAGATTGTGTGTGGTTTAGACATTGCTCAGATTAAGGTTCCCGACTCATTTCAGGCAGGCAACTAGGGAGTTTTATGACCCATACTAGGCCAACCTTCCTTCCTGGGTGACTTCAATTTTTTTTTTTTTTTCCTTTTCAGGTTGTGAAAATAAATCCACAATCTTTTATATTCAGGAGTTTGGAGACCCAGGTACACCATCCACGGTGTTTTTGCAAACATCACAGGAGAACCCTCTGTGTGAGACAGCTGAATTGTCTTCTGCTCCTGCCTGGTGCTTGCTGGAAGGTACCCAGGTCTCACTTGGTTCGAAATTGTTTTCGCTCTCTAAGCAGCAGAAGCCATGGATCACCCAGTGAAGTGGAGAACACCACTACTCGAGCATCCGTATCTCAAGCTTGAATTTCAGTTCTTGATGCTAACTAGTCTTTTTTACTTCTGTTCAGGTAAGGAACTCTCAGGAGCTTGACTGAGTTTGCTGCCTCAAGGTTTAGGAGGCGGGGTTTTCTGTGCTGCCCCCTTCTGTCACCCTGCAAGTTGACCTTCAAGGGCTGGATTTGGGGGGCTGTTGAGAAGAGTGGGGCTCATCCTGCTGAAGACTGGTTCTGACTTTATTTTTAAAGTCAAAACAAAAGATCTTCTTTCTGCTGAACAGCATACCACCTGGTTTCCCCAAAGTAAAGAGAAGGCTTTGGCTTCAACACGGTCTGCCAGTTTGCAAAGAGCCCAATGTCAAAGGTCCTTGTCTTAAGAGCCGCTCACTTAAAGCATGTGTTCACTGCAGGCATCAGAATGTCTAAGTGTGAGGGAGGGAGGAGGAGGGGATGGGAGAGGAGTTTGGGCGCACGGATTACGCGCCTGCCATGATGGTAGTCGTGCATTTTCTGTCCTGGGCTGGAAAACTTGCTATTTTACATGCTTGCCGAACCAAGAGAACCGCGACCTAAGTTTCACAATTTATGCATCAGATATTGTGTGGGGGAGCACTCCCTAATGAGTCTTCTGGGGGAGTCTAAAGAGTTTTAAAATATTTAGAAGGAAATTTATACAGGCTTCCTAGAAATATGTGTGTGTGTGTTGGGGGGAAACCAATGAAAAAGAGAAAGAAAATATAAAATGAGGACCAGGGTTTTAGCAATTAAGCAAGTGGAAGGAGATGATCTTTGAGCTAAAGAAAAATATTTAGGAAAGCACTTTGTCCTACAGCTATATTCAGATTTTACTATTGCTGCACTGAGTCAACAAACAAATCCCTGAGCATCTTATGTGTGAATACTTACTATGTACTCAAAAACTGAACCTGGGATTCCTGTCCTCTAAGAGATTCGAGTGTGTTAGTTGAAGAAGGCAAAACTAACCCCCAAGCTAGTGAAGAGCAGTAGAGTGCCTGGTCCCGATCCTAAGAGCCCGAGACCTGGGAAAGGTGGGACCATGGCGAGCTGGGGCAGCCGGGCCAACTTTATGGCAGACGCCGGGTGATGGCGGCAGAATTCTGGGTGGGGCCGCAGTGCAGACAAAGGCTAAAGGTAAGGATGAGTCTGGCACAAGGGTTCTTTCTTTTGTGTACTCATCTATTAATTCAACAAATATTGAGCATCTCCTCTGTATAGGATACTTTTCTTGGTCCTGGGGACAAGTTGTGAGCAAGATTGACATGGCTTTTCGGGCACCTGGGTGGCTCAGTTGGTTAAGCGACTGCCTTCGGCTCAGGTCATGATCCTGGAGTCCCTGGATCGAGTCCCGCATCGGGCTCCCTGCTCGGCGGGGAGTCTGCTTCTCCCTCTGGCCCTCCCCGCTCTCATGTGCTTGCTCTCTCTCATTCTCTCTCTCTCAAATAAATAAATAAAATCTTAAAAAAAAAAAAAAAAGAAAGATTGACATGGCTTTTGCCTTCATGGCATTTACGATCATTAGGAAGAACGTGAAACTCAATCAAAGAATCCCTCAAATGAATGTACGAACAACAAACACTGTCTTTCTGTGCCAGAGGGGAGAGTGGTACGAGTGAGCTGGGTGAAGGCAGAAGAGCAGCACGTGAAAGAAACAGAGGAGCAAGGAAGTGGAGACAGCGTGTTGGGGCAGGCGGAGGGAGGGACCAGACTCCACAGGGCTCCAAGGCCATGGTCAGGAATCTGAATGTATTTGGAGGGACTGGGAAGCCACGGAAGGGTTTTAAGGAGTGACGTGGTCTGTACCAATCACCTGGGGGCCTTGTCCAAAGCAGTTTTTAGCACAGGGGATTTTCAGAGCAGTGAAAAGACTCCGTATGATGCTACAATGATGGATACATGTCATTTTATGTTTGTGAAAACCCACTGAATGTATAGTGTCAAGAATGATCCCTAAAGGAAACTGCAGACTTTGGGTGGTAATGAGGTGTTAATGTAGATTCATTGATTGTCACAAATGTACCCTCTGGCATAGGATGTGGATGGTAAGGGAAGCTGTGTGCGTGGAGGGGATGGAGTATATGGGAACTCTCTGTACTTTCCATTCATTTTGCTGTGAACCTAAAATGCTCCAAAATAAAGTCTGTATATTTTTGAAAAATACAGTTTCGGCTGAGGTGGGCCAGGGAGGGGCCTAGGATTCTGCATTTCTAACAAGGACTCAGGTGATGCCGATGCTCTTGGGCCACAGGCCTTCCGTTTGGGTAGCAAAGCTCCGAAATGATGTTTTAAAAAAGAAGTGTTGCTAAAGCACGAAGAGCGGCTTGTAGGGCTGCCGGAGTGATGGTGTAGAACCTGTCAGCAGGCTGTGTCGGACAGCTTTGATGAAGAGACTGGAGTCGGGGCGGGGCCGGGGGATTGGAGAGTGTGTGTGCTGTGGCGTCAGGGAGCGGCTGGGAGCTGTGGATGGCCCGCAGGAGGCAAGGCTGAGTGCGATCACGGAGGCCCTGGCTTCCGGGAAAGGCATTTGCCACACACCCTGCTCTCCTGGTTCCGGCCAGGAAGCTGCATAACCAACTTGTTCAAGGTTATGATTCTAATGTGCAGCAGATGGAGCCAGATCTCATCTCCTAATGCCTAGCCCGCCCCCATCCGCAGGTTGGCCATTGCTGCCCAGGACAGGGGACCACTTTGTCCTGAGACGGGAGGGGCTGGCCAAACCCCTGTCCACTTCTGGTTGGGTCTGTGGAGGCAAAACACTGGACTCGTGGACTCCAGAAACTGGCAGTTATAAGGCGGAGAGGGTCTAACCGGGTGGCTCTCGGAGGGGCCGGCACGGGCAGCTTTCTCTCAGAGGTGGGGTGTTTTCCGGGAAGCACAGCTCCAAGGGAGGGGAGAGGCCTTTGGTAGGAGTGGGCCAGGGACACAGAAGCGGTGTTGCCTGTAAGTCTATGGCATGAGGAAGACTGAGCCAGAGGGAAAAGAATGCCCTCAGAGTGCCACAGGGACTCTTCCTGTCGTCGGGTACTATCTGAACGCTGCTGGCCAAGGGCTCCTATGAGCCGCGGTTCTGGCTGGGACAACGCTGATATTCAAAGTCCCTGAGCCTTTTCAAGATTTAAGTACCATTTGGAGATGCAAAGGATCAGATTTATACAGAGCGTACAGGCTGGGTCTCAAGAGGAGAGAAAGTCAGGAGTGATGCAAAAATCAGGTGACAGTTCTCAAATCTGTCAGCCGCTGGAGAGCAGACACTTACCCTGCTTGTGTTCCTGGCACCAAGCCCAAGGCCGACACAAGCCCCATGGCTGGCTGGTTCACCTCATGAAGAGCACTTAGCAGTGTCCCAAAGGGTCACTGCCTTTGGAAGGATATACACAGACCATTAACAGTAAATCTCTAGATGGTGGGATTATAGATGACTTTTATGCTTTTCTGTATTTACCATTCTTTCTATAAATTTAATGTATGTCTCCTTTAGAGTCAGGAAACCCCTTTATTTATTTATTTATTCTTAGTATTTTTCTAAAGATTTTTATTTGTTTATTTGAGAGAGAGAGCACATGCACATGAGAGAGAGCACAAGTGGGAGGGGGAAGGGCAGAGGGAGAAGCAGACTCCCCGCTGAGCAGGGGGCCAGATGTGGGGAGATCCCAGGACCCTGAGATCATGACCTGAGCTGAAGGCAGATGCTTAACCACCTGACCTACCCAGGCGCCCCGAGAACACCTTTATTTAAAAAGCATACTTAAGTCCCAGTGAGATTGTATACATCACAGCACGTGGGGACTTAAGCTATTCTGCCCAGCTCTGGATACTTGGCTCAGTCCGGATGTCAGCCAGTTACCACGGTGATTCTGGCCTCTCCTGGGTGTGGTTCAACAAATCACGTGCTATGAATGACAGGAACAGCCCCATTTAAAAATCTGTATAGTGTTTTACAGTTAACTAAGCACTTTTACATCTGGGTATCATACAATCCCCGTGATAATTTGTGAAATTTTAGGGGAGAACGTATTATGCCTATTTTGCAGAAATTCCCAAGGAACCAACTTGTTCAAGGTTATGATTCTAATGTGCAGCAGATGGAGCCAGATCTCATCTCCTAATGCCTAGCCATGCATTCAGCCAATAGTTACTGAGGACCTACTATGGGCCAGTCCCTGTCCTAGATTCTGCAGATACAGCAATGAACTAAACAGATAAAGCCCCAGCTCTCATAGCCTCAAAAGTAAGCTGGAAACAAACTTGAAGAGAAATAAATCAGGGCAAGGGACTAATGAGCAGCAGGATGGATGGGGTCTGGGAGGAAGGTGCTGGTTAGGGAGAGTTGGAGAAGAGATCTCTGACAAAGGGGGACCAGAGCAGAAACCCGAGAGAAGCAAGGAACTGAGCTGTGTGGCTGTCTGGGGAAGGCATTGGTACCTGGCACCTGCCAAGGTCTGTGGGGGCGTCTCATGTGCGTCACCTCACAGAATCCTCATGCCCACTTTGTTAGGTAAGTGTGCTCTGCTCATCTGTAAAATGGTTAAGCAAGGTCAAAGTTCAACTAGGTTTTAGGCAGTAATGCTCAGAATTCAGGTACCCGACTCTCCCCTCCAAAGCCATTGAAGCAGACAAAGCACTTCAGACCTTTCAGTTGTCTGCATGCAGCAGGCCCGAGTATGGAAGCCACGTCTCTGGAATTTCCAAATTGCTCAGAAGATTTTTGGTTCCTCTTTTCAGTCCGGTTCTTCTTCAGCATGAGTGTGTGGCGAGAGGATTTCACATAGGAACATTAAGGATCCCATTGATGGTTACTGACCTTTAGAGGGACACCCACGCTTCTCCTCAGACGGCTGGACAAAAACTCCTTAAGAGTCATCATTGAAAGTAGCTCATTTTCAGTTCAGATTCCTCTTTTGCTAATGTCACATGTCAAACTCGGTTAGAAATCCTGGATTCTTTTTGGGTGGGAACAAACAGATCATAGGGAAAGATCCTATTTGGAATCCCAGATGAATGAGCTGCTTTCTGTCATGGTATCTGGCCCGTGGCAAGACCAGAGTCCTGAGTACCTGACATAACCCCTGAGTGCAATGGAAGGACCAGAGGGTAAAAGTTGGGAGCAAGAGTTGGGAAAGAGAGGAAAGGAAAGTCTCAGAGAAGACTTGCTATGTATTAGGGACTTTCCATGTATATCATTTAATTGAATTTAATTTTACAATGATCCTGGGAGGCAGGTATCATACCCTTTTTACAGATGAGGAAATGGATTTATTAGCAGGTGGCTGAGCTGGGACTAGAATCCAAGTCAATAGGAACCCATAGTTTATGCTCCTTACACCTATGAGTTTGCTTCTGCTGTATCTTTTTAAAGAGAGCTCAGGTTATTTAGCTATTATATGCTCCCCTCAAGTGTATCTTTTCATTTCTTCCCCCTTTTTCAGATATGTTCCTTAAAGCTGGGGTTGGCAGTGTTCAGCACAATTGCCAAAAGGGGTTCCTTAGATCATTCTGAGTTACTTCATCCTGCTATGAAGATACCTGCCATCACAAAACTCTCTTCCTAATGCTGTGGGGGGCCCATATCCAGTCTAATGAAGGCCTGAAGAGTGGCTCTTGAAATAGAGAGGTGTTAGTGCTCCATGATCCTGTTGTCTGAGGAGAGAGAGAGAGACTAGAGACTCGATCCTTAGATAGCAACCCCCGCCTCCCGCCCAGGGGAGGCTGTGTGGCTCTGGGAGATAATACATAATAGCATTGGTGGGGGAGGCAGTGGCTAGTTGTGAAAGAGCTTGGGCTTAGGGGATCTGCTTGTAGGTCAAGCCCAGCATAGGAGGAATGATAAAAAAAAAAAAAATCAGAAAACACAGCCTGACAGGGGAATTTGGTGCTACTGATAAATGCTTAGGAGCTAACAAAAAGATGGAGCTTGGATACTGAAATGTTGCTAATCCTGGAATACACTGATGGGAAAATGGGCAGAATGTTTTAAATGGGACCCTTTTATAGGGCTGCTGTTGCATGGATTGCAGATAGCTGAAAGAGATGGGGACCGGATATAGATCATTTAGGGTCGCTGAAGAGAAATAGTCTGGAGGTGTAAACTACACTTTGTCTGGTGAGGATGAGGGGAGTCAATTCAGCCTGAAGTTATGAGGTCAGTCCAGGCCTGGAAAGAAAAGGACTCTGTTTCGCAAAGCAAAAAAGCTCAACAGTGGGGTCCAGCTGGGGTGTGGGCAGTGTTGGCCCACTTACCCTGTAACTGGGGCCTAAAGTTGGGGAAACCAGTAAACAAGGAGAGTGGCTTGAAAGGTCTGCCCCAGAAAGTGTAGAGCTGGGACAACTTCTTTTCCTGGGCTTAGTTTCCTCATCTATAAATAAGAACACCAAAATGAATGAACATGGAAGTCCCTTCAAGATCTCACATTCCGATGACTTTCATATCCCCATCAGGCTGAGTACATTGTCTACCCATAGTTGGCATTCATATGCTAGGTCTCCTAAAGTCCTCCTGCTTGTGGGACTAGTGGACCTTCTCCCTCACTGGCAATCGACAGATGAATTGAAAAGAAAATGTGGTATATACATACAATGGAATATTATTATCATTATCTTATTATTCCTTAAAAAGGAAGGAGATTCTGGCACATGCTGAGACATGGATGAACCTTGAGGACACCATGCTAAGTGAAATAAGCCAATCACAAGAAGAAAACACTCTATGATTCATTATATGCAGTATCTAAAGTAGTCAGACTCATAGAAACAGAACATTGAGTGGTGGTTACCAAGGAGGTAGGGGGGTAAAGAAAGGAGAGTTGTGTAATGCATACAGAGTTCCAGATTTGCAAGATAAAAAGTTCTGGAGATCTATTTCCCAACAATGTGAATATACTTAACACTACTGAACTGTACACTTAAAAATGGTTAAGATGGTATATTTTTACATTTTTTTAACCACCATAGAAAAAAAGAGAGAGAAAAGCACTGGGGACCAAAATTATAAGTGACTCTGAATTCCTGCTTCTGCAGGAGGCTATATTTAATAGAAAATCTTCTGTTTGCCTCTCCTTAGGCATCATCCAGGTGAACAAGACAGTGAAAGAAGTAGCAGTACTATCCTGTGATTACAACATTTCCACTGAAGAACTGATGGAAGTTCGAATCTATTGGCAAAAGGATGATGAAATGGTGTTGGCCATCATGTCTGGAAAAGAGCAAGTGTGGTCCAAGTATGAGAATCGCACCTTCACTGACTTCACCAAGAACCTCTCCATTGTGATCCTGGCTCTGCGCCTGTCGGACAATGGCAAATACACCTGTATCGTTCAAAAGATTGAAAAAGGCTCTTACAAAGTGAAACACATGACTTCAGTGATGTTATTGGTCAGAGGTCAGTGGGATTTTTCTGATTTACCATAAGCTGGCAGACTCTTGATGCCCTTAAAGACTACTCCTATTGATTTAGTTGAAAATTTTACCAAAGAGGGATGTATCTTCATTTAGGGTTAAGTAAGTCTGTAGTTTTACAATAAACCCTAACTGATTTCTCAAGACATCCTGGAAATATCTATTAGTGTGCGTTTCTTGCATTTTGACAATCCAGATTCATGACAGTCATCCTGAGGCACTAGAATGACCTAACGTGCCTTCTGAATCATAAGGGGACACACTTGATTTGATGTAGCTGAACTATTAACTGCACTTGATCCAATAATATATTCTTGTGAAAGTATATTGAAAGGTATAAGAACAATGCAGGCAGAGATATTTTTCAAGTAGTATTTGAATGCCTATTACTATGGCTATTGTACGATTTATATTTATTATTATATTTGAAGCTCTCATCTAATGGGCATTCCTACAAAGTTAGATGTTAGAGGACTGGATGCATAATTTATGTGACAGGGAAGAAAATTAATTCATAAATCAAAGCTCTACTTCTACATATCCTGTGAAGGCAAGCATTTCTTGGGTAGGAAGGAGGCTTGCATTTATCACAGGTGACAGTACTAGAAGATACTAATATAGCCTGAGCTCCTTGCTGAGAAATGATAGCCCTTGACCTTTCCGCCATACTTGAAATTCAGCCACGTTTTTATTTCTTCCTGGACACTTGGGCCTTTAGTGGAAACCGAACCTATTACTTAATAAGAGATAATCATTTACCCTGCTAACAAATAATGTAAGTGGATCCTTGGTGAATTCTTCACTATTCTTCCCTGCTCTGTTCTCCAGCTGTGTTGAATCTTCCACTTCAGCATCCAAATCACACCTAAAGCTTAGGAGGTAAGCCAGTTACATGGGATTACCTTAAACCTCCCTCTGTGTATTCCCTTCTCATGGAGAGAGCAATGATTATATGGTGGTTTTAGGGGTTCTACCAGGCCCACTTTCTCCGAAGTTCTGACCTGCACTGATTCCTAGAATTCCCACCATTATTGCTTCTCCTGCCAGTTTCAGCACTGTTCTCCCTACAAGATCTCTGTTAAAAATGAAAATGTGTTACCTGGGGGAGGTGGCACCACAAACATATTAACTTGTAGTAGTTAATTACGTTAGATATAGTCAGTCCTGTCACAGAATGCCCGAAGGGAAGTAGATGCAGGACTATATACATTTTGATAGGAAGATAATAAAACCCAAGAGGGAGAAGAGGCAGAATTTCAGGAAGGGCAAGCCCTAGTAGCAGACCACAGCAGGAGACCAGGGACAGCTCAAAAGGCAACACAAGAGTGCTGGGGGCCTCAAAAGGGCCCGGAGGGGCAGGGCACCAAAGTCAGATGAGTGAAGACAAAAAGGGAAACTTTTCATTTGACTCAGAACCAATCAATTCTGATTTTTCCATTTGCATCAGTTACAACAGTGCTTCTCTTATATTAAGGTTCCTATGAATCACTAGAGGATCTTGTTAAAATGCAGATTCAGATTCAGTAGGTGTGGGGTTGGATCTTCGATTTGGAACTAACAGATCACCAGGTGATTCCTGTACGTACAGCTGCTGAGGACCACAGTTTGAGAAACAAGACATTAAATCATTTATTTGACTAGGATGACTAGCTGTCCCATTTTGCCCAGGACTTAGAGGTTTCCTCAGACACCTGAGACTTTCCCAGGTTTGGCACTGAACAAGTTGGTCTCTCTACATTTTTTTTTTTTTTAAGATTTTATTTATTTATTTGAGAGACAGAGAATGAGAGGGAGCACATGAGAGGGGGTAGGGTCAGAGGGAGAAGCAGACTCCCCGCCGAACAGGGAGCACGACGCGGGACTCGATCCAGGGACTCCAGGATCATGACCTGAGCCGAAGGCAGTCGCTTAACCAACTGAGCCACCCAGGCGCCCTGGTCTCTCTACATTTGCCTATGATTGCAAGATGATATAATATTGGCATCGCAGTATCTAAAAGCCTCTCCATTAACCAGCATTTGGGGAACTAGCTATACTAGTTAACAGATTAACTAGGGTAATGGATGTTTACCTTTCTAACACATGTGCACCTCTTCCTTTCCTAATGAGATTATTTTTACCCTACCCATTCAGAATGGTGAAAACGTGGGTTAATGCATTAAAACGAGATACAAAGGAATACTTTTTTTTAAGTTTTTTTTTTTTTTTAATTTGACAGAGAGAGACACAGCAAGAGAGGGAACACAAGCAGGGGGAGTGGGAGAGGGAGAGGCAGGCTTCCCGCTGAGCAGAGAGCCCGATGTGGGGCTTGATCCCAGGACCCTGGGATCATGACCCGAGCCGAAGGCAGATGCCTAAGGACTAAGCCACCCAGTTATTATCCTAAAGGAATAATTTTTTGATGGTTCACAGTCTTGCAAGGACTTAGGTGCTGTTACTTGAGATGGATCACCTCACTGAAGGGATAGAAGACAGCTGAGTCTGTGCTAAGGCTAGCCAGACCTTGCAAAGATGGTTTCTAATATACAGAATATTGTCAATGTTCTTGTGGTTAAGTATCTCTCAGAAAAGCAGAGCACAGAAATGAACATGAATCATAATTTGGGATATGGGTTACTTGGATTTGTTATTCCAGGTTATAACACATAACATTGATGTTGTAAGAAACAAAGGGAATATTCGTTGTTATTTTTAAGATTTTATTTTGTGGGCCTTGAACTCACAACCCCGAGATCAAGAGTTGCACGCTCCACTGACTGAGCCAGCCAGGAGCCCTACAAAAGGAATATTCTTGATGTCGGCTACTGTTATAATTTTCTGATCTTATAAGATAAATTGCAGGAGTAGGAAATGTCAACTAAAAATGGCTCAGGAAAATGTCAAACTTAATTTAGAAACAGGGTTGATGCAAAAAAGAAGACTTCACCTCCTACCAAATGCAAGTTTTTCCTTTTCCTAGCAGTTATAATCACTTGTCATAACTTCCCCTTTCTCGGGGGCGCTACTGGGTGGTTTTGGAAGTTTTCACTGGGCAACTTGATTTAAATGAGGGAGCTCATCCAAGAGAGTACAAATTTAAGACCCACATAACTCCATCTATTAACTGATATGCTATGTGTCAGGCCCTGTGCTTCATGATTTATATTAATGATGTCATTTAATTCTTAGAACCCTGGAATGCCGGTATTATTATCCCCATCTTAGAGATGAGCCAACTAAAACAGAAAGTGGTGAAGTAATTGGCCCCAGGGCTAAAGGCAAAACTGGTTTTAAAACCTGCTGTTGGATCTTGGCCAGCCTGTTCCTTAAAGGAAATCTTTATTAATTATGTATGTATGGTTCCCAAATGTTCTTTTAAAAAACTCCAACTTTCTAGAGAAGCACAATCCTCATGAGTGGCTTCAGCTTTACATCATACATTTTGTATTAAAAGAAAATCCAAGTGGTACAATTTGTTTACACTATGATGCTTTCTAAATAAACTCTTAAAAACAACAACAACAACAACAACAACCTGCTGTTGATGACCATTATGCTATACTATGTCTCTCTGTGGAACCCCGAATTGTGAAAAGAAATCTAACTGTATGGGATGAAGTATGCGGGGCTTGGTTCCCACACTCAGGCTGAGAAGTATACATTTCTTTAGGCCTAAGACAAAGGGAGAATATGGGTTAGAGAGCTTTGTCCTGTGTTCTCTGCAGTCATTACACTATGCTTTGCTTTGTATATACTTTAGTATCTTATTGGGGGTCAACTATACAAATGCAGGAATGCCTCAAGCATCTTGGAGGAATGCTAGGAAGGTCCCTGTGTCCTTGTGATGCATATCAGAATAGCAAGGGAGTCAGTAAAGTAAAGTGGTTGAGATTACAGACTCAATATTGTACAATTTGGACAGAGGTTTATCTTATTAAAGACTACTTTTGAAAATTCAGTAAGGGAATGCTAAAGAAAATTTAGAGTAGTGGTTATCTCAAGTGTGGGAAATGGGGAGACAACAAAGGTGAGACCATACAAGTAGATTTACATAAGTTACAGTCAATGTGCTGGCTCTCAAGTTGGATGGTGGTTTCACAGGTGTTTTTTGTAGTATTAACTCATAAATAGATAAATAAGAGAGCCACTTTGTATACCTCAAATATTAGGAAGAAAGGGAAGAAAAGAAAGGCAGGAAAGGAAAGGAAAAAAAAAGCAGGCAAGGGAAGAAAAGAGAAGGAAAGAGAAGGTTCTGGTATCAGAAAACCTTGAATTCACATCCCAGTTTTGCCACTTACTCATGATTTCTCTCAACCTCAATTTGATTATTTATAAAATGGAAATCATATTAGGTTAAGTCAAATGAAATTGCTGATATTTGACCTTTCTTGACATACACCTGCCTCATAGGGTTGTTGTAAAGATTAAATGAGGTAGTATCTAAGACCTAACAAACATTAAGAGCTCAGTAAATGGGGGCACCTGGGTGGCTCAGTTGGTTAAGCGACTGCCTTCGGCTCAGGTCATGATCCTGGAGTCCCAGGATCGAGTCCCACATCAGGCTCCCTGCTCAGTGGGGAGTCTGCTTCTCCCTCTGATGCTCCCCCCTCTCATGCTCTCTCTCTCTCTCATTCTCTCGCTCAAATAAATAAATAAAATCTTTAAAAAAAAAAAAGAGCTCAGTAAATGTTGTCTATTATTTTTCTCTTCATCTCTTACAAATGCAAAATACTATGTCAGTATTTATTCACATAGATCTACTTCTTTCTATAAGTGTCCTCCTACCTCCATCAAAAGTGATGAAGAATCGGGGTGCCCGGCTGGCTCAGTTGGAAGAAGAGCATGTGGCTCCTGATCTCAGGGCCATGAGTTGGAGCCCCACATTGGGTGTAGAGATTACTTAAATAAATAAAAATCTTAAAAAAAAAAAAGTAATGAAGAATTGATATACCCAATTCAAACCAAAGTTGATCTTTGGATTATACATAACTATTAATGATTTATGAGACATTGCAAATTATATCTCATTTTATTATTCTTATTAAAGCTAATTTATTAAAAAAAAAAAAAAACCTCACCCCCCCCCCACCGCACAAATACATAATGATATGTACTTATATCTTTGTTCTTTTTTCAGCTGACTTTCCTGTCCCTAGTATAACTGACCTTGGAAATCCATCCCGTAACATCAAAAGGATAATGTGTTCAACCTCTGGAGGTTTTCCAAAGCCTCACCTCTCCTGGTTAGAAAATGAAGAAGAATTAAATGCCATCAACACAACAGTTTCCCAAGATCCTGGAACTGAGCTCTACACTATCAGCAGTGAACTGGATTTCAATATAACAAACAACCATAGCTTTGTGTGCCTTGTCAAGTATGGAGACTTAGCAGTATCACAGATCTTCAACTGGCAAAAATGTAAGTAACATTCTTCTGGGGAGTTTCTACTGTGTAAAATCTAAAAAGAAAGTAACTCAGCCAGATCCATTTTAGAATCGTGTATATTGACTTTGATAGCATTTCTTGTATTTTTAGACCCACAAATGATGATGAAGTGATATTGTGACTTGTTAAGATCACTGTACAAGGTGTGAGCATGTTACTAGACTTATTTTCTTTTTTTTTTTAAGATTTTTATTTATTTATTTGACAGAGAGAGACACAGCGACAGAGGGAACACAAGCAGGGGGAGTGGGAGAGGGAGAAGCAGGCTTCCCACAGAGCAGGGAGCCCGATGTGGGGCTCGATCCCAGGACCCCGGGATCATGCCCTGAGCCGAAGGCAGCCGCTTAATGACTGAGCCACCCAGGCGCCCTAATTTTATTTTCTTTAATAAATTTTCTAAAATTGAGACATTCAAATAAGTGCTGTCCCTCAAGTAGTCATCTTGGGAAGTTACTGTAACAATATTGTTGATATTGAAAGCACTAAAATTTGTCCTTCTTTGGACTTACCCTTGGGGCTTTGGTACTTTCTTTTTTGGGCACCTCCTTCCCATTGTCCCATGGCATCAAATCATTGCCTTTTGTGGGTGAATGTGCCTTTTAAGAGCTACTGGTTCATTCACAACTAAGTCTGGTAAAGAAGGTAAATGACAAACTACTTGAAGACAATGCCTGAAAATAGAGGTCGTTTTTGCCCAAATACGATGACCTTCAAATACTTTACCCTTTAGCTCGTAAACTTACAGAATTTTGTCCCCAAGAGGTGAAATCATTTGAAAATGTAAAATGGAATAAGTTGGGCTTCTATAAATTTATGCATGTTAAACCCATAATGGGTTATTACAGAACTCAGATACTTAAAATAAGTGTCTAACTTGTATGGCTGATTGTATGGAAGATAATCAGGCCTCTCTCTCATGCCCCAGGCCCGCTTTTAACAGCACATTTTATGGCTGCGTGGTAATAAGCAATATACTGAATTTGATATATAATGGCACATAGATATATAGTATAATACAGAATGTATAGCATGTCTTCCTCTTGTAGTAGAGGAGGTATTTTAGATGGTTTAGTAGCTCATTCTAGTGAATGATTTACTCTAGATCTTTCCATCTTGAAGTGGACTCGTTCATTATTTTCTTCAATAGGTAATGAGATAAAATTTCCTGGGAACATTAGTTCAAATACAAACAAAATTTTGACATGATTTTATTAATAGTCCAAATTAATTTCTTTCAGTCATCTTTTATGTGTTCTAAGATTTCATAAAAATGAGGTTTGAGTTATATAGTTTATTAATTTATTGTGACTAAGGTAGAGATTAGCACACAAAGCAGTAAGAGCAGCTTCAATCATCTTATTTTGGACATTATATTTGGAATATGAGTGTATATGATATTTTAGGACAGGAATTGGCAAATACTTTCAGAAAAGGGCCAGGTAGTAAATATTTTAGTTTTTGTAGGTCAGATGATCATTGGCAACAACTCAGTTTTGCTGTTATAACCTGGAAGCTGCCATAAACAAGACATAAATGAAGGATATGGCTGTGTTCCAGCAAAATTTTAAAGAGGCAGTAGGCCAGGTTTGGTCTGTGTACTGTAGTTTGCTAACTTGCAGGAAACAGAATGTAGCCCATTTAAATAAAAGGAGGGAGCTCTTATTTAAAGATGATTTAGACTGTCCAGCTTTAATCTTTTCTCTGATATGCCTTCTCTCAATTCTTCCCTCATGCTAAGGATGAACAGTATCCCTTTTCGGTCTAATGAAAAATACTAGCTCTTTGCCCTACATTTACAACAATTAATGGAAAGATGATTAAGTGTATGGGTTTATTCATTTCTTTGTTCATTCAATCTTTATTAAAGTAGTTATCAGATACCAAGCATCTTGCTAAGTACTAGTGTTGTCTTGATTGTCAGAGAGCTTTAGTGTATAAATACTTCAAATCTATTAATTGAACTGCAGGTATCTTTTTTTCCCCCCATTTTTTTTAAGGGCAAGGAGGGGCAGAGGGAGAGAAAGAGCGAGAATCTAAGACAGGCTCTACACCCATCACGGAGCACTACACAGGGCTTGATCTCAGATCTCACGACCCTGATATCCTGACCTGAGCCGAAATGAAGAGTCAGACGCTTAACTGCCTGAGCCAAAGAGGTGCCCCTGAACTGCAGGCATCATTTAGACTCTAAAGCAAATAATGCATTTATGGGTGGTCAAGGGCTGACTGCATAAACAAACAAAAATTAGGTGTACAGTTCCTAAAAATGTTACAAGTCAACGTGAGCAAAGCTTTACATAAATATTTTTATAATTTATCTTATGTAAAAATATTTATGTAAAGCTTTATATAAATGTATTTACGTAAAAATATTTATATAGGGGCACCTGGGTGGCTCAGTCAGTTAAGCGTTTGACTCTTGATTTCAGTTCAGGTCATGATCTCAGGGTTGAGAGATCAAGCCCCATGTCGGGCTCCATGCTGAGTGTGGAGCCTGCTTAAGATTCTCTCTCCCTCTCCCTCTGCCTCTCCCCCTACTCACACACACACACTCTCTCTCCCTCTCTAAAATAAATCAATAAAGTCTTTAAAAAATATATTTATGTAAAGCTTTATGTAAATACCCACTCTAAAAAAATCCCCCAATTTATTAATTAAACAGATTGGGTCCATGATTCTTTTAGCCTGGGCCTGCCAAACTGGTTAACCCTTGATATACTGGAAGGCACATATGTGTGTGGAAGGAGGTAAATCAGGGAGTCCCACTCATGGTGTAGCTCACAAGCTGTATGTGCCGATGTCCACACTTGCCTCTGTAATTAGGATTCTGGGTCTGTTCTGTGGTGCATTACTAGATTCCTACGTGGCATCATGACAGAGCCAGTTTGCTGCTACTAGTTCCTCCTTCTTTTTCTCAAACGTACATCCTCTTTCTAGGCTGAGTGAGGCTTGAGGATGAGTGAGGAGTGGGCTCTGAGAGGAAGCCAGGAGTGAGTCAGAACCTGTGGAACTTTTAGATTCCCAGGATAAGAGCAAGAGCCTCCCTGTCATTCTGGTCTGTAGAGGCCAATTCTGGTAATCACTCATCTTCATGCAATCCGGTGTTTTAGAGGAAAAGAAGAAACAAAACAAAACCCAACTTTCCCTAGTCTCTAAGTGGTAGGTGCACTAAAGTCAAATGTGCATTTTAGAATAATCACTGTGGCAGAATATGTAGGAATTATTAGAGCCTTGGAAACCAGAGGCAAAGGGACCAGTATGGAGATGACTAGGTGGGAGAGAAGAAAAACCCAAACTAAGGCAGTTGCTGCATGGGATTTTGGGAAAAGGAACCAACTGCAGAGGTATCCTGAATACAGAATAGAAAGTCCATGGGAACCTACTGGGAAGTGAGCACAAAAAGAAGGCTTCATTCTCATTTGGGTAACTATAGTGTTGCTCTTCGCTGAAATGGGAGAATATGGTTGGAAGATATGCTTTGGAAAGATTATAGTGAGTTCAGTTTAAATCAGGTGGAAATTCTGGCATCCAGCCATGTAGTCGGCAGTTGGAAATTGAAATTTGAAGTTCAGAAATACAGGAGGACAACAGGTGTTGGTGAGGATGCAAAGAAAGGGGAACCCTCTTGCACTGTTGGTGGGAATGCAAACTGGTGCAGCCACTCTAGAGAACAGTATGGAGGGTCCTCAAAAAGCTAAAAATAGAACTACCCTATGATCTAGCAATTGCACTGCTAGGTATTTACCCAAAGGATACAAAAATACACATTCTAAGGAGTACATGCATCCCGATGTTTATAGCAACATTATCAACAATAGCAAAACTATGGAAACAGCCCAAATGCCATCCACTGATAAGTGAATAAAGAAGATGTGGTGTACACATATGTATATATAGTAGACTACTACTCAGCCATCAAAAAGAATGAAATCTTGCCATTTGCAATGACGTGGATGGAGCTAGAATGTATTATGCTAAGCGAAGTAAGTCAGAAAAAGACAAATACCATATGATTTCACTCATGTGGAATTTAAGGAACAAAATGGATGAACATATGGGAGGGGGGAAGAGAAAGAGAGAGGAAAACAAATCATGAGAGACTTAACTATAGAGAACAAACTAAGGGTTGATGGATGGAAGTGGGTGGGGGGTGGGCTAGATGGGTGATGGGTATTAAAGAGGGCATTTGTTTTGATGAGTACTGGGTATTTTATGTAAATGATGAACCACTGAACTCTACTCCAGTGTTGAACTGTATGTCAACTAACTAGAATTTAAAAATAAACAACCCAGTAATTTTTTTGTGACAATGCCTGTGTAATACTTAAAGTAAATCAATCTGTAAATAAAATTTGCATTTTAAATAAAATGTGCTGTAAGGAAAAAAAATGAGATCAGAAATATGATATACAGATTTAGAAATCAGATGGTATTTTAAACCTAGGGTGTGGATGAGAGAAAAGGAAAAGGCATGACAGATCTAGAAAGAGAAAACTAAGGTATATCTAGAACATGATGTCAACTAATTATTAGTAATACATAGAAATATCAGCTATAAAAATTAGATATAAAGACAAGAACACTTTATTTTTTTAAAGATTTATTTATTATTTTTATTTTAGAAATAGAGAGTGTGTTGGGGTGCCTGGATGGCTCAGTTGTTAAGCGTCTGCCTTCGGCTCAGGTCATGATCTCAGGGTCCTGGGATCGAGCCCCGCATCGGGCTCCCTGCTCTGCGGGAAGCCTGCTTCTCTCTCTCCCCCTCCCCCTGCTTGTGTTCCCTCTCTTGCTGTGTCTCTCTCTGTCAAATAAATAAATAAAATCTTTAAAAAAAAAAAAGAAAAAAGAAATAGAGAGTATGTGCATGAGCTGGGGGAGGGGCAGAGGGGGAGAGAGAGAGAATCCTCAAGCAGACTCCCCACTGAATGCAGAGCCCCATGTGGGGCCCAGTCCCAGGTCTCCGAGGTCACAACCTGAGCCAAAACCAAGAGCCAGCTGCTTAACTGACTGAGCCACCCAGGCAACCCAAGACAAGAATACTTTTAAAGTATCTCCTTAGAATCTTTTTTATGCCAACTTAATTCAGTAAATGCGAAAGTTCAAAATCTTTTTTTCACATTTGATATCTGACATCTGGATATTAGTTGCCCACAAATACGTGTCTGATCAAAGAGTTATTCAAGAAAAATGCTAGCAGCTACTTAGTGGAGAGCTGAGCAGAGAAAGAAGTGAAAAATACTCTCTACAGTTGTGTAGATATAAGAGGTATAGAATCCTGCAGCTGGAAACACATTAGAGCTGACACTATTCTTTTCCCTCCACAGTTGAGCCACCCCCTCCTGATAATTCACTCCAGTTCTGGGTCATCCTAATCTCAGTAGTAAGTGGGATTGTTCTGATCACTGTCATTATAAGAAGCTGCCTAGCCCACAGTAAGTACTATCGTACTATCATTCTGACCTCAATTCCTGGAAGCCCAAACTCTATCGGTATGTGTCAGCAACCTTCCGAGGTTTTAGCCTAGGTTATAGCCTCTTCTCGTTTTATGGAAACCTTAGTGCATTCTTTACTTGTCTCACCAAGTTCTATTCATTCACTGGACAGACATTTCTTGGACACCTACTCTGTGTCCGGTTCTCTACTAGGCGCTGCCGTTACAAACATGAGGAATTAGTGACCTCAAGACACGTTCTAGTTTACTCCATTTATTTTTTCCCCTAACTTTTTATTTTCTTGGAGACACTGAGGCTTGCTAACTAATTTGAAAATATTTCTGATGCAAAGTGATATTCTAATCTTTGATTTTCAAGTGGAGGAAAGTCAGAAGGACAAGATTTGGGGTCAAGAAACATTTTCTTAAAGGAGGGTAAGATGCACTAATGACACTGAGAAATTACATAGTCACAGGTGATTTTTGCCAATTCTCAATTCCTTTGAATACATTTTTTGGTTGAAAGGTAAGGAGTGGTTGAGGAAAGAAGAAATATCTAGGATGTTTTTCCCTAGGAGTTCAAATTTTTGGCCTTATACATATGCTACCTTCCAACTCTGTAATTAAATGAAGAGGAACTGCTAGGCCAGAGCTGAGGCCATAGTCACCATGAAGGAGCACCAACCTTTCTTGGAGTAGAAACCATGTATATTGAGCAAAGAAAATTGGAAGACCAACATCTGATGATTTTCCCAAACTTCAGCACAAAAATTGTCAAAGCGCAGGGAAGTCACTAAGACTCTTTGCAACCAACAACTCAACCCACAGATAGGGTGAAGAAGTCTGGTGGGCTCAAGGATGTTTTTGATACAGACTGCCCAGCCTTACCCCTCTAGTTGAGGATCTCTTATTAACACTACTGACATTTAGGGCCAAATAATTCTTTGTTTTAGGGTTCATTCAATGCATTGTAGTGTATTTAGCAGTATCTCTAGGCTCTATTCACTATATGCCAATAGCACCCCTGCCCCCGTTGTGACAACCAAAAATGTCTCTATTACATTACAAATGTCCCAGGGCAGGGTGGGGGTGGGGGGTGCTGGGAAATCTCCCTGGTTTAAGAACCACTGATCTAGTTCTTAGCCAGTGAAGGCTTCCTGAAATATACGGACACAATTTAGGGGAAACTCACCTATCTAAATCTTTATTGTTTGTGCTTATCGTCAAGGACTTGCTGCAAGATGGAGAAGGGGAAAGACGAATGAGGAGGGCGTGGACATGGAAAAGATCACTCCTATCTACATAGGATCTGCCCAAGCATCCGTATGAGCAGAACATCTGGAGGTAGCTCCTCTAGCTCTTCTCTACCAGGGTGGAATATGTGAGATATTAGAAGGCACAGTGTTTTCTTCCTGTCTGGTACTCCAGATTTAAACCCTACCTCACCTTCTCAAAAACCTAATTCAGGTTACTCTAAACAGATGGTTGGAATCTCTTTCTCCCCACATGACTTGCTTATTGTTACCCCTTTCTTTGCTGTGCCATTCTGCCACATTGACATGTCACCCTCTTGTCAGTCAACTCAGTGTTTCATTATCTGTAAAATACCTTAAGTTCATCTTGAAGTAATATTCCTGGCCCAGCTGCTTATTCTGATCATTCCTTTTTGCCTATATCCCTCACTACTGATGGATGCAGATTAGGGTCACTTACTGGTCACTCTATACCACCTCAGTAACGTCCTCATTGGTCTCTCTGCCTCTAACAGAGTCATCCTACTAACCCAGTAACAGAGCCAGATTTTATAAAGAGTCATTTCTCCATGTCATTTTCCCACTCAGAAACTCAGAAGAGACCCCCAATGCCTATAGGAAAAGTTTTAAGACTTTAACTTTCCACATTTCAATTGATCTCTTCAGTATAAACATTCTCAGTTCTTTGAACTGTTCTCCACATAGTAGTTTTCCAGAAGCTTCATGTGAATACACTAGATGTCAACAAATGGAGTCCAAGACTTTAGATATGGTCTAATTCAACATACAATGGGACAATTAGTATCTGGGATCTAGAATGTTTTTTCTGTTAAGAAAGCCTTACACAGCAGCAGGGTTTTTGAGTCACACTATTAACTTACATCAATTTTGTGTTATCCTAAACTACCCAGGCCTTTTCATGTAAGAGAAACATTGGAATCCAAGAGACTCATACCAGGTCCAGGGTGGTTTATAGCCTCCATAAACAGTCCTTTTTGACTTATGAAGTTAGGGTGAGAAAGCACAGAAATGAGAGTCTGCAGAGTTACCTTAAAAAAAAAAAAAAAAAGGAAATGAAATATAACACCTGAGACTTAATAGGTTATGTTTTACAAAAGCATTATTTTATTATTTCATTTAGTCTTATAAAAGTCTCTGTGAGCAAGATCTTTATCTCCATTTTATATGAGAGAAACCCGAGGCTCCCTCCCAGAGGCTGTGATTTGCCTCGGGTCAGGCAGGCAAGGAGCAGAGCAGGACTCAAACTGGGTATGAAGCTCAGGTTCCTTTCATCATAGCAGGCCTATGCACATTTCCCCACAGCAGTCTCTATTTCCTGTTTTCAACTTCTTCAGGATGCCCTTTCCAGGATGTCCCCCTCAGTTCGGTGATTACCTTGAACTTCCTTGCCTTTGCTTGTTAACAGTCTTCTGCTCAGCCAGCTGATATGTCATACTGAAGCCAGGGGTCCAGTCTCCTAGTGGCCATCTTGTCCAGTTCAAGCAACTCTGCCTTTGAGCTGCTGGAGCGGTGCTCTCTAGCACATCACATTCCATCCTGGGTTTATTCTCACGTGCATGTCTTATATTCTTTACTGAGTTGTAGGCTTATTGAGAACAATCATGCCTGATAGATCTGTTTGCCTCACAGATAGAATATTACCTTGATCACTAACGTTTGGTTGTTTGATGATAGCTGGTGCTTAATATTTGCCTAATATTTCATGTAATAAAAATTGTCAGATTTGTCCTAAATTCTCCCATAATTTGGACTTCCCTTTATATTCTTTGGCCATCAAGATTAATATCTACAAATGTCACCTCAATTTGGGAGCACCTTTGTGATAAAAAATATAAAATTTTAAAATGGTTTCCTCCTTTGAGAATTTAGGGTTTGAAGTATTCGTTTAATTTTTTGTTTTCTCAGGTCCCACCTCCATCTTAGATTGACTTCTTCTTTGAATTTCCTCAGATGGCCAGGATTATCCCACCTTGTACTTCAAGTATGTTTTCTAGGAGCCTCTTCATTTCAGTGGCCCTGCAAAAAGTGACCAGAGGAATATGGTGGGGACATAAGTAGCTCTGGTAACCTTGGTCAAAGAATTTAGAAACAAAGAATTGTTCAGGCCTGGAAGAGACATTTGAAAACACTTGTCTCATTACTGACAAGGACATCAAGGCCCAGGGGGTGACCTGAATGATAAAGGCCTGAGCCAGAACTCAGATTTCCTGTCTCTGGTGCTCTTTTCCATTAGTCTGGCTCTGTGCTATTAACTGGTGTGTATATATATATATACACACACACCAGTCAAAATGCTTCTGGAAAAAGAATTTGTCCAATGTCAGGTCAACTTTTGAGACTTGATCTGATGCAACGCTGGAAGATTTTGTGTTGTTGTAAAAGGGAATCTGATGTTCATGTGTGGGTAGTATGCTGGTATGTATACCGATGTGAGAATGATGGAAACATTAGTGGTGTTAGCCAGTATTTCATTTTTCATTGTGCTCTCCTCTGTTGCTCTCCCACTTCTCCATCAGGTTCTGGAGAAAGTAGATCTATCCAAAACTGATATCCTGTGACATGTAAGATGAATGACTTATACACCTCAAAGCAATAGTCAGGATGGAGAGGGATAGGTTGGTTTAAAGAGTCATATCCTACTGGTTCATATTGGACTAATAATCTCCTTAAATGGCTTTATGCTAGTTTAACCTCATTTATAAAATATGAGAAGGTTCTCATTTAAAATGAGATAGGTTTTTATGGTGTATTATTAAACAGTAAGCTGTCCTTAGAAATCTATCGAGGTAATGGAAACAGCATTCCATAGGCCTTCCTTAGATCCCTAAAGTGGCTTTTCCTCCTTGGTATTTCTGATCCTTCTGACACCAGCAGAGAATTGAAAAGAAGGTGGCCAACTGCTGTTCCTGTGTTACTTGCTCATGACTCCTCTTTCTCTGAAGTTGTCTTCCACAACTCAATGGACCAGGAGGTGGACCTGACTTAAGCAGGAGCAATCAGACATTCTCATTTGAAAATTTCACAATGGACAGCAAGTTGACCAAGTTTCTCACATGTGGCTGGGTCTAAAACATTTAATTTTGGTAGCTATAAAGGGACCAGATTATGCTACATAGTCTAAGGAGCAGAAGTACACTTTTAAATGGTTGCTCTCAGAATAAAATCACTGAAGGAAATAAAAGTAGGAAACTGACAAGAACTTAAAGCAAAGAACAAAAAAAAAAAAGGGAATTGCTGCATTTAGTTAAATTAATAATCCTTAGACATCAAAAGGAGACCTCAAGTCATGAAATAGTACACACTTAAGAGACAGCTTATTTATACTTAAATTATATTACATTACTTATTACATTTGATAAATGTGTTAGTACTATTTTTTCAAACAGTTGTACTTCTGATATTTCTGTGATATGAATAAAATTATTTTTAAAACCAACCATCTAGTTTTCTAATTTCTAGTTGGAGAATTTAATCTATATGTGGATGTGAATAAAACAATAAACAGACTGACTAACTGCCAACTTGTCAGCAGTTTATGAATGGGATAATTAAGAAAAACATGCTTTATGGAGTGTGGTGATAACATGTAAATCATGTTAATAATATACTTGTGCAGAGGTTCTTCTATCCTTATAATTACTAATATCTGTTCTTCTATCTCTCATCCCCTGTGCTCCAGGGCATCGTGCTATGCTCCACATGCATCATTTCACTTAATACCCATTCTGAGGCAGATACTATTTCATTTGACAGAGGGGAAAACTGAGACCTAGTAAAATGGCTTTGCTATAGGTCACATGGCAGCAAAGCCACATGGCTGGGATGCTAAGCCAGCGATCTGCCTCCAGAGCCCATGATTTCAGCCACTGTATTACTCGGCTACACAAAACCAGCTCCTGAAAACAGTTACTTTCAGAGCAGGAACTAAAAACAGAGATCTAACACCAAAACAAAGCACTAGCAGTTTTTCCCCCTTAGTACACTTAACGCAGTTCATTCCACCCCTCCCCCGCCCTGCCCTTAGTAAAAGTTAAAATCTGCAGGATTGCAGATTCCTTCCTAAGGAGCAAGCTCCTGGAGTGTAGAGACTGTGTATCTATTCTAAGTAACTTCTGCATATTACAGCATAGACACTTTGTCATCAACACTAAGAGAGGAAACAAAGGCTCCTTTTTTTAGTAATGCTTATCTACTTATTGTTTGTTAAATTTATATTGTATTTCAAATAGTATAGGAATTACCTTATTTTATTTTTAAAGATTTTATTTATTTATTTGAGAGACGGCATGCGTGAGGAGGGAGGCGCAGAGAGGGAAGGAGAGGGATAAGCAGACTCCACACTGAGCACGGAGCCCCATTCAGGGCTCAGTCCACAACCCTGAGATCATGACCTGAGCCTAAATCAAGAGTCGGACACTCAATCAACAGCCGCCCAGGCACCCCTACACACTTAGGCCTGTGATGTTTCCAGGACCCAAAGGCACAAGGGTTTTATCACAGACCATTTGCCTCACCTGGTTCTTTCCTCTCCTCTTCCTAGTGATTCCTAGAATATCCTTTTATTTTATTTTTTTAAAGATTTTTTAAAATTTATTTATTTGACAGAGAGATAGCACAAGTAGGCAGAACGGCAGGCAGAGGGAAAGGGAGAAGCAGGCTCTCTGCTGAGCAGGGAGCCCAATGCGGGGCTTGATCCCAGGACCCTGGGATCATGACCTGAGCCGAAGGCAGCCGCTTAACCGACTGAGCCACCCAGGCGCCCCTAGAGTATCCTTTTAAAGGGCTGCAAGAATAAACATATAACCTACAGAATTCAACTCCAATCTTGGGAAATTTTAAATCTAGTGTCGTAAAATCCAGGGGAAAGAATTATGTATTGATTGATCACTACAGATATAATGTCAAATATAAAGACCAATCAGGAAAGACATAAGTGTGTATTTAGATTTAAGGATAAGTAAAGTGAGCGCACAATAGCCCAATTCTTGGTTAAAAAAAGATAAGAGCAAGTCACTGCCACTAGATGTGCCAGCACTTAACCTGTCAGCAGGCCGACCAAGGAGAAGCCTAGCCATTGGCATTCAACGGACACAGATCCCTTCGATTCACCAATTGAATGTTAAGTCCAGAACATTTTCAGTCTTTGTCTTGTTTATTTGTTGATGAAGGGTTTCTAGGAAGATTTAGCAGTGCTTCAATTTTCTTAACATCATCTTTGGATCGATTTTTCTGTAAGCTATTTTCAATTTCTTCAGGGAGGAGCTCAGTAAATTGTAGTCTGGCTTTGCTGTAATAAAAGAATGAAAAGAATATATCATGTACTGCTCTGTTTCTTAGTTCTTAGAGAGATCTTTTTTAAAAAGATAGTATTTATCCATTCTCCCTGTGCCTTATGAGCAAACATTGCTCCTTGAACTTCAAAAACAATGACTTTCTACGCTCTCCTAACCTGTTCCACTCAAGGGCCGACTACAATTCTCACATCACCAAAATGGACACTGCAGCTCTGATCCCTAAAATGTTCCAGAGTTCCTGCGGGGGTATCGTGCAAGAACGAAAAGCACCCTGAGCTCAAGTGTGAGCCTTGCAAACTGGCTGTCCTCTTGCCCTCAGGGCTAGGGGTGGGGGTGGGGAGCTGGTGTGAACCCCCTGCCACTCCATTACCTCTCTGTTGCCAGACCTTACAGGAACTGCGCAAAGGCTGTAACAATGGTAAATTCAATATGGAAAAGTCAGATGGGACAACGCTATAGATGTATATTTACAAAAAATTAAAATCCAATTTCCAAATAACGGAGCAGTTCTTTTTCTAAATCTCGTATTAGTGTCTTCCTTTCTTTAAGTGATTATCAAGGTCATCCATGACTTTTTTCTCAACTCTTCATAACCAGGTTTGACCATTTCTTCTTCCATATCTCCATAGCCAGTTTTCTACATTTTCTGCTAAGGCAATTTTTTATACTCACACTCTGTTTGACTTCTCTATAGTTATTTTCAAACAAAGAAGCAGGCATATAATAAGTTCTTAACTAGGTATTAAATTAACTCCTCAGGAATATCACATATATATCATAGACATATAAATATCCTATAAATTTTTGACCCTATTTCCTTCTAAAGTATTTCATTACTATAATTCAATTCAATTTATTGTTTTTAACCATTTTTGAGATTTCCATCTCTAAATAACTGATCAACATCCCCCAGTTATTTTTCTGGTTTCCTTTTTTGGGGAGGATACAATTATTATCTGTTCATATTTTTCCAACTGTTAACTCTTCTGCAACTTTCTGTATCAAATTTAAATACCAATATACTTTCCTTACCTTTCCAATTCCTTTCTCAAAGCTTCCTTTTCTTAAAAAAAAAAAGTTTCTTATGACACCTAAAGAACTAGAAATAAGCTAACGCTTTCATGCTTTTAATTCTCTACATCACATTTTATTCTGTCATTTAGAATTTTAAGTGCTTTATCCTAGAACTTAGATAACTACATATCCCACCTATCTTCTTACTCTGGAGAAGAGGAATGAATGAAACAAACATATATTGAGCATTTTGGTGTGATTCTGCCCTCAGAATGGCTGAGAAAACAAGAGGGCTTGAAGTTAAGTAAAATATCCAAGGTCATGGAACTAATCAATAGCCTAACTGGGATTTAAGGTTTGCTTTCAAGGTCTCATTGGCTGCAAAATCAATGCTTTTTCTCTAGAACCCAAGTCCCTGAACAACTGATCTACAGATATTAAGAATTTCCAAGTGCATACGTGTGTTTAGCACCAATGGAAGTTTCAAGTAAAAACATGGAAAAAAAAAAGACTTTAAAACAGCAGCAGCTTTCGTCTGTATGCAGGAAGCCGAGCTACGAGAATCCTTTGTACCAGGAGTGCTAGCTAGCAGCCTGTTACGGTGATCTTACAAAGAATCAGCACAAAGTCCACTCTCAGTCTGATAACTGGACCCCAGGGAACGACTAGATGGCACACGTCAAAGTTTTCCTCCTCCTCAGTGGCATCCAGTCCATGAACAGCCACTATAACTACCTAAATCATATGCATCCACAGCAAGAAGTGGAATCTTTGAATGTAGAGACCTAACATGCTCTGTATTGTTCATAGATGCATGTGTAACTGGGGATATTGCCTTTTAAATAACGCCATGTGAAACTCACTCATTGCTGTCCACTTCCTTTGGTAATTTCCTGTGCAGTCAAGAATATAGAAAAAGAAAAAATACGCACCCAAGCGAGATTAACAATATCTTAACTTTAAAAAAAAGTGTATCTAAAGAATGATCCTCATCAGATTAAAAATAAAATTAGTGTCTTTCATTTTTCCTTCATTAAAAAGATTAAAAGATCAGGTAGGGTACAAGTTGAAGAAAAGGAAACTCTTCTTTGAGATTTTATTTATTTATTTTTTAAAGTAATCTCTACACCCAACATGGGACCTGCACTCACAAACCTGAGATCAAAAGTGCTCCACTGACTGAGCC